AGCCACTGCAAGGAAATCCGGCCTCCTTTCAAGTTAGGGCTTCTCGCTGTATATTCCCCTTGAGGCAGCAAACTCGGGGTCCCTCCCACATACCTATTGCTGAGAGAAGCCTCCTCCTGAGGTGCTTCTGGAAAGTTGGCATACGTCTTGAGCCTAAGCCAGGGAATCAGCTCTCATCTCGAGATGATTTGGGGTACACGGAGCATTCCTCGAGTTGCTGTGCTGAAGTTGGTGTTCCTCTAGACTTGGGAAAGTGTTCTCTGGGCATCTCTGGAGTTGCCTGAAGGAAATCGAGCCACCGGTCGTGTTGAAAGGGGAACTGGGAATGGCTCTGGAGTCAATGCAGGGGAATCCGGCCTCATCTCGAGTTGATTTGGGGCACATGGAGCTGCTTTGCATTGCTGGGTGACCTCAGGGTCCGTCTCGACTGGTGACAGTGTTCTTGGGGACTGTCTCGAGATCCATTAAGCAAGTCGAAGCTCCTGACTTGTTTGAATGGGATCACGGAATAGCTCTGCATGCACTGCAGGGGAATGGTGCCTCATCTCGCCTCTAGGGGGAAGTCTCACGGTTTTTCTCGACTTGCGGCAGGGACCTGGGGTATGTTCTCGACTTACGGCGGGGATGGCCCTTCAAACCACGAGTTTCTTCAGTGACGTCAGGACTCCTGTCTAGTAATGAGGGACACCTCAGCAATCTCTTCGAGGCTTGGCAGGGCAAAAGGGACGCCTCTCGAGGTGAGCCAGGGCACCCAAGGACCCTTTCCAGTAGCCACAGTTATTTTGGGATTCCTATACGTATTCAAGAGCAGTCAGGCATCGTCACCTTTTCAAGCAATGAACTCTGCGTGCCTCTCGAGGTGTCAGGGGGATGTGAGGAATTCCGTCACAATGAGGCAGGGACCTAGGGCTTCCTCTAAGGACTCCACAGGGGATTCAGACATCCCTTCATGTTGTCAGATCAAAGACGAGCCTGTATTCAAGCCACTGCAAGGAAATCCGGCCTCCTTTCAAGTTAGGGCTTCTCGCTGTATATGCCCCTTGAGGCAGCAAACTCGGAGTCCTGCCCACATACCTATTGCTGAGAAGCCTCTACCTGAGGTGCTTCTGGAAAGTTGGCATACGTCTTGAGCCTAAGCCAGGGAATCAGCTCTCATCTCGAGACGATTTGGGGTACACAGAGCATTCCTCGAGTTGCTGTGCTGAAGTTGGTGTTCCTCTAGACTTGGGACAGTGTTCTCGGGGCATCTCCGGAGTTCCCTGAAGGAAGGCGAGCCACCGGTCGTGTTGAACGGCTAACGGGGAATGGCTCTGGAGTCAATGCAGGGGAATCGGGCCTCATCTCGAGTTGATTTGGGGCACATGGAGCTGCTTTGCGTTGCTGGGGTGACCTCAGGGTCCGTCTAGACTGGTGACAGTGTTCTTGGGGACTGTCTCGAGATCCATTAAGCAAGTCGAAGCTCCTGACTTGTTTGAATGGGATCACGGAATAGCTCTGCATGCACTGCAGGGGAATGGGGCCTCATCTCGCCTCTAGGGGGAAGTCTCACGGTTTTTCTCGAGTTGCGGCGGGGACCTGGGGTATGTTCTCGACTTACGGCGGGGATGGCCCTTCAAAACACGAGTTTCTCCAGTGACGTCAGGACTCCTGCCTAGTAACGAGGGACACCTCAGGAATCTCTTCGAGGCTTGGCAGGGCAAAAGGGACGCTTCTCGAGGTGAGGCAGGGCACCCAAGGACCCTTTTCAGTAGCCACAGGGATTTTGGGATTCCTATCAATATTCAAGAGGAGTCAGGCATCATCACCTTTTGAAGCAATGAACTCCGCGTGCCTCTCGAGGTGTCAGCGGGATGTGAGGCATTCCGTCAAAATGAGGCAGGGAGCTAGGGCTTTCTCTAAGGTCTCCACATGGGATTCAGACATCCCTTCATGCTGTCAGATCAAAGACGAGCCTGTATTCAAGCCACTGCAAGGAAATCCGGCCTCCTTTCAAGTTAGGGCTTCTCGCTGTATATTCCCCTTGAGGCAGCAAACTCGGGGTCCCTCCCACATACCTATTGCTGAGAGAAGCCTACTCCTGAGGTGCTTCTGGAAAGTTGGCATACGTCTTGAGCCTAAGCCAGGGAATCAGCTCTCATCTCGAGATGATTTGGGGTACACGGAGCATTCCTCGAGTTGCTGTGCTGAAGTTGGTGTTCCTCTAGACTTGGGACAGTGTTCTCGGGGCATCTCTGGAGTTGCCTGAAGGAAGTCGAGCCACCGGTCGTGTTGAATGGGGAACGGGGAATGGCTCTGGAGTCAATGCAGGGGAATCGGGCCTCATCTCGAGTTGATTTGGGGCACATGGAGCAGCTTTGCGTTGCTGGGGTGACCTCAGGGTCCGTCTAGACTGGTGACAGTGTTCTTGGGGACTGTCTCGAGATCCATTAAGCAAGTCGAAGCTCCTGACTTGTTTGAATGGGATCACGGAATAGCTCTGCATGCACTGCAGGGGAATGGGGCCTCATCTCGCCTCTAGGGGGAAGTCTCATGGTTTTTCTCGAGTTGCGGCGGGGACCTGGGGTATGTTCTCGACTTACGGCGGGGATGGCCCTTCAAAACACGAGTTTCTCCAGTGACGTCAGGACTCCTGCCTAGTAACGAGGGACACCTCAGGAATCTCTTCGAGGCTTGGCAGGGCAAAAGGGACGCTTCTCGAGGTGAGGCAGGGCACCCAAGGACCCTTTCCAGTAGCCACAGGGATTTTGGGATTCCTATCAGTATTCAAGAGGAGTCAGGCATCGTCACCTTTGGTAGCAATGAACTCCGCGTGCCTCTCGAGGTGTCAGCGGGATGTGAGGCATTCCGTCAAAATGAGGCAGGGACCTAGGGCTTTCTCTAAGGTCTCCACAGGGGATTCAGACATCCCTTCATGTTGTGAGATGAAAGACAAGCCTGTATTCAAGCTACTGCAAGGAAATCCGGCCTCCTTTCAAGTTAGGGCTTCTCGATGTATATTCCCCTTGAGGCAGCAAACTCGGGGTCCCTCCCACATACCTATTGCTGAGAGACGCCTACTCCTGAGGTGCTTCTGGAAAGTTGGCATACGTCTTGAGCCTAAGCCAGGGAATCAGCTCTCATCTCGAGATGATTTGGGGTACACGGAGCATTCCTCGAGTTGCTGTGCTGAAGTTGGTGTTCCTCTAGACTTGGGACAGTGTTCTCGGGGCATCTCTTTAGTTGCCTGAAGGAAGTCGAGCCACCGGTCGTGTTGAATGGGGAATGGGGAATGGCTCTGGAGTCAATGCAGGGGAATCGGGCCTCATCTCGAGTTGATTTGGGGCACATGGAGCAGCTTTGCGTTGCTGGGGTGACCTCAGGGTCCGTCTAGACTGGTGACAGTGTTCTTGGGGACTGTGTCGAGATCCATTAAGGAAGTCGAAGCTCCTGACTTGTTTGAATGGGATCACGGAATAGCTCTGCATGCACTGCAGGGGAATGGGGCCTCATCTCGCCTCTAGGGGGAAGTCTCATGGTTTTTCTCGAGTTGCGGCGGGGACCTGGGGTATGTTCTCGACTTACGGCGGGGATGGCCCTTCAAAACACGAGTTTCTCCAGTGACGTCAGGACTCCTGCCTAGTAACGAGGGACACCTCAGGAATCTCTTCGAGGCTTGGCAGGGCAAAAGGGACGCTTCTCGAGGTGAGGCAGGGCACCCAAGGACCCTTTCCAGTAGCCACAGGGATTTTGGGATTCCTATCAGTATTCAAGAGGAGTCAGGCATCGTCACCTTTTGTAGCAATGAACTCCGCGTGCCTCTCGAGGTGTCAGCGGGATGTGAGGCATTCCGTCAAAATGAGGCAGGGACCTAGGGCTTTCTCTAAGGCCTCCACAGGGGATTCAGACATCCCTTCATGTTGTGAGATGAAAGACAAGCCTGTATTCAAGCTACTGCAAGGAAATCCGGCCTCCTTTCAAGTTAGGTCTTCTCGATGTATATTCCCCTTGAGGCAGCAAACTCGGGGTCCCTCCCACATACCTATTGCTGAGAGACGCCTACTCCTGAGGTGCTTCTGGAAAGTTGGCATACGTCTTGAGCCTAAGCCAGGGAATCAGCTCTCATCTCGAGATGATTTGGGGTACACGGAGCATTCCTCGAGTTGCTGTGCTGAAGTTGGTGTTCCTCTAGACTTGGGACAGTGTTCTCGGGGCATCTCTTTCGTTGCCTGAAGGAAGTCGAGCCACCGGTCGTGTTGAATGGGGAACGGGGAATGGCTCTGGAGTCAATGCAGGGGAATCGGGCCTCATCTCGAGTTGATTTGGGGCACATGGAGCAGCTTTGCGTTGCTGGGGTGACCTCAGGGTCCGTCTATACTGGTGACAGTGTTCTTGGGGACTGTCTCGAGATCCATTAAGCAAGTCGAAGCTCCTGACTTGTTTGAATGGGATCAAGGAATAGCTCTGCATGCACTGCAGGGGAATGGGGCCTCATCTCGCCTCTAGGGGGGAGTCTCATGGTTTTTCTCGAGTTGCGGCGGGGACCTGGGGTATGTTCTCGACTTACGGCGGGGATGGCCCTTAAAAACACGAGTTTCTTCAGTGACGTCAGGACTCCTGCCTAGTAATGAGGGACACCTCAGGAATCTCTTCGAGGCTTGGCAGGGCAAAAGGGACGCTTCTCGAGGTGAGGCAGGGCACCCAAAGACCCTTTCCAGTAGCCACAGGGATTTTGGGATTCCTATCAGTATTCAAGAGGAGTCAGGCATCGTCACCTTTTGAAGCAATGAACTCCGCGTGCCTCTCGAGGTGTCAGCGGGATGTGAGGCATTCCGTCAAAATGAGGCAGGGACCTAGGGCTTTCTCTAAGGTCTCCACAGGGGATTAAGACATCCCTTCAAGTTTTGAGATGAAAGACAAGCCTGTATTCAATCTATTGCATGGAAATCCGGACTCCTTTCAAGTTAGGGCTTCTCGCTGTATATTCCCCTTGAGGCAGCAAACTCGGAGTCCCTCCCACATACCTATTGCTGAGAAGCCTCCTCCTGAGGTGCTTCTGGAAAGTTGGCATACGTCTTGAGCCTAAGCCAGGGAATCAGCTCTCATCTCGAGATGATTTGGGGTACACGGAGCATTCCTCGAGTTGCTGGGCTGAAGTTGGTGTTCCTCTAGACTTGGGAAAGTGTTCTCTGGGCATCTCTGGAGTTGCCTGAAGGAAGTCGAGCCACCGGTCTTGTTGAATGGGGAACGGGGAATGGCTCTGGAGTCAATGCAGGGGAATCGGGCCTCATCTCGAGTTGATTTGGGGCACATGGAGCAGCTTTGCGTTGCTGGGGTGACCTCAGGGTCCGTCTAGACTCGTGACAGTGTTCTTGGGGACTGTCTCGAGATCCATTAAGCAAGTCGAAGCTCCTGACTTGTTTGAATGGGATCACGGAATAGCTCTGCATGCACTGCAGGGGAATGGGGCCTCATCTCGCCTCTAGGGGGAAGTCTCACGGTTTTTCTCGAGTTGCGGCGGGGACATGGGGTATGTTCTCGACTTACGGCGGGGATGGCCCTTCAAAACACGAGTTTCTCCAGTGACGTCAGGACTCCTGCCTAGTAACGAGGGACACCTCAGGAATCTCTTCGAGGCTTGGCAGGGCAAAAGGGACGCTTCTCGAGGTGAGGCAGGGCACCCAAGGACCCTTTCCAGTAGCCACAGGGATTTTGGGATTCCTATCAGTATTCAAGAGGAGTCAGGCATCGTCACCTTTTGAAGCAATGAACTCTGCGTGCCTCTCGAGGTGTCAGCGGGATGTGAGGATTCCGTCAAAATGAGGCAGGGACCTAGGGCTTCCTCTAAGGTCTCCACAGGGGATTCAGACATCCTTTCATGTTGTCAGATGAAAGACGAGCCTGTATTCAAGCCACTGCAAGGAAATCCGGCCTCCTTTCAAGTTAGGGCTTCTCGCTGTATATTCCCCTTGAGGCAACAAACTCGGGGTCCCTCCCACATACCTATTGCTGAGAGAAGCCTCCTCCTGAGGTGCTTCTGGAAAGTTGGCATACGTCTTGAGCCTAAGCCAGGGAATCAGCTCTCATGTCGAGACGATTTGGGGTACACAGAGCATTCCTCGAGTTGCTGTGCTGAAGTTGGTGGTCCTCTAGACTTGGGACAGTGTTCTCGGGGCATCTCTGGAGTTGCCTGAAGGAAGGCGAGCCACCGGTCGTGTTGAACGGGGAACGGGGAATGGCTCTGGAGTCAATGCAGGGGAATCGGGCCTCATCTCGATTTGACTTGGGGCACATGGAGCTGCTTTGCGTTGCTGGGGTGACCTCAGGGTCCGTCTAGACTGGTGACAGTGTTCTTGGGGACTGTCTCGAGATCCATTAAGCAGGTCGAAGCTCCTGACTTGTTTGAATGGGATCACGGAATAGCTCTGCATGCACTGCAGGGGAATGGGGCCTCATCTCGCCTCTAGGGGGAAGTCTCATGGTTTTTCTCGAGTTGCGGCGGGGACCTGGGGTATGTTCTCGACTTACGGCGGGGATGGCCCTTCAAAACACGAGTTTCTTCAGTGACGTCAGGACTCCTGTCTAGTAATGAGGGACACCTCAGCAATCTCTTCGAGGCTTGGCAGGGCAAAAGGGACGCTTCTCGAGGTGAGGCAGGGCACCCAAGGACCCTTTCCAGTAGGCACAGGGATTTTGGGATTCCTATAAGTATTCAAGAGGAGTCAGGCATCGTCACCATTTCAAGCAATGAACTCTGCGTGCCTCTCGAGGTGTCAGGGGGATGTGAGGTATTCCGTCAAAATGAGGCAGGGACCTAGGGCTTCCTCTAAGGTCTCCACAGGGGATTCAGACATCCCTTCATGTTGTCAGATCAAAGACGAGCCTGTATTCAAGCCACTGCAAGGAAATCTGGCCTCCGTTCACATTAGGGCTTCTCCCTGTGTATTCCCCTTGTGGCAGAAAACTCGGGGTCCCTCCCACATAACTATTGCTGAGAGAAGCCTCCTCCTGAGGTGCTTCTGGAAAGTTGGCATACGTCTTGAGCCTAAGCCAGGGAATCAGCTCTCATCTCGAAATGATTTGGGGTACACAGAGCATTCCTCGAATTGCTGTGCTGAAGTTGGTGTTCCTCTAGACTTGGGACAGTGTTCTCGGGGCATCTCTGGAGTTGCCTGAAGGAAGTCGAGACACCGGTCGTGTTGAATGGGGAACGGGGAATGGCTCTGGAGTCAATGCAGGGGAATCGGGCCTCATCTCGAGTTGATTTGGGGCACATGGAGCTGCTTTGCGTTGCTGGGGTGACTTCAGGGTCCGTCTGGACTGGTGACAGTGTTCTTGGGGGCTGTCTCGAGATCCATTAAGCAAGTCGAAGCTCCTGACTTGTTTGAAGGGGATCACGGAATAGCTCTGCATGCACTGCAGGGGAATGGGGCCTCATCTCGCCTCTAGGGGGAAGTCTCATGGTTTTCCTCGAGTTGCGGCGGGGACCTGGGGTATGTTCTCAACTTACGGCGGGGATGGCCCTTCAAAACACGAGTTTCTTCAGTGACGTCAGGACTCCTGTCTAGTAACGAGGGACACCTCAGCAATCTCTTCGAGGCTTGGCAGGGCAAAAGGGACGCTTCTCGAGGTGAGCCAGGGCACCCAAGGAACCTTTCCAGTAGCCACAGGGATTTGGGGATTCCTATAAGTATTCAAGAGGAGTCAGGCATCGTCACCTTTTGAAGCAATGAACTCCGCGTGCCTCTCGAGGTGTCAGCGGGATGTGAGGATTCCGTCAAAATGAGGCAGGGACCTAGGGCTTTCTCTAAGGTCTCCACAGGGGATTCAGACATCCCTTCATGTTGTGAGATGAAAGACGAGCCTGTATTCAAGCCACTGCAAGGAAATCCGGCCTCCTTTCAAGTTAGGGTTTCTCGCTGTATATTCCCCTTGAGGCAGCAAACTCGGGGTCCCTCCCACATACCTATTGCTGAGAGAAGCCTCCTCCTGAGGTGCTTCTGGGAAGTTGGCATACGTCTTGAGCCTAAGCCAGGGAATCAGCTCTCATCTCGAGATGATTTGGGGTACACGGAGCATTCCTCGAGTTGCTGTGCTGAAGTTGGTGTTCCTCTAGACTTGGGACAGTGTTCTCGGGGCATCTCTGGAGTTGCCTGAAGGAAGTCGAGCCACCGGTCGTGTTGAATGGGGAACGGGGAATGGCTCTGGAGTCAATGCAGGGGAATCGGGCCTCATCTCGAGTTGATTTGGGGCACATGGAGCTGCTTTGCGTTGCTGGGGTGACCTCAGGGTCCGTCTAGACTGGTGACAGTGTTCTTGGGGACTGTCTCGAGATCCATTAAGCAAGTCGAAGCTCCTGACTTGTTTGAATGGGATCACGGAATAGCTCTGCATGCACTGCAGGGGAATGGGGCCTCATCTCGCCTCTAGGGGGAAGTCTCATGGTTTTTCTCGAGTTGCGGCGGGGACCTGGGGTATGTTCTCGACTTACGGCGGGGATGGCCCTTCAAAACACGAGTTTCTTCAGTGACGTCAGGACTCCTGTCTAGTAACGAGGGACACCTCAGGAATCTCTTCGAGGCTTGGCAGGGCAAAAGGGACGCTTCTCGAGGTGAGGCAGGGCACCCAAGGACCCTTTCCAGTAGCCACAGGGATTTTCGGATTCCTATCAGTATTCAAGAGGAGTCAGGCATCGTCACCTTTTGAAGCAATGAACTCCGCGTGCCTCTCGAGGTGTCAGTGGGATGTGAGGCATTCCGTCAAAATGAGGCAGGGACCTAGGGCTTTCTCTAAGGTCTCCATAGGGGATTCAGACATCCCTTCATGTTGTGGGATGAAAGACGAGCCTGTATTCAAGCCACTGCAAGGAAATCCGGCCTCCTTTCAAGTTAGGGCTTCTCGCTGTATATTCCCCTTGAGGCAGCAAACTCAGGGTCCCTCCCACATACCTATTGCTGAGAGAAGCCTCCTCCTGAGGTGCTTCTGGGAAGTTGGCATACGTCTTGAGCCTAAGCCAGGGAATCAGCTCGCATCTCGAGACGTTTTGGGGTACACGGAGCATTCCTCGAGTTGCTGTGCTGAAGTTGGTGTTCCTCTAGACTTGGGACAGTGTTCTCGGGGCATCTCTGGAGTTGCCTGAAGGAAGTCGAGCCACCGGTCTTGTTGAACGGGGAACGGGGAATGGCTCTGGAGTCAATGCAGGGGAATCGGGCCTCATCTCGAGTTGATTTGGGGCACATGGAGCTGCTTTGCGTTGCTGGGGTGACCTCAGGGTCCGTCTAGACTGGTGACAGTGTTCTTGGGGACTGTCTCGAGATCCATTAAGCAAGTCGAAGCTCCTGACTTGTTTGAATGGGATCAATGAATAGCTCTGCATGCACTGCAGGGGAATGGGGCCTCATCTCGCCTCTAGGGGGAAGTTTCATGGTTTTTCTCGAGTTGCGGCGGGGACCTGGGGTATGTTCTCGATTTACGGCGGGGATGGCCCTTCAAAACACGAGTTTCTTCAGTGACGTCAGGACTCCTGTCTAGTAACGAGGGACACCTCAGGAATCTCTTCGAGGCTTGGCAGGGCAAAAGGGACGCTTCTCGAGGTGAGGCAGGGCACCCAAGGACCCTTTCCAGTAGCCACATGGATTTTGGGATTCCTATCAGTATTCAAGAGGAGTCAGGCATCGTCACCTTTTGAAGCAATGAACTCCGCGTGCCTCTCGAGGTGTCAGCAGGATGTGAGGCATTCCGTCAAAATGAGGCAGGGACCTAGGGCTTTCTCTAAGGTCTCCACAGGGGATTCAGACATCCCTTCATGTTGTGAGATGAAAGACGAGCCTGTATTCAAGCCACTGCAAGGAAATCCGGCCTCCTTTCAAGTTAGGGCTTCTCGCTGTATATTCCCCTTGAGGCAGCAAACTCGGGGTCCCTCCCACATACCTATTGCTGAGAGAAGCCTCCTCCTGAGGTGCTTCTGGGAAGTTGGCATACGTCTTGAGCCTAAGCCAGGGAATCAGCTCTCATCTCGAGACGATTTGTGGTACACGGAGCATTCCTCGAGTTGCTGTGCTGAAGTTGGTGTTCCTCTAGACTTGGGACAGTGTTCTCGGGGCATCTCTGGAGTTGCCTGAAGGAAGTCGAGCCACCGGTCTTGTTGAACGGGGAACGGGGAATGGCTCTGGAGTCAATGCAGGGGAATCGGGCCTCATCTCGAGTTGATTTGGGGCACATGGAGCAGCTTTGCGTTGCTGGGGTGACCTCAGGGTCCGTCTAGACTGGTGACAGTGTTCTTGGGGACTGTCTCGAGATCCATTAAGCAAGTCGAAGCTCCTGACTTGTTTGAATGGGATCACGGAATAGCTCTGCATGCACTGCAGGGGAATGGGGCCTCATCTCGCCTCTAGGGGGAAGTCTCAAGGTTTTTCTCGAGTTGCGGCGGGGACCTGGGGTATGTTCTCGACTTACGGCGGGGATGGCCCTTCAAAACACGAGTTTCTTCAGTGACGTCAGGACTCCTGTCTAGTAACGAGGGACACCTCAGGAATCTCTTCGAGGCTTGGCAGGGCAAAAAGGACGCTTCTCGAGGTGAGGCAGGGCACCCAAGGACCCATTCCAGTAGCCACAGGGATTTTGGGATTCCTATCAGTATTCAAGAGGAGTCAGGCATCGTCACCTTTTGAAGCAATGAACTCCGCGTGCGTCTCCAGGTGTCTGCGCGATGAGAGGCATTCCGTCAAAATGAGGCACGGACCTAGGGCTTTCTCTAAAGTCTCCACAGGGGATTCAGACATCCCTTCATGTTGTGAGATGAAAGACGAGCCTGTATTCAAGCCACTGCAAGGAAATCCGGCCTCCTTTCAAGTTAGGGCTTCTCACTGTATATTCCCCTTGAGGCAGCAAACTCGGGGTCCCTCCCACATACCTATTGCTGAGAGAAGCCTCCTCCTGAGGTGCTTCTGGGAAGTTGGCATACGTCTTGAGCCTAAGCCAGGGAATCAGCTCTCATCTCGAAATAATTTGGGGTACACAGAGCATTCCTCGAATTGCTGTGCTGAAGTTGGTGTTCCTCTAGACTTGGGACAGTGTTCTCGGGGCATCTCTGGAGTTGCCTGAAGGAAGTCGAGACACTGGTCGTGTTGAATGGGGAACGGGGAATGGCTCTGGAGTCAATGCAGGGGAATCGGGCCTCATCTCGAGTTGATTTGGGGCACATGGAGCTGCTTTGCGTTGCTGGGGTGAGCTCAGGGTCCGTCTAGACTGGTGACAGTGTTCTTGGGGACTGTCTCGAGATCCATTAAGCAAGTCGAAGCTCCTGACTTGTTTGAATGGGATCACGGAATAGCTCTGCATGCACTGCAGGGGAATGGGGCCTCATCTCGCCTCTAGGGGGAAGTCTCATGGTTTTTCTCGAGTTGTGGCGGGGACCTGGGGTATGTTCTCGACTTACGGCGGGGATGGCCCTTCAAAACACGAGTTTCTTCAGTGACGTCAGGACTCCTGTCTAGTAACGAGGGACACCTCAGGAATCTCTTCGAGGCTTGGCAGGGCAAAAGGGACGCTTCTCGAGGTGAGGCAGGGCACCCAAGGACCCTTTCCAGTAGCCACAGGGATTTTGGGATTCCTATCAGTATTCAAGAGGAGTCAGGCATGGTCACCTTTTGAAGCAATGAACTCCGCGTGCCTCTCGAGGTGTCAGCGGGATGTGAGGCATTCCGTCAAAATGAGGCAGGGACCTAGGGCTTTCTCTAAGGTCTCCACAGGGGATTCAGACATCCCTTCATGTTGTGAGATGAAAGACAAGCCTGTATTCAAGCTACTGCAAGGAAATCCGGCCTCCTTTCAAGTTAGGGCTACTCGCTGTATATTCCCCTTGAGGCAGCAAACTCGGAGTCCCTCCCACATACCTATTGCTGAGAGAAGCCTCCTCCTGAGGTGCTTCTGGGAAATTGGCATACGTCTTGAGCCTAAGCCAGGGAATCAGCTCTCATCTCGAGACGATTTGGGGTACACAGAGCATTCCCCGAGTTGCTGTGCTGAAGTTGGTGTTCCTCTAGACTTGGGACAGTGCTCTCGGGGCATCTCTGGAGTTGCCTGAAGGAAGGCGAGCCACCGGTCGTGTTGAACGGGGAAGGGGAATGGCTCTGGAGTCAATGCAGGGGAATCGGGCCTCATCTCGAGTTGATTTGGGGCACATGGAGCTGCTTTGCATTGCTGGGGTGACTTCAGGGTCCGTCTGGACTGGTGACAGTGTTCTTGGGGGCTGTCTCGAGATCCATTAAGCAAGTCGAAGCTCCTGACTTGTTTGAAGGGGATCACGGAATAGCTCTGCATGCACTGCAGGGGAATGGGGCCTCATCTCGCCTATAGGGGGAAGTCTCATGGTTTTTCTCGAGTTGCGGCGGGGACCTGGGGTATGTTCTCAACTTACGGCGGGGATGGCCCTTCAAAACACGAGTTTCTTCAGTGACGTCAGGACTCCTGTCTAGTAACGAGGGACACCTCAGCAATCTCTTCGAGGCTTGACAGGGCAAAAGGGACGCTTCTCGAGGTGAGCCAGGGCACCCAAGGAACCTTTCCAGTAGCCACAGGGATTTGGGGATTCCTATAAGTATTCAAGAGGAGTCAGGCATCGTCACCTTTTGAAGCAATGAACTCCGCGTGCCTCTCGAGGTGTCAGCGGGATGTGAGGATTCCGTCAAAATGAGGCAGGGACCTAGGGCTTTCTCTAAGGTCTCCACAGGGGATTCAGACATCCCTTCATGTTGTGAGATGAAAGACGAGCCTGTATTCAAGCCACTGCAAGGAAATCCGGCCTCCTTTCAAGTTAGGGCTTCTCGCTGTATATTCCCCTTGAGGCAGCAAACTCGGGGTCCCTCCCACATACCTATTGCTGAGAGAAGCCTCCTCCTGAGGTGCTTTTGGAAAGTTGGCATACGTCTTGAGCCTAAGCCAGTGAATCAGCTCTCATCTCGAGACGATTTGCGGTACACAGAGCATTCCTCGAGTAGCTGTGCTGAAGTTGGTGGTCCTCTAGACTTGGGACAGTGTTCCAGGGGCACCTCTGGAGTTGGATGAAAGAAGTCGAGCCACCGGTCGTGTTGAATGGGGAACAGGGAATGGCTCTGGAGTCAATGCAGTGGAATCCGGCCTCATCTCGAGTTGATTTGGGGCACATGGAGCTGCTTTGCATTGCTGGGTGACCTCAGGGTCCGTCTAGACTGGTGACAGTGTTCTTGGGGACTGTCTCGAGATCCATTAGGCAGGTCAAAGCTCCTGACTTGTTTGAAGGGGATCACGGAATAGCTCTGCATGCACTGCAGGGGAATGGGGCCTCATCTCGCCTCTAGGGGGAAGTCTCATGGTTTTTCTCGAGTTGCGGTGGGGACCTGGGGTATGTTCTCGACTTACGGCGGGGATGGCCCTTCAAAACACGAGTTTCTTCAGTGACGTCAGGACTCCTGTCTAGTAATGAGGGACACCTCAGAAATCTCTTCGAGACTTGGCAGGGCAAAAGGGACGCTTCTCGAGGTGAACCAGGTCACCCAAGGACCCTTTCCAGTAGCCACAGGGATTTTGGGATTTCTATAAGTATTCAAGAGGAGTCAGGCATCGTCACCTTTTGAAGCAATGAACTCCGCGTGCCTCTCGAGGTGTCAGCGAGATGTGAGGATTCCGTCAAAATGAGGCAGGGACCTAGGGCTTTCTCTAAGGTCTCCACAGGGGATTCAGACATCCCTTCATGCTGTGAGATGAAAGAGGAGCCTGTATTCAAGCTACTGCAAGGAAATCCGTCCTCCTTTCAAGTTAGGGCTTCTCGCTGTATATTCCCCTTGAGGCAGCAAACTCGGGGTCCCTCCCACATACCTATTCCTGAGAGAAGCCTCCTCCTGAGGAGCTTCTGGAAAGTTGGCATACGTCTTGAGCCTAAGCCAGGGAATCAGCTCTCATCTCGAGACGATTTGGGGTACACAGAGCATTCCTCGAGTTGCTGTGCTGAAGTTGGTGGTCCTCTAGACTTGGGACAGTGTTCTCGGGGCATCTCTGGAGTTGCCTGAAGGAAGTCGAGCCACCGGTCGTGTTGAATGGGGAACAGGGAATGGCCCTGGAGTCAATGCAGGGGAATCCGGCCTCATCTCGAGTTGATTTGGGGCACATGGAGCTGCTTTGCATTGCTGGGTTACCTCAGGGTCCGTCTAGACCGGTGACAGTGTTCTTGGGGACTGTCTCGAGATCCATTAAGCAAGTCGAAGCTCCTGACTTGTTTGAATGGGATCACGGAATAGCTCTGCATGCACTGCAGTGGAATGAGGACTCATCTCGCCTCTAGGGGGAAGTCTCAATGTTTTTCTCGAGTTGCGGTGGGGACCTGGGGTATGTTCTCGACTTACGGCGGGGATGGCCCTTCAAAACACGAGTTTCTTCAGTGACGTCAGGACTCCTGTCTAGTAATGAGGGACACCTCAGAAATCTCTTCGAGACTTGGCAGGGCAAAAGGGACGCTTCTCGAGGTGAGCCAGGGCACCCAAGGACCATTTCCAGTAGCCACAGGGATTTTGGGATTCCTATCAGTATTCAAGAGGAGTCAGGCATCGTCACCTTTTGCAGCAATGAACTCCGCGTGCCTCTCGAGGTGTCAGCGGGATGTGAGGATTCCGTCAAAATGAGGCAGGGACCTAGGGCTTCCTCTAAGGTCTCCACAGGGGATTCAGACATCCCTTCATGTTGTGAGATGAAAGACGAGCCTGTATTCAAGCCACTGCAAGGAAATCCGGCCTCCTTTCAAGTTAGGGCTTCTCGCTGTATATTCCCCTTGAGGCAGCAAACTCGGGGTCCCTCCCACATACCTATTGCTGAGAGAAGCCTCCTCCTGAGGTGCTTCTGGAAAGTTGGCATACGTCTTGAGCCTAAGCCAGGGAATCAGCTCTCATCTCGAGACGATTTGGGGTACACAGAGCATTCCTCGAGTTGCTGTGCTGAAGTTGGTGGTCCTCTAGACTTGGGACAGTGTTCTCGGGGCATCTCTGGAGTTGCCTGAAGGAAGTCGAGCCACCGGTCGTGTTGAATGGGGAACAGGGAATGGCTCTGGGGTCAATGCAGGGGAATCCGGCCTCATCTCGAGTTGATTTGGGGCACATGGAGCTGCTTTGCATTGCTGGGTGACCTCAGGGTCCGTCTCGACTGGTGACAGTGTTCTTGGGGACTGTCTCGAGATCCATTAAGCAAGTCGAAGCTCCTGACTTGTTTGAATGGGATCACGGAATAGCTCTGCATGCACTGCAGGGGAATGGTGCCTCATCTCGCCTCTAGGGGGAATTCTCACGGTTTTTCTCGACTTGCGGCAGGGACCTGGGGTATGTTCTCGACTTACGGCGGGGATGGCCCTTCAAACCACGAGTTTCTTCAGTGACGTCAGGACTCCTGTCTAGTAATGAGGGACACCTCAGCAATCTCTTCGAGGCTTGGCAGGGCAAAAGGGACGCCTCTCGAGGTGAGCCAGGGCACCCAAGGACCCTTTCCAGTAGCCACAGTTATTTTGGGATTCCTATACGTATTCAAGAGCAGTCAGGCATCGTCACCTTTTCAAGCAATGAACTCTGCGTGCCTCTCGAGGTGTCAGGGGGATGTGAGGTATTCCGTCACAATGAGGCAGGGACCTAGGGCTTCCTCTAAGGACTCCACAGGGGATTCAGACATCCCTTCATGTTGTCAGATCAAAGACGAGCCTGTATTCAAGCCACTGCAAGGAAATCCGGCCTCCTTTCAAGTTAGGGCTTCTCGCTGTATATGCCCCTTGAGGCAGCAAACTCGGAGTCCTGCCCACATACCTATTGCTGAGAAGCCTCTACCTGAGGTGCTTCTGGAAAGTTGGCATACGTCTTGAGCCTAAGCCAGGGAATCAGCTCTCATCTCGAGACGATTTGGGGTACACAGAGCATTCCTCGAGTTGCTGTGCTGAAGTTGGTGTTCCTCTAGACTTGGGACAGTGTTCTCGGGGCATTTCTGGAGTTCCCTGAAGGAAGGCGAGCCACCGGTCGTGTTGAACGGCTAACGGGGAATGGCTCTGGAGTCAATGCAGGGGAATCGGGCCTCATCTCGAGTTGATTTGGGGCACATGGAGCTGCTTTGCGTTGCTGGGGTGACCTCAGGGTCCGTCTAGACTGGTGACAGTGTTCTTGGGGACTGTCTCGAGATCCATTAAGCAAGTCGAAGCTCCTGACTTGTTTGAATGGGATCACGGAATAGCTCTGCATGCACTGCAGGGGAATGGGGCTTCATCTCGCCTCTAGGGGGAAGTCTCACGGTTTTTCTCGAGTTGCGGCGGGGACCTGGGGTATGTTCTCGACTTACGGCGGGGATGGCCCTTCAAAACACGAGTTTCTCCAGTGACGTCAGGACTCCTGCCTAGTAACGAGGGACACCTCAGGAATCTCTTCGAGGCTTGGCAGGGCAAAAGGGACGCTTCTCGAGGTGAGGCAGGGCACACAAGGACCCTTTTCAGTAGCCACAGGGATTTTGGGATTCCTATCAATATTCAAGAGGAGTCAGGCATCGTCACCTTTTGAAGCAATGAACTCCGCGTGCCTCTCGAGGTGTCAGCGGGATGTGAGGCATTCCGTCAAAATGAGGCAGGGAGCTAGGGCTTTCTCTAAGGTCTCCACATGGGATTCAGACATCCCTTCATGCTGTCAGATCAAAGACGAGCCTGTATTCAAGCCACTGCAAGGAAATCCGGCCTCCTTTCAAGTTAGGGCTTCTCGCTGTATATTCCCCTTGAGGCAGCAAACTCGGGGTCCCTCCCACATACCTATTGCTGAGAGAAGCCTACTCCTGAGGTGCTTCTGGAAAGTTGGCATACGTCTTGAGCCTAAGCCAGGGAATCAGCTCTCATCTCGAGATGATTTGGGGTACACGGAGCATTCCTCGAGTTGCTGTGCTGAAGTTGGTGTTCCTCTAGACTTGGGACAGTGTTCTCGGGGCATCTCTGGAGTTGCCTGAAGGAAGTCGAGCCACCGGTCGTGTTGAATGGGGAACGGGGAATGGCTCTGGAGTCAATGCAGGGGAATCGGGCCTCATCTCGAGTTGATTTGGGGCACATGGAGCAGCTTTGCGTTGCTGGGGTGACCTCAGGGTCCGTCTAGACTGGTGACAGTGTTCTTGGGGACTGTCTCGAGATCCATTAAGCAAGTCGAAGCTCCTGACTTGTTTGAATGGGATCACGGAATAGCTCTGCATGCACTGCAGGGGAATGGGGCCTCATCTCGCCTCTAGGGGGAAGTCTCATGGTTTTTCTCGAGTTGCGGCGGGGACCTGGGGTATGTTCTCGACTTACGGCGGGGATGGCCCTTCAAAACACGAGTTTCTCCAGTGACGTCAGGACTCCTGCCTAGTAACGAGGGACACCTCAGGAATCTCTTCGAGGCTTGGCAGGGCAAAAGGGACGCTTCTCGAGGTGAGGCAGGGCACCCAAGGACCCTTTCCAGTAGCCACAGGGATTTTGGGATTCCTATCAGTATTCAAGAGGAGTCAGGCATCGTCACCTTTGGTAGCAATGAACTCCGCGTGCCTCTCGAGGTGTCAGCGGGATGTGAGGCATTCCGTCAAAATGAGGCAGGGACCTAGGGCTTTCTCTAAGGTCTCCACAGGGGATTCAGACATCCCTTCATGTTGTGAGATGAAAGACAAGCCTGTATTCAAGCTACTGCAAGGAAATCCGGCCTCCTTTCAAGTTAGGGCTTCTCGATGTATATTCCCCTTGAGGCAGCAAACTCGGGGTCCCTCCCACATACCTATTGCTGAGAGACGCCTTCTCCTGAGGTGCTTCTGGAAAGTTGGCATACGTCTTGAGCCTAAGCCAGGGAATCAGCTCTCATCTCGAGATGATTTGGGGTACACGGAGCATTCCTCGAGTTGCTGTGCTGAAGTTGGTGTTCCTCTAGACTTGGGACAGTGTTCTCGGGGCATCTCTTTAGTTGCCTGAAGGAAGTCGAGCCACCGGTCGTGTTGAATGGGGAATGGGGAATGGCTCTGGAGTCAATGCAGGGGAATCGGGCCTCATCTCGAGTTGATTTGGGGCACATGGAGCAGCTTTGCGTTGCTGGGGTGACCTCAGGGTCCGTCTAGACTGGTGACAGTGTTCTTGGGGACTGTGTCGAGATCCATTAAGCAAGTCGAAGCTCCTGACTTGTTTGAATGGGATCACGGAATAGCTCTGCATGCACTGCAGGGGAATGGGGCCTCATCTCGCCTCTAGGGGGAAGTCTCATGGTTTTTCTCGAGTTGCGGCGGGGACCTGGGGTATGTTCTCGACTTACGGCGGGGATGGCCCTTCAAAACACGAGTTTCTCCAGTGACGTCAGGACTCCTGCCTAGTAACGAGGGACACCTCAGGAATCTCTTCGAGGCTTGGCAGGTCAAAAGGGACGCTTCTCGAGGTGAGGCAGGGCACCCAAGGACCCTTTCCAGTAGCCACAGGGATTTTGGGATTCCTATCAGTATTCAAGAGGAGTCAGGCATCGTCACCTTTTGTAGCAATGAACTCCGCGTGCCTCTCGAGGTGTCAGCGGGATGTGAGGCATTCCGTCAAAATGAGGCAGGGACCTAGGGCTTTCTCTAAGGTCTCCACAGGGGATTCAGACATCCCTTCATGTTGTGAGATGAAAGACAAGCCTGTATTCAAGCTACTGCAAGGAAATCCGGCCTCCTTTCAAGTTAGGGCTTCTCGATGTATATTCCCCTTGAGGCAGCAAACTCGGGGTCCCTCCCACATACCTATTGCTGAGAGACGCCTACTCCTGAGGTGCTTCTGGAAAGTTGGCATACGTCTTGAGCCTAAGCCAGGGAATCAGCTCTCATCTCGAGATGATTTGGGGTACACGGAGCATTCCTCGAGTTGCTGTGCTGAAGTTGGTGTTCCTCTAGACTTGGGACAGTGTTCTCGGGGCATCTCTTTAGTTGCCTGAAGGAAGTCGAGCCACCGGTCGTGTTGAATGGGGAACGGGGAATGGCTCTGGAGTCAATGCAGGGGAATCGGGCCTCATCTCGAGTTGATTTGGGGCACATGGAGCAGCTTTGCGTTGCTGGGGTGACCTCAGGGTCCGTCTAGACTGGTGACAGTGTTCTTGGGGACTGTCTCGAGATCCATTAAGCAAGTCGAAGCTCCTGAATTGTTTGAATGGGATCAAGGAATAGCTCTGCATGCACTGCAGGGGAATGGGGCCTCATCTCGCCTCTAGGGGGGAGTCTCATGGTTTTTCTCGAGTTGCCGCGGGGACCTGGGGTATGTTCTCGACTTACGGCGGGGATGGCCCTTCAAAACACGAGTTTCTTCAGTGACGTCAGGACTCCTGCCTAGTAATGAGGGACACCTCAGGAATCTCTTCGAGGCTTGGCAGGGCAAAAGGGACGCTTCTCGAGGTGAGGCAGGGCACCCAAAGACCCTTTCCAGTAGCCACAGGGATTTTGGGATTCCTATCAGTATTCAAGAGGAGTCAGGCATCGTCACCTTTTGAAGCAATGAACTCCGCGTGCCTCTCGAGGTGTCAGCGGGATGTGAGGCATTCCGTCAAAATGAGGCAGGGACCTAGGGCTTTCTCTAAGGTCTCCACAGGGGATTAAGACATCCCTTCAAGTTTTGAGATGAAAGACAAGCCTGTATTCAATCTATTGCATGGAAATCCGGACTCCTTTCAAGTTAGGGCTTCTCGCTGTATATTCCCCTTGAGGCAGCAAACTCGGAGTCCCTCCCACATACCTATTGCTGAGAAGCCTCCTCCTGAGGTGCTTCTGGAAAGTTGGCATACGTCTTGAGCCTAAGCCAGGGAATCAGCTCTCATCTCGAGATGATTTGGGGTACACGGAGCATTCCTCGAGTTGCTGGGCTGAAGTTGGTGTTCCTCTAGACTTGGGAAAGTGTTCTCTGGGCATCTCTGGAGTTGCCTGAAGGAAGTCGAGCCACCGGTCTTGTTGAATGGGGAACGGGGAATGGCTCTGGAGTCAATGCAGGGGAATCGGGCCTCATCTCGAGTTGATTTGGGGCACATGGAGCAGCTTTGCGTTGCTGGGGTGACCTCAGGGTCCGTGTAGACTCGTGACAGTGTTCTTGGGGACTGTCTCGAGATCCATTAAGCAAGTCGAAGCTCCTGACTTGTTTGAATGGGATCACGGAATAGCTCTGCATGCACTGCAGGGGAATGGGGCCTCATCTCGCCTCTAGGGGGAAGTCTCACGGTTTTTCTCGAGTTGCGGCGGGGACATGGGGTATGTTCTCGACTTACGGCGGGGATGGCCCTTCAAAACACGAGTTTCTCCAGTGACGTCAGGACTCCTGCCTAGTAACGAGGGACACCTCAGGAATCTCTTCGAGGCTTGGCAGGGCAAAAGGGACGCTTCTCGAGGTGAGGCAGGGCACCCAAGGACCCTTTCCAGTAGCCACAGGGATTTTGGGATTCCTATCAGTATTCAAGAGGAGTCAGGCATCGTCACCTTTTGAAGCAATGAACTCTGCGTGCCTCTCGAGGTGTCAGCGGGATGTGAGGATTCCGTCAAAATGAGGCAGGGACCTAGGGCTTCCTCTAAGGTCTCCACAGGGGATTCAGACATCCTTTCATGTTGTCAGATGAAAGACGAGCCTGTATTCAAGCCACTGCAAGGAAATCCGGCCTCCTTTCAAGTTAGGGCTTCTCGCTGTATATTCCCCTTGAGGCAACAAACTCGGGGTCCCTCCCACATACCTATTGCTGAGAGAAGCCTCCTCCTGAGGTGCTTCTGGAAAGTTGGCATACGTCTTGAGCCTAAGCCAGGGAATCAGCTCTCATGTCGAGACGATTTGGGGTACACAGAGCATTCCTCGAGTTGCTGTGCTGAAGTTGGTGGTCCTCTAGACTTGGGACAGTGTTCTCGGGGCATCTCTGGAGTTGCCTGAAGGAAGTCGAGCCACCGGTCGTATTGAATGGGGAACGGGGAATGGCTCTGGAGTCAATGCAGGGGAATCGGGCCTCATCTCGAGTTGATTTGGGGCACATGGAGCAGCTTTGCATTGCTGGGGTGACCTCAGGGTCCGTCTAGACTGGTGACAGTGTTCTTGGGGACTGTCTCGAGATCCATTAAGCAAGTCGAAGCTCCTGACTTGTTTGAATGGGATCACGGAATAGCTCTGCATGCACTGCAGGGGAATGGGGCCTCATCTCGCCTCTAGGGGGAAGTCTCATGGTTTTTCTCGAGTTGCGGCGGGGACCTGGGGTATGTTCTCGACTTACGGCGGGGATGGCCCTTCAAAACACGAGTTTCTCCAGTGACGTCAGGACTCCTGCCTAGTAACGAGGGACACCTCAGGAATCTCTTCGAGGCTTGGCAGGGCAAAAGGGACGCTTCTCGAGGTGAGGCAGGGCACCCAAGGACCCTTTCCAGTAGCCACAGGGATTTTGGGATTCCTATCACTATTCAAGAGGAGTCAGGCATCGTCACCTTTGGTAGCAATGAACTCCGCGTGCCTCTCGAGGTGTCAGCGGGATGTGAGGCATTCCGTCAAAATGAGGCAGGGACCTAGGGCTTTCTCTAAGGTCTCCACAGGGGATTCAGACATCCCTTCATGTTGTGAGATGAAAGACAAGCCTGTATTCAAGCTACTGCAAGGAAATCCGGCCTCCTTTCAAGTTAGGGCTTCTCGATGTATATTCCCCTTGAGGCAGCAAACTCGGGGTCCCTCCCACATACCTATTGCTGAGAGACGCCTACTCCTGAGGTGCTTCTGGAAAGTTGGCATACGTCTTGAGCCTAAGCCAGGGAATCAGCTCTCATCTCGAGATGATTTGGGGTACACGGAGCATTCCTCGAGTTGCTGTGCTGAAGTTGGTGTTCCTCTAGACTTGGGACAGTGTTCTCGGGGCATCTCTTTAGTTGCCTGAAGGAAGTCGAGCCACCGGTCGTGTTGAATGGGGAACGGGGAATGGCTCTGGAGTCAATGCAGGGGAATCGGGCCTCATCTCGAGTTGATTTGGGGCACATGGAGCAGCTTTGCGTTGCTGGGGTGACCTCAGGGTCCGTCTAGACTGGTGACAGTGTTCTTGGGGACTGTGTCGAGATCCATTAAGCAAGTCGAAGCTCCTGACTTGTTTGAATGGGATCACGGAATAGCTCTGCATGCACTGCAGGGGAATGGGGCCTCATCTCGCCTCTAGGGGGAAGTCTCATGGTTTTTCTCGAGTTGCGGCGGGGACCTGGGGTATGTTCTCGACTTACGGCGGGGATGGCCCTTCAAAACACGAGTTTCTCCAGTGACGTCAGGACTCCTGCCTAGTAACGAGGGACACCTCAGGAATCTCTTCGAGGCTTGGCAGGGCAAAAGGGACACTTCTCGAGGTGAGGCAGGGCACCCAAGGACCCTTTCCAGTAGCCACAGGGATTTTGGGATTCCTATCAGTATTCAAGAGGAGTCAGGCATCGTCACCTTTTGTAGCAATGAACTCCGCGTGCCTCTCGAGGTGTCAGCGGGATGTGAGGCATTCCGTCAAAATGAGGCAGGGACCTAGGGCTTTCTCTAAGGTCTCCACAGGGGATTCAGACATCCCTTCATGTTGTGAGATGAAAGACAAGCCTGTATTCAAGCTACTGCAAGGAAATCCGGCCTCCTTTCAAGTTAGGGCTTCTCGATGTATATTCCCCTTGAGGCAGCAAACTCGGGGTCCCTCCCACATACCTATTGCTGAGAGACGCCTACTCCTGAGGTGCTTCTGGAAAGTTGGCATACGTCTTGAGCCTAAGCCAGGGAATCAGCTCTCATCTCGAGATGATTTGGGGTACACGGAGCATTCCTCGAGTTGCTGTGCTGAAGTTGGTGTTCCTCTAGACTTGGGACAGTGTTCTCGGGGCATCTCTTTAGTTGCCTGAAGGAAGTCGAGCCACCGGTCGTGTTGAATGGGGAACGGGGAATGGCTCTGGAGTCAATGCAGGGGAATCGGGCCTCATCTCGAGTTGATTTGGGGCACATGGAGCAGCTTTGCGTTGCTGGGGTGACCTCAGGGTCCGTCTAGACTGGTGACAGTGTTCTTGGGGACTGTCTCGAGATCCATTAAGCAAGTCGAAGCTCCTGACTTGTTTGAATGGGATCAAGGAATAGCTCTGCATGCACTGCAGGGGAATGGGGCCTCATCTCGCCTCTAGGGGGGAGTCTCATGGTTTTTCTCGAGTTGCCGCGGGGACCTGGGGTATGTTCTCGACTTACGGCGGGGATGGCCCTTCAAAACACGAGTTTCTTCAGTGACGTCAGGACTCCTGCCTAGTAATGAGGGACACCTCAGGAATCTCTTCGAGGCTTGGCAGGGCAAAAGGGACGCTTCTCGAGGTGAGGCAGGGCACCCAAAGACCCTTTCCAGTAGCCACAGGGATTTTGGGATTCCTATCAGTATTCAAGAGGAGTCAGGCATCGTCACCTTTTGAAGCAATGAACTCCGCGTGCCTCTCGAGTTGTCAGCGGGATGTGAGGCATTCCGTCAAAATGAGGCAGGGACCTAGGGCTTTCTCTAAGGTCTCCACAGGGGATTAAGACATCCCTTCAAGTTTTGAGATGAAAGACAAGCCTGTATTCAATCTATTGCATGGAAATCCGGACTCCTTTCAAGTTAGGGCTTCTCGCTGTATATTCCCCTTGAGGCAGCAAACTCGGAGTCCCTCCCACATACCTATTGCTGAGAAGCCTCCTCCTGAGGTGCTTCTGGAAAGTTGGCATACGTCTTGAGCCTAAGCCAGGGAATCAGCTCTCATCTCGAGATGATTTGGGGTACACGGAGCATTCCTCGAGTTGCTGGGCTGAAGTTGGTGTTCCTCTAGACTTGGGAAAGTGTTCTCTGGGCATCTCTGGAGTTGCCTGAAGGAAGTCGAGCCACCGGTCTTGTTGAATGGGGAACGGGGAATGGCTCTGGAGTCAATGCAGGGGAATCTGGCCTCATCTCGAGTTGATTTGGGGCACATGGAGCAGCTTTGCGTTGCTGGGGTGACCTCAGGGTCCGTGTAGACTCGTGACAGTGTTCTTGGGGACTGTCTCGAGATCCATTAAGCAAGTCGAAGCTCCTGACTTGTTTGAATGGGATCACGGAATAGCTCTGCATGCACTGCAGGGGAATGGGGCCTCATCTCGCCTCTAGGGGGAAGTCTCACGGTTTTTCTCGAGTTGCGGCGGGGACATGGGGTATGTTCTCGACTTACGGCGGGGATGGCCCTTCAAAACACGAGTTTCTCCAGTGACGTCAGGACTCCTGCCTAGTAACGAGGGACACCTCAGGAATCTCTTCGAGGCTTGGCAGGGCAAAAGGGACGCTTCTCGAGGTGAGGCACGGCACCCAAGGACCCTTTCCAGTAGCCACAGGGATTTTGGGATTCCTATCAGTATTCAAGAGGAGTCAGGCATCGTCACCTTTTGAAGCAATGAACTCTGCGTGCCTCTCGAGGTGTCAGCGGGATGTGAGGATTCCGTCAAAATGAGGCAGGGACCTAGGGCTTCCTCTAAGGTCTCCACAGGGGATTCAGACATCCTTTCATGTTGTCAGATGAAAGACGAGCCTGTATTCAAGCCACTGCAAGGAAATCCGGCCTCCTTTCAAGTTAGGGCTTCTCGCTGTATATTCCCCTTGAGGCAACAAACTCGGGGTCCCTCCCACATACCTATTGCTGAGAGAAGCCTCCTCCTGAGGTGCTTCTGGAAAGTTGGCATACGTCTTGAGCCTAAGCCAGGGAATCAGCTCTCATGTCGAGACGATTTGGGGTACACAGAGCATTCCTCGAGTTGCTGTGCTGAAGTTGGTGGTCCTCTAGACTTGGGACAGTGTTCTCGGGGCATCTCTGGAGTTGCCTGAAGGAAGGCGAGCCACCGGTCCTGTTGAACGGGGAACGGGGAATGGCTCTGGAGTCAATGCAGGGGAATCGGGCCTCATCTCGATTTGACTTGGGGCACATGGAGCTGCTTTGCGTTGCTGGGGTGACCTCAGGGTCCGTCTAGACTGGTGACAGTGTTCTTGGGGACTGTCTCGAGATCCATTAAGCAGGTCGAAGCTCCTGACTTGTTTGAATGGGATCACGGAATAGCTCTGCATGCACTGCAGGGGAATGGGGCCTCATCTCGCCTCTAGGGGGAAGTCTCATGGTTTTTCTCGAGTTGCGGCGGGGACCTGGGGTATGTTCTCGACTTACGGCGGGGATGGCCCTTCAAAACACGAGTTTCTTCAGTGACGTCAGGACTCCTGTCTAGTAATGAGGGACACCTCAGCAATCTCTTCGAGGCTTGGCAGGGCAAAAGGGACGCTTCTCGAGGTGAGGCAGGGCACCCAAGGACCCTTTCCAGTAGGCACAGGGATTTTGGGATTCCTATAAGTATTCAAGAGGAGTCAGGCATCGTCACCATTTCAAGCAATGAACTCTGCGTGCCTCTCGAGGTGTCAGGGGGATGTGAGGTATTCCGTCAAAATGAGGCAGGGACCTAGGGCTTCCTCTAAGGCCTCCACAGGGGATTCAGACATCCCTTCATGTTGTCAGATCAAAGACGAGCCTGTATTCAAGCCACTGCAAGGAAATCTGGCCTCCGTTCACATTAGGGCTTCTCCCTGTGTATTCCCCTTGTGGCAGAAAACTCGGGGTCCCTCCCACATAACTATTGCTGAGAGAAGCCTCCTCTTGAGGTGCTTCTGGAAAGTTGGCATACGTCTTGAGCCTAAGCCAGGGAATCAGTTCTCATCTCGAGATGATTTGGGGTACACGGAGCATTCCTTGAGTTGCTGTGCTGAAGTTGTTGTTCCTCTAGACTTGGGACAGTGTGCTCGGGGCATCTCTAGAGTTGCCTGAAGGAAGGCGAGCCTCCGTTCATGTTGAACGGGGAACGGGGAATGGCTCTGGAGTCAATGCAGGGGAATCGGGCCTCATCTCGAGTTGATTTGGGGCACATGGATCTGCTTTGCGTTGCTGGGGTGACCTCAGGGTCCGTCTAGACTGGTGACAGTGTTCTTGGGGACTGTCTCGAGATCCATTAACCAAGTCGAAGCTCCTGACTTGTTTGAATGGGATCACGGAATAGCTCTGCATGCACTGCAGGGGAATGGGGCCTCATCTCGCCTCTAGGGGGAAGTCTCACGGTTTTTCTCGAGTTGGGGCGGGGACCTGGGGTTTGTTCTCGACTTAGGGCGGGGATGGCCCTTCAAAACACGAGTTTCTTCAGTGACGTCAGGACTCCTGTCTAGTAATGAGGGACACCTCAGCAATCTCTTCGAGGCTTGGCAGGGCAAAAGGGACGCTTCTCGAGGTGAGGCAGGGCACCCAAGGACCCTTTCCAGTAGCCATAGGGATTTTGGGATTCCTATAAGTATTCAAGAGTAGTCAGGCATCGTCACCATTTCAAGCAATGAACTCTGCGTGCCTCTCGAGGTGTCAGCGGGATGTGAGGTATTCTGTCAAAATGAGGCAGGGAACTAGGGCTTCCTCTAAGGTCTCCACAGGGGATTCAGACATCCCTTCATGTTGTCAGATCAAAGACGAGCCTGTATTCAAGCCACTGCAAGGAAATCTGGCCTCCGTTCACATTAGGGCTTCTCCCTGTGTATTCCCCTTGAGGCAGCAAACTCGGGGTCCCTCCCACTTACCTATTGCTGAGAGAAGCCTCCTCCTGAGGTGCTTCTGGAAAGTTGGCATACGTCTTGAGCCTAAGCCAGGGAATCAGCTCTCATCTCGAGATGATTTGGGGTACACGGAGCATTCCTCGAGTTGCTGTGCTGAAGTTCGTGTTCCTCTAGACTTGCGAAAGTGTTCTCTGGGCATCTCTGGAGTTGCCTGAAGGAAGTCGAGCCACCGGTCGTGTTGAATGGGGAACGGGGAATGGCTCTGGAGTCAATGCAGGGGAATCGGGCCTCATCTCGAGTTCATTTGGGGTACATGGAGCAGCTTTGCGTTGCTGGGGTGAACTCAGGGTCCGTCTAGACTGGTGACAGTGTTCTTGGGGACTGTCTCGAGATCCATTAAGCAAGTCGAAGCTCCTGACTTGTTTGAATGGGATCACGGAATAGCTCTGCATGCACTGCAGGGGAATGGGGCCTCATCTCGCCTCTAGGGGGAAGTCTCATTGTTTTTCTCGAGTTGCGGCGGGGACCTGGGGTATGTTCTCGACTTACGGCGGGGATGGCCCTTCAAAACACGAGTTTCTCCAGTGACGTCTGGACTCCTGCCTAGTAACGAGGGACACCTCAGGAATCTCTTCGAGGCTTGGCAGGGCAAAAGGGACGCTTCTCGAGGTGAGGCACGGCACCCAAGGACCCTTTCCAGTAGCCACAGGGATTTTGGGATTCCTATCAGTATTCAAGAGGAGTCAGGCATCGTCACCTTTTGAAGCAATGAACTCTGCGTGCCTCTCGAGGTGTCAGCGGGATGTGAGGATTCCGTCAAAATGAGGCAGGGACCTAGGGCTTCCTCTAAGGTCTCCACAGGGGATTCAGACATCCTTTCATGTTGTCAGATGAAAGACGAGCCTGTATTCAAGCCACTGCAAGGAAATCCGGCCTCCTTTCAAGTTAGGGCTTCTCGCTGTATATTCCCCTTGAGGCAACAAACTCGGGGTCCCTCCCACATACCTATTGCTGAGAGAAGCCTCCTCCTGAGGTGCTTCTGGAAAGTTGGCATACGTCTTGAGCCTAAGCCAGGGAATCAGCTCTCATGTCGAGACGATTTGGGGTACACAGAGCATTCCTCGAGTTGCTGTGCTGAAGTTGGTGGTCCTCTAGACTTGGGACAGTGTGCTCGGGGCATCTCTGGAGTTGCCTGAAGGAAGGCGAGCCTCCGTTCATGTTGAACGGGGAACGGGGAATGGCTCTGGAGTCAATGCAGGGGAATCGGGCCTCATCTCGAGTTGATTTGGGGCACATGGAGCTGCTTTGCGTTGCTGGGGTGACCTCAGGGTCCGTCTAGACTGGTGACAGTGTTCTTGGGGACTGTCTCGAGATCCATTAACCAAGTCGAAGCTCCTGACTTGTTTGAATGGGATCACGGAATAGCTCTGCATGCACTGCAGGGGAATGGGGCCTCATCTCGCCTCTAGGGGGAAGTCTCACGGTTTTTCTCGAGTTGGGGCGGGGACCTGGGGTATGTTCTCGACTTACGGCGGGGATGGCCCTTCAAAACACGAGTTTCTTCAGTGACGTCAGGACTCCTGTCTAGTAATGAGGGACACCTCAGCAATCTCTTCGAGGCTTGGCAGGGCAAAAGGGACGCTTCTCGAGGTGAGGCAGGGCACCCAAGGACCCTTTCCAGTAGCCATAGGGATTTTGGGATTCCTATAAGTATTCAAGAGTAGTCAGGCATCGTCACCATTTCAAGCAATGAACTCTGCGTGCCTCTCGAGGTGTCAGGGGGATGTGAGGTATTCTGTCAAAATGAGGCAGGGAACTAGGGCTTCCTCTAAGGTCTCCACAGGGGATTCAGACATCCCTTCATGTTGTCAGATCAAAGACGAGCCTGTATTCAAGCCACTGCAAGGAAATCTGGCCTCCGTTCACATTAGGGCTTCTCCCTGTGTATTCCCCTTGAGGCAGCAAACTCGGGGTCCCTCCCACTTACCTATTGCTGAGAGAAGCCTCCTCCTGAGGTGCTTCTGGAAAGTTGGCATACGTCTTGAGCCTAAGCCAGGGAATCAGCTCTCATCTCGAGATGATTTGGGGTACACGGAGCATTCCTCGAGTTGCTGTGCTGAAGTTGGTGTTCCTCTAGACTTGGGACAGTGTTCTCGGGGCATCTCTGGAGTTGCCTGAAGGAAGGCGAGCCTCCGTTCGTGTTGAACGGGGAACGGGGAATGGCTCTGGAGTCAATGCAGGGGAATTGGGCCTCATCTCGAGTTGATTTGGGGCACATGGAGCTGCTTTGCGTTGCTGGGGTTACCTCAGGGTCCGTCTAGACTGGTGACAGTGTTCTTGGGGACTGTCTCGAGATCCATTAAGCAAGTCGAAGCTCCTGACTTGTTTGAATGGGATCACGGAATAGCTCTGCATGCACTGCAGGGGAATGGGGCCTCATCTCGCCTCTAGGGGGAAGTCTCACGGTTTTTCTCGAGTTGCGGCAGGGACCTGGGGTATGTTCTCGACTTACGGCGGGGATGGCCCTTCAAAACACGAGTTTCTTCAGTGACGTCAGGACTCCTGTCTAGTAACGAGGGACACCTCAGGAATCACTTCGAGGCTTGGCAGGCAAAAGGGACGCTTCTCGAGGTGAGGCAGGGCACCCAATGACCCTTTCCAGTAGCCCCAGGGATTTTGGGATTCCTATCAGTATTCAAGAGGAGTCAGGCATGGTCACCTTTTGAAGCAATGAACTCCGCGTGCCTCTCGAGGTGTCAGCGGGATGTGAGGCATTCCGTCAAAATGAGGCAGGGACCTAGGGCTTTCTCTAAGGTCTCCACAGGGGATTCAGACATCCCTTCATGTTGTGAGATGAAAGACGAGTGTGTATTCAAGCCACTGCAAGGAAATCCGGCTTCCTTTCAAGTTAGGGCTTCTCGCTGTATATTCCCCTTGAGGCAGCAAACTCGGGGTCCCTCCCACATACCTATTGCTGAGAGAAGCCTCCTCCTGAGGTGCTTCTGGGAAGTTGGCATACGTCTTGAGCCTAAGCCAGGGAATCAGCTCTCATCTCGAGACGATTTTCGGGTACACGGAGCATTCCTCGAGTTGCTGTGCTGAAGTTGGTGTTCCTATAGACTTGGGACAGTGTTCTCGGGGCATCTCTGGAGTTGCCTGAAGGAAGTCGAGCCACCGGTCGTGTTGAATGGGGAACGGGGAATGGCTCTGGAGTCAATGCAGGGGAATCGGGCCGCATCTCGAGTTGATTTGGGGCACATGGAGCTGCTTTGCGTTGCTGGGGTGACCTCAGGGTCCGTCTAGACTGGTGACAGTGTTCTTGGGGACTGTCTCGAGATCCATTAAGCAAGTCGAAGCTCCTGACTTGTTTGAATGGGATCACGGAATAGCTCTGCATGCACTGCAGGGGAATGGGGCCTCATCTCACCTCTAGGGGGAAGTCTCATGGTTTTTCTCGAGTTGCGGCTGGGACCTGGGGTATGTTCTCGACTTACGGCGGGGATGGCCCTTCAAAACACGAGTTTCTTCAGTGACGTCAGGACTCCTGTCTAGTAACGAGGGACACCTCAGGAATCTCTTCGAGGCTTGGCAGGGCAAAAGGGACGCTTCTCGAGGTGAGGCAGGGCACCCAAGGACCCTTCCCAGTAGCCACAGGGATTTTGGGATTCCTATCAGTATTCAAGAGGAGTCAGGCATCGTCACCTTTTGAAGCAATGAACTCCGCTTGCTTCTCCAGGTGTCAGCGGGATGTGAGGATTCCGTCAAAATGAGGCAGGGACCTAGAGCTTTCTCTAAGGTCTCCACCTGGGATTCAGACATCCCTTCATGTTGTGAGATGAAAGACGAGCCTGTATTAGTCCACTGCAAGGAAATCTGGCCTCCTTTCAAGTTAGGGCTTCTCGCTGTATATTCCCCTTGAGGCAGCAAACTCGGGGTCCCTCCCACATACCTATTGCTGAGAGAATCCTCCTCCTGAGGTGCTTCTGGAAAGTTGGCATACGTCTTGATCCTAAGCCAGGGAATCAGCTCTCATCTCGAGATGATTTGGGGTACACGGAGCATTCCTCGAGTTGCTGTGCTGAAGTTCGTGTTCCTCTAGACTTGCGAAAGTGTTCTCTGGGCATCTCTGGAGTTGCCTGAAGGAAGTCGAGCCACGGGTCTTGTTGAATAGGGAACGGGGAATGGCTCTGGAGTCAATGCAGGGGAATCGGGCCTCATCTCGAGTTGATTTGGGGCACATGGAGCAGCTTTGCGTTGCTGGGGTGACCTCAGGGTCCGTCTAGACTGGTGCAGTGTTCTTGGGGACTGTCTCGAGATCCATTAAGCAAGTCGAAGCTCCTGACTTGTTTGAATGGGATCACGGAATAGCTCTGCATGCACTGCAGGGGAATGGGGCCTCATCTCGCCTCTAGGGGGAAGTCTCATGGTTTTTCTCGAGTTGCGGCGGGGACCTGGGGTATGTTCTCGACTTACGGCGGGGATGGCCCTTCAAAACACGAGTTTCTCCAGTGACGTCAGGACTCCTGCCTAGTAACGAGGGACACCTCAGGAATCTCTTCGAGGCTTGGCAGGGCAAAAGGAACGCTTCTCGAGGTGCGGCAGGGCACCCAAGGCCCCTTTCCAGTAGCCACAGGGATTTTGGGATTCCTATCAGTATTCAAGAGGAGTCAGGCATCGTCACCTTTTGAAGCAATGAATTCCGCGTGCCTCTCGAGGTGTCAGCGGGATTTGAGGATTCCGTCAAAATGAGGCAGGGACCTAGGGCTTCCTCTAAGGTCTCCACAGGGGATTCAGACATCCCTTCATGTTGTGAGATGAAATACGAGCCTGTATTCAAGCCACTGCAAGGAAATCCGGCCTCCTTTCAAGTTAGGGCTTCTCGCTGTATATTCCCCTTGAGGCAACAAACTCGGGGTCCCTCCCACATACCTATTGCTGAGAGAAGCCTCCTCCAGAGGTGCTTCTGGAAATTTGGCATACGTCTTGAGCCTAAGCCAGGGAATCAGCTCGCATCTCGAAATGATTTGGGGTACACAGAGCATTCCTTGAATTGCTGTGCTGAAGTTGGTGGTCCTCTAGACTTGGGACAGTGTTCTCGGGGCATCTCTGGAGTTGCCTGAAGGAAGTCGAGACACCAGTCGTGTTGAATGGGGAACGGGGAATGGCTCTGGAGTCAATGCAGGGGAATCGGGCCTCATCTCGAGTTGATTTGGGGCACATGGAGCTGCTTTGCGTTGCTGGGGTGAGCTCAGGGTTCGTCTAGACTGGTGACAGTGTTCTTGGGGACTGTCTCGAGATCCATTAAGCAAGTCGAAGCTCCTGACTTGTTTGAATGGGATCACGGAATAGCTCTGCATGCACTGCAGGGGAATGGGGCCTCATCTCGCCTCTTGGGGGAAGTCTCACGGTTTTTCTCGAGTTGCGGCAGGGACCTGGGGTATGTTCTCGACTTACGGCGGGGATGGCCCTTCAAAACACGAGTTTCTTCAGTGACGTCAGGACTCCTGTCTAGTAACGAGGGACACCTCAGGGATCTCTTCGAGGCTTGGCAGGGCAAAAGGGACGCTTCTCGAGGTGAGGCAGGGCACCCAAGGACCCTTTCCAGTAGCCACAGGGATTTTGGGATTCCTATCAGTATTCAAGAGGAGTCAGGCATGGTCACCTTTTGAAGAAATGAACTCCGCTTGCTTCTCCAGGTGTCAGCGGGATGTGAGGATTCCGTCAAAATGACGCAGGGACCTAGAGCTTTCTCTAAGGTCTCCACAGGGGATTCAGACATCCCTTCATGTTGTGAGATGAAAGACGAGCCTGTATTAGTCCACTGCAAGGAAATCCGGCCTCCTTTCAAGTTAGGGCTTCTCGCTGTATATTCCCCTTGAGGCAGCAAATTCGGGGTCCCTCCCACATACCTATTGCTGAGAGAAGCCTCCTCCTGAGGTGCTTCTGGAAAGTTGGCATACGTCTTGAGCCTAAGCCAGGGAATCAGCTCTCATCTCGAGACGATTTGGGGTACACAGAGCATTCCTCGAGTTGCTGTGCTGAAGTTGGTGTTCCTCTAGACTTGGGACAGTGTTCTCGGGGCATCTCTGGAGTTGCCTGAAGGAAGGCGATCCACCGGTCGTGTTGAACGGGGAACGGGGAATGGCTCTGGAGTCAATGCAGGGGAACCGGGCCTCATCTCGATTTGCCTTGGGGCACATGGAGCTGCTTTGCGTTGCTGGGGTGACCTCAGGGTCCGTCTAGACTGGTGACAGTGTTCTTGGGGACTCTCTCGAGATCCATTAAGCAGGTCGAAGCTCCTGACTTGTTTGAATGGGATCACGGAATAGCTCTGCATGCACTGCAGGGGAATGGGGCCTCATCTCGCCTCTAGGGGGAAGTCTCATGGTTTTTCTCGAGTTGCGGCGGGGACCTGGGGTATGTTCTCGACTTACGGCGGGGATGGCCCTTCAAAACACGAGTTTCTTCAGTGACGTCAGGACTCCTGTCTAGTAACGAGGGACACCTCAGCAATCTCTTCGAGGCTTGGCAGGGCAAAAGGGACGCTTCTCGAGGTGAGGCAGGGCACCCAAGGACCCTTTCCAGTAGGCACAGGGATTTTGGGATTCCTATAAGTATTCAAGAGGTGTCAGGCATCGTCACCATTTCAAGCAATGAACTCTGCGTGCCTCTCGAGGTGTCAGGGGGATGTGAGGTATTCCGTCAAAATGAGGCAGGGACCTATGGCTTCCTCTAAGGTCTCCACAGGTGATTCAGACATCCCTTCATGTTGTCAGATCAAAGACGAGCCTGTATTCAAGCCACTGCAAGGAAATCTGGCCTCTGTTCACATTAGGGCTTCTCCCTGTGTATTCCCCTTGTGGCAGAAAACTCGGGGTCCCTCCCACATACCTATTGCTGAGAGAAGCCTCCTCCTGAGGTGCTTCTGGAAAGTTGGCATACGTCTTGAGCCTAAGCCAGGGAATCAGCTCTCATCTCGAGATGATTTGGGGTACACGGAGCATTCCTCGAGTTGCTGTGCTGAAGTTGGTGTTCCTCTAGACTTGGGACAGTGTTCTCGGGGCATCTCTGGAGTTGCCTGAAGGAAGGCGAGCCTCCGTTCGTGTTGAACGGGGAACGGGGAATGGCTCTGAAGTCAATGCAGGGGAATCCGGCCTCATCTCGAGTTGATTTGGGGCTCATGGAGCTGCTTTGCGTTGCTGGGGTTACCTCAGGGTCCGTCTAGACTGGTGACAGTGTTCTTGGGGACTGTCTCGAGATCCATTAACCAAGTCGAAGCTCCTGACTTGTTTGAATGGGATCACGGAATAGCTCTGCATGCACTGCAGGGGAATGGTGCCTCATCTCGCCTCTAGGGGGAAGTCTCACGGTTTTTCTCGAGTTGGGGCGGGGACCTGGGGTATGTTCTCGACTTACGGCGGGGATGGCCCTTCAAAACACGAGTTTCTTCAGTGACGTCAGGACTCCTGTCTAGTAATGAGGGACACCTCAGCAATCTCTTCGAGGCTTGGCAGGGCAAAAGGGACGCTTCTCGAGGTGAGGCAGGGCACCCAAGGACCCTTTCCAGTAGCCATAGGGATTTTGGGATTCCTATAAGTATTCAAGAGTAGTCAGGCATCGTCACCATTTCAAGCAATGAACTCTGCGTGCCTCTCGAGGTGTCAGGGGGATGTGAGGTATTCTGTCAAAATGAGGCAGGGAACTAGGGCTTCCTCTAAGGTCTCCACAGGGGATTCAGACATCCCTTCATGTTGTCAGATCAAAGACGAGCCTGTATTCAAGCCACTGCAAGGAAATCCGGCCTCCTTTCAAGTTAGGGCTTCTCGCTGTATATTCCCCTTGAGGCAGCAAACTCGGGGTCCCTCCCACATACCTATTGCTGAGAGAAGCCTCCTCCTGAGGTGCTTCTGGAAAGTTGGCATACGTCTTGAGCCTAAGCCAGGGAATCAGCTCTCATCTCGAGACGATTTGGGGTACACAGAGCATTCCTCGAGTTGCTGTGCTTAAGTTGGTGGTCCTCTAGACTTGGGACAGTGTTCTCGGGGCATCTCTGGAGTTGCCTGAAGGAAGTCGAGCCACCGGTCGTGTTGAATGGGGAACAGGGAATGGCTCTGGAGTCAATGCAGGGGAATCCGGCCTCATCTCGAGTTGATTTGGGGCACATGGAGCTGCTTTGCATTGCTGGGTGACCTCAGGTTCCGTCTAGACTGGTGACAGTGTTCTTGGGGACTGTCTCGAGATCCATTAAGCAGGTCGAAGCTCCTGACTTGTTTGAATGGGATCACGGAATAGCTCTGCATGCACTGCAGGGGAATGGGGCCTCATCTCGCCTCTAGGGGGAAGTCTCATGGTTTTTCTCGAGTTGCGGCGGGGACCTGGGGTATGTTCTCGACTTACGGCGGGGATGGCCCTTCAAAACACGAGTTTCTTCAGTGACGTCAGGACTCCTGTCTAGTAATGAGGGACACCTCAGCAATCTCTTCGAGGCTTGGCAGGGCAAAAGGGACGCTTCTCGAGGTGAGGCAGGGCACCCAAGGACCCTTTCCAGTAGGCACAGGGATTTTGGGATTCCTATAAGTATTCAAGAGGAGTCAGGCATCGTCACCATTTCAAGCAATGAACTCTGCGTGCCTCTCGAGGTGTCAGAGGGATGTGAGGTATTCCGTCAAAATGAGGCAGGGACCTAGGGCTTCCTCTAAGGTCTCCACAGGGGATTCAGACATCCCTTCATGTTGTCAGATCAAAGACGAGCCTGTATTCAAGCCACTGCAAGGAAATCTGGCCTCCGTTCACATTAGGGCTTCTCCCTGTGTGTTCCCCTTGTGGCAGAAAACTCGGGGTCCCTCCCACATAACTATTGCTGAGAGAAGCCTCCTCTTGAGGTGCTTCTGGAAAGTTGGCATACGTCTTGAGCCTAAGCCAGGGAATCAGTTCTCATCTCGAGATGATTTGGGGTACACGGAGCATTCCTCGAGTTGCTGTGCTGAAGTTGGTGTTCCTCTAGACTTGGGACAGTGTGCTCGGGGCATCTCTGGAGTTGCCTGAAGGAAGGCGAGCCTCCGTTCATGTTGAACGGGGAACGGGGAATGGCTCTGGAGTCAATGCAGGGGAATCGGGCCTCATCTCGAGTTGATTTGGGGCACATGGAGCTGCTTTGCGTTGCTGGGGTGACCTCAGGGTCCGTCTAGACTGGTGACAGTGTTCTTGGGGACTGTCTCGAGATCCATTAACCAAGTCGAAGCTCCTGACTTGTTTGAATGGGATCACGGAATAGCTCTGCATGCACTGCAGGGGAATGGGGCCTCATCTCGCCTCTAGGGGGAAGTCTCACGGTTTTTCTCGAGTTGGGGCGGGGACCTGGGGTATGTTCTCGACTTACGGCGGGGATGGCCCTTCAAAACACGAGTTTCTTCAGTGACGTCAGGACTCCTGTCTAGTAATGAGGGACACCTCAGCAATCTCTTCGAGGCTTGGCAGGGCAAAAGGGACGCTTCTCGAGGTGAGGCAGGGCACCCAAGGACCCTTTCCAGTAGCCATAGGGATTTTGGGATTCCTATAAGTATTCAAGAGTAGTCAGGCATCGTCACCATTTCAAGCAATGAACTCTGCGTGCCTCTCGAGGTGTCAGGGGGATGTGAGGTATTCTGTCAAAATGAGGCAGGGAACTAGGGCTTCCTCTAAGGTCTCCACAGGGGATTCAGACATCCCTTCATGTTGTCAGATCAAAGACGAGCCTGTATTCAAGCCACTGCAAGGAAATCTGGCCTCCGTTCACATTTGGGCTTCTCCCTGTGTATTCCCCTTGAGGCAGCAAACTCGGGGTCCCTCCCACTTACCTATTGCTGAGAGAAGCCTCCTCCTGAGGTGCTTCTGGAAAGTTGGCATACGTCTTGAGCCTAAGCCAGGGAATCAGCTCTCATCTCGAGATGATTTGGGGTACACGGAGCATTCCTCGAGTTGCTGTGCTGAAGTTGGTGTTCCTCTAGACTTGGGACAGTGTTCTCGGGGCATCTCTGGAGTTGCCTGAAGGAAGGCGATCCACCGGTCGTGTTGAACGGGGAACGGGGAATGGCTCTGGAGTCAATGCAGGGGAATCGGGCCTCATCTCGATTTGCCTTGGGGCACATGGAGCTGCTTTGCGTTGCTGGGGTGACCTCAGGGTCCGTCTAGACTGGTGACAGTGTTCTTGGGGACTGTCTCGAGATCCATTAAGCAGGTCGAAGCTCCTGACTTGTTTGAATGGGATCACGGAATAGCTCTGCATGCACTGCAGGGGAATGGGGCCTCATCTCGCCTCTAGGGGGAAGTCTCATGGTTTTTCTCGAGTTGCGGCGGGGACCTGGGGTATGTTCTCGACTTACGGCGGGGATGGCCCTTCAAAACACGAGTTTCTTCAGTGACGTCAGGACTCCTGTCTAGTAACGAGGGACACCTCAGCAATCTCTTCGAGGCTTGGCAGGGCAAAAGGGACGCTTCTCGAGGTGAGGCAGGGCACCCAAGGACCCTTTCCAGTAGGCACAGGGATTTTGGGATTCCTATAAGTATTCAAGAGGTGTCAGGCATCGTCACCATTTCAAGCAATGAACTCTGCGTGCCTCTCGAGGTGTCAGGGGGATGTGAGGTATTCCGTCAAAATGAGGCAGGGACCTATGGCTTCCTCTAAGGTCTCCACAGGTGATTCAGACATCCCTTCATGTTGTCAGATCAAAGACGAGCCTGTATTCAAGCCACTGCAAGGAAATCTGGCCTCTGTTCACATTAGGGCTTCTCCCTGTGTATTCCCCTTGTGGCAGAAAACTCGGGGTCCCTCCCACATACCTATTGCTGAGAGAAGCCTCCTCCTGAGGTGCTTCTGGAAAGTTGGCATACGTCTTGAGCCTAAGCCAGGGAATCAGCTCTCATCTCGAGATGATTTGGGGTACACGGAGCATTCCTCGAGTTGCTGTGCTGAAGTTGGTGTTCCTCTAGACTTGGGACAGTGTTCTCGGGGCATCTCTGGAGTTGCCTGAAGGAAGGCGAGCCTCCGTTCGTGTTGAACGGGGAACGGGGAATGGCTCTGAAGTCAATGCAGGGGAATCCGGCCTCATCTCGAGTTGATTTGGGGCTCATGGAGCTGCTTTGCGTTGCTGGGGTTACCTCAGGGTCCGTCTAGACTGGTGACAGTGTTCTTGGGGACTGTCTCGAGATCCATTAACCAAGTCGAAGCTCCTGACTTGTTTGAATGGGATCACGGAATAGCTCTGCATGCACTGCAGGGGAATGGTGCCTCATCTCGCCTCTAGGGGGAAGTCTCACGGTTTTTCTCGAGTTGGGGCGGGGACCTGGGGTATGTTCTCGACTTACGGCGGGGATGGCCCTTCAAAACACGAGTTTCTTCAGTGACGTCAGGACTCCTGTCTAGTAATGAGGGACACCTCAGCAATCTCTTCGAGGCTTGGCAGGGCAAAAGGGACGCTTCTCGAGGTGAGGCAGGGCACCCAAGGACCCTTTCCAGTAGCCATAGGGATTTTGGGATTCCTATAAGTATTCAAGAGTAGTCAGGCATCGTCACCATTTCAAGCAATGAACTCTGCGTGCCTCTCGAGGTGTCAGGGGGATGTGAGGTATTCTGTCAAAATGAGGCAGGGAACTAGGGCTTCCTCTAAGGTCTCCACAGGGGATTCAGACATCCCTTCATGTTGTCAGATCAAAGACGAGCCTGTATTCAAGCCACTGCAAGGAAATCCGGCCTCCTTTCAAGTTAGGGCTTCTCGCTGTATATTCCCCTTGAGGCAGCAAACTCGGGGTCCCTCCCACATACCTATTGCTGAGAGAAGCCTCCTCCTGAGGTGCTTCTGGAAAGTTGGCATACGTCTTGAGCCTAAGCCAGGGAATCAGCTCTCATCTCGAGACGATTTGGGGTACACAGAGCATTCCTCGAGTTGCTGTGCTTAAGTTGGTGGTCCTCTAGACTTGGGACAGTGTTCTCGGGGCATCTCTGGAGTTGCCTGAAGGAAGTCGAGCCACCGGTCGTGTTGAATGGGGAACAGGGAATGGCTCTGGAGTCAATGCAGGGGAATCCGGCCTCATCTCGAGTTGATTTGGGGCACATGGAGCTGCTTTGCATTGCTGGGTGACCTCAGGTTCCGTCTAGACTGGTGACAGTGTTCTTGGGGACTGTCTCGAGATCCATTAAGCAGGTCGAAGCTCCTGACTTGTTTGAATGGGATCACGGAATAGCTCTGCATGCACTGCAGGGGAATGGGGCCTCATCTCGCCTCTAGGGGGAAGTCTCATGGTTTTTCTCGAGTTGCGGCGGGGACCTGGGGTATGTTCTCGACTTACGGCGGGGATGGCCCTTCAAAACACGAGTTTCTTCAGTGACGTCAGGACTCCTGTCTAGTAATGAGGGACACCTCAGCAATCTCTTCGAGGCTTGGCAGGGCAAAAGGGACGCTTCTCGAGGTGAGGCAGGGCACCCAAGGACCCTTTCCAGTAGGCACAGGGATTTTGGGATTCCTATAAGTATTCAAGAGGAGTCAGGCATCGTCACCATTTCAAGCAATGAACTCTGCGTGCCTCTCGAGGTGTCAGAGGGATGTGAGGTATTCCGTCAAAATGAGGCAGGGACCTAGGGCTTCCTCTAAGGTCTCCACAGGGGATTCAGACATCCCTTCATGTTGTCAGATCAAAGACGAGCCTGTATTCAAGCCACTGCAAGGAAATCTGGCCTCCGTTCACATTAGGGCTTCTCCCTGTGTGTTCCCCTTGTGGCAGAAAACTCGGGGTCCCTCCCACATAACTATTGCTGAGAGAAGCCTCCTCTTGAGGTGCTTCTGGAAAGTTGGCATACGTCTTGAGCCTAAGCCAGGGAATCAGTTCTCATCTCGAGATGATTTGGGGTACACGGAGCATTCCTCGAGTTGCTGTGCTGAAGTTGGTGTTCCTCTAGACTTGGGACAGTGTGCTCGGGGCATCTCTGGAGTTGCCTGAAGGAAGGCGAGCCTCCGTTCATGTTGAACGGGGAACGGGGAATGGCTCTGGAGTCAATGCAGGGGAATCGGGCCTCATCTCGAGTTGATTTGGGGCACATGGAGCTGCTTTGCGTTGCTGGGGTGACCTCAGGGTCCGTCTAGACTGGTGACAGTGTTCTTGGGGACTGTCTCGAGATCCATTAACCAAGTCGAAGCTCCTGACTTGTTTGAATGGGATCACGGAATAGCTCTGCATGCACTGCAGGGGAATGGGGCCTCATCTCGCCTCTAGGGGGAAGTCTCACGGTTTTTCTCGAGTTGGGGCGGGGACCTGGGGTATGTTCTCGACTTACGGCGGGGATGGCCCTTCAAAACACGAGTTTCTTCAGTGACGTCAGGACTCCTGTCTAGTAATGAGGGACACCTCAGCAATCTCTTCGAGGCTTGGCAGGGCAAAAGGGACGCTTCTCGAGGTGAGGCAGGGCACCCAAGGACCCTTTCCAGTAGCCATAGGGATTTTGGGATTCCTATAAGTATTCAAGAGTAGTCAGGCATCGTCACCATTTCAAGCAATGAACTCTGCGTGCCTCTCGAGGTGTCAGGGGGATGTGAGGTATTCTGTCAAAATGAGGCAGGGAACTAGGGCTTCCTCTAAGGTCTCCACAGGGGATTCAGACATCCCTTCATGTTGTCAGATCAAAGACGAGCCTGTATTCAAGCCACTGCAAGGAAATCTGGCCTCCGTTCACATTAGGGCTTCTCCCTGTGTATTCCCCTTGAGGCAGCAAACTCGGGGTCCCTCCCACTTACCTATTGCTGAGAGAAGCCTCCTCCTGAGGTGCTTCTGGAAAGTTGGCATACGTCTTGAGCCTAAGCCAGGGAATCAGCTCTCATCTCGAGATGATTTGGGGTACACGGAGCATTCCTCGAGTTGCTGTGCTGAAGTTGGTGTTCCTCTAGACTTGGGACAGTGTTCTCGGGGCATCTCTGGAGTTGCCTGAAGGAAGGCGAGCCTCCGTTCGTGTTGAACGGGGAACGGGGAATGGCTCTGGAGTCAATGCAGGGGAATTGGGCCTCATCTCGAGTTGATTTGGGGCACATGGAGCTGCTTTGCGTTGCTGGGGTTACCTCAGGGTCCGTCTAGACTGGTGACAGTGTTCTTGGGGACTGTCTCGAGATCCATTAAGCAAGTCGAAGCTCCTGACTTGTTTGAATGGGATCACGGAATAGCTCTGCATGCACTGCAGGGGAATGGGGCCTCATCTCACTTCTAGGGGGAAGTCTCATGGTTTTTCTCGAGTTGCGGCGGGGACCTGGGGTATGTTCTCGACTTACGGCGGCGATGGCCCTTCAAAACACGAGTTTCTTCAGTGACGTCAGGACTCCTGTCTAGTAACGAGGGACACCTCAGGAATCTCTTCGAGGCTTGGCAGGGCAAAAGGGACGCTTCTCGAGGTGAGGCAGGGCACCCAAGGACCCTTCCCAGTAGCCACAGGGATTTTGGGATTCCTATCAGTATTCAAGAGGAGTCAGGCATCGTCACCTTTTGAAGCAATGAACTCCGCTTGCTTCTCCAGGTGTCAGCGGGATGTGAGGATTCCGTCAAAATGAGGCAGGGACCTAGAGCTTTCTCTAAGGTCTCCACCTGGGATTCAGACATCCCTTCATGTTGTGAGATGAAAGACGAGCCTGTATTAGTCCACTGCAAGGAAATCTGGCCTCCTTTCAAGTTAGGGCTTCTCGCTGTATATTCCCCTTGAGGCAGCAAACTCGGGGTCCCTCCCACATACCTATTGCTGAGAGAATCCTCCTCCTGAGGTGCTTCTGGAAAGTTGGCATACGTCTTGATCCTAAGCCAGGGAATCAGCTCTCATCTCGAGATGATTTGGGGTACACGGAGAATTCCTCGAGTTGCTGTGCTGAAGTTCGTGTTCCTCTAGACTTGCGAAAGTGTTCTCTGGGCATCTCTGGAGTTGCCTGAAGGAAGTCGAGCCACGGGTCTTGTTGAATGGGGAACGGGGAATGGCTCTGGAGTCAATGCAGGGGAATCGGGCCTCATCTCGAGTTGATTTGGGGCACATGGAGCAGCTTTGCGTTGCTGGGGTGACCTCAGGGTCCGTCTAGACTGGTGACAGTGTTCTTGGGGACTGTCTCGAGATCCATTAAGCAAGTCGAAGCTCCTGACTTGTTTGAATGGGATCACGGAATAGCTCTGCATGCACTGCAGGGGAATGGGGCCTCATCTCACCTCTAGGGGGAAGTCTCATGGTTTTTCTCGAGTTGCGGCGGGGACCTGGGGTATGTTCTCGACTTACGGCGGGGATGGCCCTTCAAAACACGAGTTTCTCCAGTGACGTCAGGACTCCTGCCTAGTAACGAGGGACACCTCAGGAATCTCTTCGAGGCTTGGCAGGGCAAAAGGAACGCTTCTCGAGGTGCGGCAGGGCACCCAAGGCCCCTTTCCAGTAGCCACAGGGATTTTGGGATTCCTATCAGTATTCAAGAGGAGTCAGGCATCGTCACCTTTTGAAGCAATGAATTCCGCGTGCCTCTCGAGGTGTCAGCGGGATTTGAGGATTCCGTCAAAATGAGGCAGGGACCTAGGGCTTCCTCTAAGGTCTCCACAGGGGATTCAGACATCCCTTCATGTTGTGAGATGAAATACGAGCCTGTATTCAAGCCACTGCAAGGAAATCCGGCCTCCTTTCAAGTTAGGGCTTCTCGCTGTATATTCCCCTTGAGGCAACAAACTCGGGGTCCCTCCCACATACCTATTGCTGAGAGAAGCCTCCTCCAGAGGTGCTTCTGGAAATTTGGCATACGTCTTGAGCCTAAGCCAGGGAATCAGCTCGCATCTCGAAATGATTTGGGGTACGCAGAGCATTCCTTGAATTGCTGTGCTGAAGTTGGTGGTCCTCTAGACTTGGGACAGTGTTCTCGGGGCATCTCTGGAGTTGCCTGAAGGAAGTCGAGACACCAGTCGTGTTGAATGGGGAACGGGGAATGGCTCTGGAGTCAATGCAGGGGATTCGGGCCTCATCTCGAGTTGATTTGGGGCACATGGAGCTGCTTTGCGTTGCTGGGGTGAGCTCAGGGTTCGTCTAGACTGGTGACAGTGTTCTTGGGGACTGTCTCGAGATCCATTAAGCAAGTCGAAGCTCCTGACTTGTTTGAATGGGATCACGGAATAGCTCTGCATGCACTGCAGGGGAATGGGGCCTCATCTCGCCTCTTGGGGGAAGTCTCACGGTTTTTCTCGAGTTGCGGCAGGGACCTGGGGTATGTTCTCGACTTACGGCGGGGATGGCCCTTCAAAACACGAGTTTCTTCAGTGACGTCAGGACTCCTGTCTAGTAACGAGGGACACCTCAGGGATCTCTTCGAGGCTTGGTAGGGCAAAAGGGACGCTTCTCGAGGTGAGGCAGGGCACCCAAGGACCCTTTCCAGTAGCCACAGGGATTTTGGGATTCCTATCAGTATTCAAGAGGAGTCAGGCATGGTCACCTTTTGAAGAAATGAACTCCGCTTGCTTCTCCAGGTGTCAGCGGGATGTGAGGATTCCGTCAAAATGACGCAGGGACCTAGAGCTTTCTCTAAGGTCTCCACAGGGGATTCAGACATCCCTTCATGTTGTGAGATGAAAGACGAGCCTGTATTAGTCCACTGCAAGGAAATCCGGCCTCCTTTCAAGTTAGGGCTTCTCGCTGTATATTCCCCTTGAGGCAGCAAACTCGGGGTCCCTCCCACATACCTATTGCTGAGAGAAGCCTCCTCCTGAGGTGCTTCTGGGAAGTTGGCATAGGTCTTGAGCCTAAGCCAGGGAATCAGCTCTCATCTCGAGACGATTTGGGGTACACGGAGCATTCCTCGAGTTGCTGTGCTGAAGTTGGTGTTCCTCTAGACTTGGGACAGTGTTCTCGGGGCATCTCTGGAGTTGCCTGAAGGAAGGCGATCCACCGGTCGTGTTGAACGGGGAACGGGGAATGGCTCTGGAGTCAATACAGGGGAATCGGGCCTCATCTCGATTTGCCTTGGGGCACATGGAGCTGCTTTGCGTTGCTGGGGTGACCTCAGGGTCCGTCTAGACTGGTGACAGTGTTCTTGGGGACTGTCTCGAGATCCATTAAGCAGGTCGAAGCTCCTGACTTGTTTGAATGGGATCACGGAATAGCTCTGCATGCACTGCAGGGGAATGGGGCCTCATCTCGCCTCTAGGGGGAAGTCTCATGGTTTTTCTCGAGTTGCGGCGGGGACCTGGGGTATGTTCTCGACTTACGGCGGGGATGGCCCTTCAAAACACGAGTTTCTTCAGTGACGTCAGGACTCCTGTCTAGTAACGAGGGACACCTCAGCAATCTCTTCGAGGCTTGGCAGGGCAAAAGGGACGCTTCTCGAGGTGAGGCAGGGCACCCAAGGACCCTTTCCAGTAGGCACAGGGATTTTGGGATTCCTATAAGTATTCAAGAGGTGTCAGGCATCGTCACCATTTCAAGCAATGAACTCTGCGTGCCTCTCGAGGTGTCAGGGGGATGTGAGGTATTCCGTCAAAATGAGGCAGGGACCTATGGCTTCCTCTAAGGTCTCCACAGGTGATTCAGACATCCCTTCATGTTGTCAGATCAAAGACGAGCCTGTATTCAAGCCACTGCAAGGAAATCTGGCCTCTGTTCACATTAGGGCTTCTCCCTGTGTATTCCCCTTGTGGCAGAAAACTCGGGGTCCCTCCCACATACCTATTGCTGAGAGAAGCCTCCTCCTGAGGTGCTTCTGGAAAGTTGGCATACGTCTTGAGCCTAAGCCAGGGAATCAGCTCTCATCTCGAGATGATTTGGGGTACACGGAGCATTCCTCGAGTTGCTGTGCTGAAGTTGGTGTTCCTCTAGACTTGGGACAGTGTTCTCGGGGCATCTCTGGAGTTGCCTGAAGGAAGGCGAGCCTCCGTTCGTGTTGAACGGGGAACGGGGAATGGCTCTGAAGTCAATGCAGGGGAATCCGGCCTCATCTCGAGTTGATTTGGGGCTCATGGAGCTGCTTTGCGTTGCTGGGGTTACCTCAGGGTCCGTCTAGACTGGTGACAGTGTTCTTGGGGACTGTCTCGAGATCCATTAACCAAGTCGAAGCTCCTGACTTGTTTGAATGGGATCACGGAATAGCTCTGCATGCACTGCAGGGGAATGGTGCCTCATCTCGCCTCTAGGGGAAAGTCTCACGGTTTTTCTCGAGTTGGGGCGGGGACCTGGGGTATGTTCTCGACTTACGGCGGGGATGGCCCTTCAAAACACGAGTTTCTTCAGTGACGTCAGGACTCCTGTCTAGTAATGAGGGACACCTCAGCAATCTCTTCGAGGCTTGGCAGGGCAAAAGGGACGCTTCTCGAGGTGAGGCAGGGCACCCAAGGACCCTTTCCAGTAGCCATAGGGATTTTGGGATTCCTATAAGTATTCAAGAGTAGTCAGGCATCGTCACCATTTCAAGCAATGAACTCTGCGTGCCTCTCGAGGTGTCAGGGGGATGTGAGGTATTCTGTCAAAATGAGGCAGGGAACTAGGGCTTCCTCTAAGGTCTCCACAGGGGATTCAGACATCCCTTCATGTTGTCAGATCAAAGACGAGCCTGTATTCAAGCCACTGCAAGGAAATCTGGCCTCCGTTCACATTAGGGCTTCTCCCTGTGTATTCCCCTTGAGGCAGCAAACTCGGGGTCCCTCCCACTTACCTATTGCTGAGAGAAGCCTCCTCCTGAGGTGCTTCTGGAAAGTTGGCATACGTCTTGAGCCTAAGCCAGGGAATCAGCTCTCATCTCGAGATGATTTGGGGTACACGGAGCATTCCTCGAGTTGCTGTGCTGAAGTTGGTGTTCCTCTAGACTTGGGACAGTGTTCTCGGGGCATCTCTGGAGTTGCCTGAAGGAAGGCGAGCCTCCGTTCGTGTTGAACGGGGAACGGGGAATGGCTCTGGAGTCAATGCAGGGGAATTGGGCCTCATCTCGAGTTGATTTGGGGCACATGGAGCTGCTTTGCGTTGCTGGGGTTACCTCAGGGTCCGTCTAGACTGGTGACAGTGTTCTTGGGGACTGTCTCGAGATCCATTAAGCAAGTCGAAGCTCCTGACTTGTTTGAATGGGATCACGGAATAGCTCTGCATGCACTGCAGGGGAATGGGGCCTCATCTCGCCTCTAGGGGGAAGTCTCACGGTTTTTCTCGAGTTGCGGCAGGGACCTGGGGTATGTTCTCGACTTACGGCGGGGATGGCCCTTCAAAACACGAGTTTCTTCAGTGACGTCAGGACTCCTGTCTAGTAACGAGGGACACCTCAGGAATCACTTCGAGGCTTGGCAGGCAAAAGGGACGCTTCTCGAGGTGAGGCAGGGCACCCAATGACCCTTTCCAGTAGCCCCAGGGATTTTGGGATTCCTATCAGTATTCAAGAGGAGTCAGGCATGGTCACCTTTTGAAGCAATGAACTCCGCGTGCCTCTCGAGGTGTCAGCGGGATGTGAGGCATTCCGTCAAAATGAGGCAGGGACCTAGGGCTTTCTCTAAGGTCTCCACAGGGGATTCAGACATCCCTTCATGTTGTGAGATGAAAGACGAGTGTGTATTCAAGCCACTGCAAGGAAATCCGGCTTCCTTTCAAGTTAGGGCTTCTCGCTGTATATTCCCCTTGAGGCAGCAAACTCGGGGTCCCTCCCACATACCTATTGCTGAGAGAAGCCTCCTCCTGAGGTGCTTCTGGGAAGTTGGCATACGTCTTGAGCCTAAGCCAGGGAATCAGCTCTCATCTCGAGACGATTTTCGGGTACACGGAGCATTCCTCGAGTTGCTGTGCTGAAGTTGGTGTTCCTCTAGACTTGGGACAGTGTTCTCGGGGCATCTCTGGAGTTGCCTGAAGGAAGTCGAGCCACCGGTCGTGTTGAATGGGGAACGGGGAATGGCTCTGGAGTCAATGCAGGGGAATCGGGCCGCATCTCGAGTTGATTTGGGGCACATGGAGCTGCTTTGCGTTGCTGGGGTGACCTCAGGGTCCGTCTAGACTGGTGACAGTGTTCTTGGGGACTGTCTCGAGATCCATTAAGCAAGTCGAAGCTCCTGACTTGTTTGAATGGGATCACGGAATAGCTCTGCATGCACTGCAGGGGAATGGGGCCTCATCTCACCTCTAGGGGGAAGTCTCATGGTTTTTCTCGAGTTGCGGCGGGGACCTGGGGTATGTTCTCGACTTACGGCGGGGATGGCCCTTCAAAACACGAGTTTCTCCAGTGACGTCAGGACTCCTGCCTAGTAACGAGGGACACCTCAGGAATCTCTTCGAGGCTTGGCAGGGCAAAAGGAACGCTTCTCGAGGTGCGGCAGGGCACCCAAGGCCCCTTTCCAGTAGCCACAGGGATTTTGGGATTCCTATCAGTATTCAAGAGGAGTCAGGCATCGTCACCTTTTGAAGCAATGAATTCCGCGTGCCTCTCGAGGTGTCAGCGGGATTTGAGGATTCCGTCAAAATGAGGCAGGGACCTAGGGCTTCCTCTAAGGTCTCCACAGGGGATTCAGACATCCCTTCATGTTGTGAGATGAAATACGAGCCTGTATTCAAGCCACTGCAAGGAAATCCGGCCTCCTTTCAAGTTAGGGCTTCTCGCTGTATATTCCCCTTGAGGCAACAAACTCGGGGTCCCTCCCACATACCTATTGCTGAGAGAAGCCTCCTCCAGAGGTGCTTCTGGAAATTTGGCATACGTCTTGAGCCTAAGCCAGGGAATCAGCTCGCATCTCGAAATGATTTGGGGTACACAGAGCATTCCTTGAATTGCTGTGCTGAAGTTGGTGGTCCTCTAGACTTGGGACAGTGTTCTCGGGGCATCTCTGGAGTTGCCTGAAGGAAGTCGAGACACCAGTCGTGTTGAATGGGGAACGGGGAATGGCTCTGGAGTCAATGCAGGGGAATCGGGCCTCATCTCGAGTTGATTTGGGGCACATGGAGCTGCTTTGCGTTGCTGGGGTGAGCTCAGGGTTCGTCTAGACTGGTGACAGTGTTCTTGGGGACTGTCTCGAGATCCATTAAGCAAGTCGAAGCTCCTGACTTGTTTGAATGGGATCACGGAATAGCTCTGCATGCACTGCAGGGGAATGGGGCCTCATCTCGCCTCTTGGGGGAAGTCTCACGGTTTTTCTCGAGTTGCGGCAGGGACCTGGGGTATGTTCTCGACTTACGGCGGGGATGGCCCTTCAAAACACGAGTTTCTTCAGTGACGTCAGGACTCCTGTCTAGTAACGAGGGACACCTCAGGGATCTCTTCGAGGCTTGGCAGGGCAAAAGGGACGCTTCTCGAGGTGAGGCAGGGCACCCAAGGACCCTTTCCAGTAGCCACAGGGATTTTGGGATTCCTATCAGTATTCAAGAGGAGTCAGGCATGGTCACCTTTTGAAGAAATGAACTCCGCTTGCTTCTCCAGGTGTCAGCGGGATGTGAGGATTCCGTCAAAATGACGCAGGGACCTAGAGCTTTCTCTAAGGTCTCCACAGGGGATTCAGACATCCCTTCATGTTGTGAGATGAAAGACGAGCCTGTATTAGTCCACTGCAAGGAAATCCGGCCTCCTTTCAAGTTAGGGCTTCTCGCTGTATATTCCCCTTGAGGCAGCAAACTCGGGGTCCCTCCCACATACCTATTGCTGAGAGAAGCCTCCTCCTGAGGTGCTTCTGGGAAGTTGGCATAGGTCTTGAGCCTAAGCCAGGGAATCAGCTCTCATCTCGAGACGATTTGGGGTACACGGAGCATTCCTCGAGTTGCTGTGCTGAAGTTGGTGTTCCTCTAGACTTGGGACAGTGTTCTCGGGGCATCTCTGGAGTTGCCTGAAGGAAGGCGATCCACCGGTCGTGTTGAACGGGGAACGGGGAATGGCTCTGGAGTCAATGCAGGGGAATCGGGCCTCATCTCGATTTGCCTTGGGGCACATGGAGCTGCTTTGCGTTGCTGGGGTGACCTCAGGGTCCGTCTAGACTGGTGACAGTGTTCTTGGGGACTGTCTCGAGATCCATTAAGCAGGTCGAAGCTCCTGACTTGTTTGAATGGGATCACGGAATAGCTCTGCATGCACTGCAGGGGAATGGGGCCTCATCTCGCCTCTAGGGGGAAGTCTCATGGTTTTTCTCGAGTTGCGGCGGGGACCTGGGGTATGTTCTCGACTTACGGCGGGGATGGCCCTTCAAAACACGAGTTTCTTCAGTGACGTCAGGACTCCTGTCTAGTAACGAGGGACACCTCAGCAATCTCTTCGAGGCTTGGCAGGGCAAAAGGGACGCTTCTCGAGGTGAGGCAGGGCACCCAAGGACCCTTTCCAGTAGGCACAGGGATTTTGGGATTCCTATAAGTATTCAAGAGGTGTCAGGCATCGTCACCATTTCAAGCAATGAACTCTGCGTGCCTCTCGAGGTGTCAGGGGGATGTGAGGTATTCCGTCAAAATGAGGCAGGGACCTATGGCTTCCTCTAAGGTCTCCACAGGGGATTCAGACATCCCTTCATGTTGTCAGATCAAAGACGAGCCTGTATTCAAGCCACTGCAAGGAAATCTGGCCTCTGTTCACATTAGGGCTTCTCCCTGTGTATTCCCCTTGTGGCAGAAAACTCGGGGTCCCTCCCACATACCTATTGCTGAGAGAAGCCTCCTCCTGAGGTGCTTCTGGAAAGTTGGCATACGTCTTGAGCCTAAGCCAGGGAATCAGCTCTCATCTCGAGATGATTTGGGGTACACGGAGCATTCCTCGAGTTGCTGTGCTGAAGTTGGTGTTCCTCTAGACTTGGGACAGTGTTCTCGGGGCATCTCTGGAGTTGCCTGAAGGAAGGCGAGCCTCCGTTCGTGTTGAACGGGGAACGGGGAATGGCTCTGAAGTCAATGCAGGGGAATCCGGCCTCATCTCGAGTTGATTTGGGGCTCATGGAGCTGCTTTGCGTTGCTGGGGTTACCTCAGGGTCCGTCTAGACTGGTGACAGTGTTCTTGGGGACTGTCTCGAGATCCATTAACCAAGTCGAAGCTCCTGACTTGTTTGAATGGGATCACGGAATAGCTCTGCATGCACTGCAGGGGAATGGTGCCTCATCTCGCCTCTAGGGGAAAGTCTCACGGTTTTTCTCGAGTTGGGGCGGGGACCTGGGGTATGTTCTCGACTTACGGCGGGGATGGCCCTTCAAAACACGAGTTTCTTCAGTGACGTCAGGACTCCTGTCTAGTAATGAGGGACACCTCAGCAATCTCTTCGAGGCTTGGCAGGGCAAAAGGGACGCTTCTCGAGGTGAGGCAGGGCACCCAAGGACCCTTTCCAGTAGCCATAGGGATTTTGGGATTCCTATAAGTATTCAAGAGTAGTCAGGCATCGTCACCATTTCAAGCAATGAACTCTGCGTGCCTCTCGAGGTGTCAGGGGGATGTGAGGTATTCTGTCAAAATGAGGCAGGGAACTAGGGCTTCCTCTAAGGTCTCCACAGGGGATTCAGACATCCCTTCATGTTGTCAGATCAAAGACGAGCCTGTATTCAAGCCACTGCAAGGAAATCTGGCCTCCGTTCACATTAGGGCTTCTCCCTGTGTATTCCCCTTGAGGCAGCAAACTCGGGGTCCCTCCCACTTACCTATTGCTGAGAGAAGCCTCCTCCTGAGGTGCTTCTGGAAAGTTGGCATACGTCTTGAGCCTAAGCCAGGGAATCAGCTCTCATCTCGAGATGATTTGGGGTACACGGAGCATTCCTCGAGTTGCTGTGCTGAAGTTGGTGTTCCTCTAGACTTGGGACAGTGTTCTCGGGGCATCTCTGGAGTTGCCTGAAGGAAGGCGAGCCTCCGTTCGTGTTGAACGGGGAACGGGGAATGGCTCTGGAGTCAATGCAGGGGAATTGGGCCTCATCTCGAGTTGATTTGGGGCACATGGAGCTGCTTTGCGTTGCTGGGGTTACCTCAGGGTCCGTCTAGACTGGTGACAGTGTTCTTGGGGACTGTCTCGAGATCCATTAAGCAAGTCGAAGCTCCTGACTTGTTTGAATGGGATCACGGAATAGCTCTGCATGCACTGCAGGGGAATGGGGCCTCATCTCGCCTCTAGGGGGAAGTCTCACGGTTTTTCTCGAGTTGCGGCAGGGACCTGGGGTATGTTCTCGACTTACGGCGGGGATGGCCCTTCAAAACACGAGTTTCTTCAGTGACGTCAGGACTCCTGTCTAGTAACGAGGGACACCTCAGGAATCACTTCGAGGCTTGGCAGGCAAAAGGGACGCTTCTCGAGGTGAGGCAGGGCACCCAATGACCCTTTCCAGTAGCCCCAGGGATTTTGGGATTCCTATCAGTATTCAAGAGGAGTCAGGCATGGTCACCTTTTGAAGCAATGAACTCCGCGTGCCTCTCGAGGTGTCAGCGGGATGTGAGGCATTCCGTCAAAATGAGGCAGGGACCTAGGGCTTTCTCTAAGGTCTCCACAGGGGATTCAGACATCCCTTCATGTTGTGAGATGAAAGACGAGTGTGTATTCAAGCCACTGCAAGGAAATCCGGCTTCCTTTCAAGTTAGGGCTTCTCGCTGTATATTCCCCTTGAGGCAGCAAACTCGGGGTCCCTCCCACATACCTATTGCTGAGAGAAGCCTCCTCCTGAGGTGCTTCTGGGAAGTTGGCATACGTCTTGAGCCTAAGCCAGGGAATCAGCTCTCATCTCGAGACGATTTTCGGGTACACGGAGCATTCCTCGAGTTGCTGTGCTGAAGTTGGTGTTCCTCTAGACTTGGGACAGTGTTCTCGGGGCATCTCTGGAGTTGCCTGAAGGAAGTCGAGCCACCGGTCGTGTTGAATGGGGAACGGGGAATGGCTCTGGAGTCAATGCAGGGGAATCGGGCCGCATCTCGAGTTGATTTGGGGCACATGGAGCTGCTTTGCGTTGCTGGGGTGACCTCAGGGTCCGTCTAGACTGGTGACAGTGTTCTTGGGGACTGTCTCGAGATCCATTAAGCAAGTCGAAGCTCCTGACTTGTTTGAATGGGATCACGGAATAGCTCTGCATGCACTGCAGGGGAATGGGGCCTCATCTCACCTCTAGGGGGAAGTCTCATGGTTTTTCTCGAGTTGCGGCGGGGACCTGGGGTATGTTCTCGACTTACGGCGGGGATGGCCCTTCAAAACACGAGTTTCTCCAGTGACGTCAGGACTCCTGCCTAGTAACGAGGGACACCTCAGGAATCTCTTCGAGGCTTGGCAGGGCAAAAGGAACGCTTCTCGAGGTGCGGCAGGGCACCCAAGGCCCCTTTCCAGTAGCCACAGGGATTTTGGGATTCCTATCAGTATTCAAGAGGAGTCAGGCATCGTCACCTTTTGAAGCAATGAATTCCGCGTGCCTCTCGAGGTGTCAGCGGGATTTGAGGATTCCGTCAAAATGAGGCAGGGACCTAGGGCTTCCTCTAAGGTCTCCACAGGGGATTCAGACATCCCTTCATGTTGTGAGATGAAATACGAGCCTGTATTCAAGCCACTGCAAGGAAATCCGGCCTCCTTTCAAGTTAGGGCTTCTCGCTGTATATTCCCCTTGAGGCAACAAACTCGGGGTCCCTCCCACATACCTATTGCTGAGAGAAGCCTCCTCCAGAGGTGCTTCTGGAAATTTGGCATACGTCTTGAGCCTAAGCCAGGGAATCAGCTCGCATCTCGAAATGATTTGGGGTACACAGAGCATTCCTTGAATTGCTGTGCTGAAGTTGGTGGTCCTCTAGACTTGGGACAGTGTTCTCGGGGCATCTCTGGAGTTGCCTGAAGGAAGTCGAGACACCAGTCGTGTTGAATGGGGAACGGGGAATGGCTCTGGAGTCAATGCAGGGGAATCGGGCCTCATCTCGAGTTGATTTGGGGCACATGGAGCTGCTTTGCGTTGCTGGGGTGAGCTCAGGGTTCGTCTAGACTGGTGACAGTGTTCTTGGGGACTGTCTCGAGATCCATTAAGCAAGTCGAAGCTCCTGACTTGTTTGAATGGGATCACGGAATAGCTCTGCATGCACTGCAGGGGAATGGGGCCTCATCTCGCCTCTTGGGGGAAGTCTCACGGTTTTTCTCGAGTTGCGGCAGGGACCTGGGGTATGTTCTCGACTTACGGCGGGGATGGCCCTTCAAAACACGAGTTTCTTCAGTGACGTCAGGACTCCTGTCTAGTAACGAGGGACACCTCAGGGATCTCTTCGAGGCTTGGCAGGGCAAAAGGGACGCTTCTCGAGGTGAGGCAGGGCACCCAAGGACCCTTTCCAGTAGCCACAGGGATTTTGGGATTCCTATCAGTATTCAAGAGGAGTCAGGCATGGTCACCTTTTGAAGAAATGAACTCCGCTTGCTTCTCCAGGTGTCAGCGGGATGTGAGGATTCCGTCAAAATGACGCAGGGACCTAGAGCTTTCTCTAAGGTCTCCACAGGGGATTCAGACATCCCTTCATGTTGTGAGATGAAAGACGAGCCTGTATTAGTCCACTGCAAGGAAATCCGGCCTCCTTTCAAGTTAGGGCTTCTCGCTGTATATTCCCCTTGAGGCAGCAAACTCGGGGTCCCTCCCACATACCTATTGCTGAGAGAAGCCTCCTCCTGAGGTGCTTCTGGGAAGTTGGCATAGGTCTTGAGCCTAAGCCAGGGAATCAGCTCTCATCTCGAGACGATTTGGGGTACACGGAGCATTCCTCGAGTTGCTGTGCTGAAGTTGGTGTTCCTCTAGACTTGGGACAGTGTTCTCGGGGCATCTCTGGAGTTGCCTGAAGGAAGGCGAGCCTCCGTTCGTGTTGAACGGGGAACGGGGAATGGCTCTGGAGTCAATGCAGGGGAATCGGGCCTCATCTCGATTTGCCTTGGGGCACATGGAGCTGCTTTGCGTTGCTGGGGTGACCTCAGGGTCCGTCTAGACTGGTGACAGTGTTCTTGGGGACTGTCTCGAGATCCATTAAGCAGGTCGAAGCTCCTGACTTGTTTGAATGGGATCACGGAATAGCTCTGCATGCACTGCAGGGGAATGGGGCCTCATCTCGCCTCTAGGGGGAAGTCTCATGGTTTTTCTCGAGTTGCGGCGGGGACCTGGGGTATGTTCTCGACTTACGGCGGGGATGGCCCTTCAAAACACGAGTTTCTTCAGTGACGTCAGGACTCCTGTCTAGTAACGAGGGACACCTCAGCAATCTCTTCGAGGCTTGGCAGGGCAAAAGGGACGCTTCTCGAGGTGAGGCAGGGCACCCAAGGACCCTTTCCAGTAGGCACAGGGATTTTGGGATTCCTATAAGTATTCAAGAGGTGTCAGGCATCGTCACCATTTCAAGCAATGAACTCTGCGTGCCTCTCGAGGTGTCAGGGGGATGTGAGGTATTCCGTCAAAATGAGGCAGGGACCTATGGCTTCCTCTAAGGTCTCCACAGGGGATTCAGACATCCCTTCATGTTGTCAGATCAAAGACGAGCCTGTATTCAAGCCACTGCAAGGAAATCTGGCCTCTGTTCACATTAGGGCTTCTCCCTGTGTATTCCCCTTGTGGCAGAAAACTCGGGGTCCCTCCCACATACCTATTGCTGAGAGAAGCCTCCTCCTGAGGTGCTTCTGGAAAGTTGGCATACGTCTTGAGCCTAAGCCAGGGAATCAGCTCTCATCTCGAGATGATTTGGGGTACACGGAGCATTCCTCGAGTTGCTGTGCTGAAGTTGGTGTTCCTCTAGACTTGGGACAGTGTTCTCGGGGCATCTCTGGAGTTGCCTGAAGGAAGGCGAGCCTCCGTTCGTGTTGAACGGGGAACGGGGAATGGCTCTGAAGTCAATGCAGGGGAATCCGGCCTCATCTCGAGTTGATTTGGGGCTCATGGAGCTGCTTTGCGTTGCTGGGGTTACCTCAGGGTCCGTCTAGACTGGTGACAGTGTTCTTGGGGACTGTCTCGAGATCCATTAACCAAGTCGAAGCTCCTGACTTGTTTGAATGGGATCACGGAATAGCTCTGCATGCACTGCAGGGGAATGGTGCCTCATCTCGCCTCTAGGGGAAAGTCTCACGGTTTTTCTCGAGTTGGGGCGGGGACCTGGGGTATGTTCTCGACTTACGGCGGGGATGGCCCTTCAAAACACGAGTTTCTTCAGTGACGTCAGGACTCCTGTCTAGTAATGAGGGACACCTCAGCAATCTCTTCGAGGCTTGGCAGGGCAAAAGGGACGCTTCTCGAGGTGAGGCAGGGCACCCAAGGACCCTTTCCAGTAGCCATAGGGATTTTGGGATTCCTATAAGTATTCAAGAGTAGTCAGGCATCGTCACCATTTCAAGCAATGAACTCTGCGTGCCTCTCGAGGTGTCAGGGGGATGTGAGGTATTCTGTCAAAATGAGGCAGGGAACTAGGGCTTCCTCTAAGGTCTCCACAGGGGATTCAGACATCCCTTCATGTTGTCAGATCAAAGACGAGCCTGTATTCAAGCCACTGCAAGGAAATCTGGCCTCCGTTCACATTAGGGCTTCTCCCTGTGTATTCCCCTTGAGGCAGCAAACTCGGGGTCCCTCCCACTTACCTATTGCTGAGAGAAGCCTCCTCCTGAGGTGCTTCTGGAAAGTTGGCATACGTCTTGAGCCTAAGCCAGGGAATCAGCTCTCATCTCGAGATGATTTGGGGTACACGGAGCATTCCTCGAGTTGCTGTGCTGAAGTTGGTGTTCCTCTAGACTTGGGACAGTGTTCTCGGGGCATCTCTGGAGTTGCCTGAAGGAAGGCGAGCCTCCGTTCGTGTTGAACGGGGAACGGGGAATGGCTCTGGAGTCAATGCAGGGGAATTGGGCCTCATCTCGAGTTGATTTGGGGCACATGGAGCTGCTTTGCGTTGCTGGGGTTACCTCAGGGTCCGTCTAGACTGGTGACAGTGTTCTTGGGGACTGTCTCGAGATCCATTAAGCAAGTCGAAGCTCCTGACTTGTTTGAATGGGATCACGGAATAGCTCTGCATGCACTGCAGGGGAATGGGGCCTCATCTCGCCTCTAGGGGGAAGTCTCACGGTTTTTCTCGAGTTGCGGCAGGGACCTGGGGTATGTTCTCGACTTACGGCGGGGATGGCCCTTCAAAACACGAGTTTCTTCAGTGACGTCAGGACTCCTGTCTAGTAACGAGGGACACCTCAGGAATCACTTCGAGGCTTGGCAGGCAAAAGGGACGCTTCTCGAGGTGAGGCAGGGCACCCAATGACCCTTTCCAGTAGCCCCAGGGATTTTGGGATTCCTATCAGTATTCAAGAGGAGTCAGGCATGGTCACCTTTTGAAGCAATGAACTCCGCGTGCCTCTCGAGGTGTCAGCGGGATGTGAGGCATTCCGTCAAAATGAGGCAGGGACCTAGGGCTTTCTCTAAGGTCTCCACAGGGGATTCAGACATCCCTTCATGTTGTGAGATGAAAGACGAGTGTGTATTCAAGCCACTGCAAGGAAATCCGGCTTCCTTTCAAGTTAGGGCTTCTCGCTGTATATTCCCCTTGAGGCAGCAAACTCGGGGTCCCTCCCACATACCTATTGCTGAGAGAAGCCTCCTCCTGAGGTGCTTCTGGGAAGTTGGCATACGTCTTGAGCCTAAGCCAGGGAATCAGCTCTCATCTCGAGACGATTTTCGGGTACACGGAGCATTCCTCGAGTTGCTGTGCTGAAGTTGGTGTTCCTCTAGACTTGGGACAGTGTTCTCGGGGCATCTCTGGAGTTGCCTGAAGGAAGTCGAGCCACCGGTCGTGTTGAATGGGGAACGGGGAATGGCTCTGGAGTCAATGCAGGGGAATCGGGCCGCATCTCGAGTTGATTTGGGGCACATGGAGCTGCTTTGCGTTGCTGGGGTGACCTCAGGGTCCGTCTAGACTGGTGACAGTGTTCTTGGGGACTGTCTCGAGATCCATTAAGCAAGTCGAAGCTCCTGACTTGTTTGAATGGGATCACGGAATAGCTCTGCATGCACTGCAGGGGAATGGGGCCTCATCTCACCTCTAGGGGGAAGTCTCATGGTTTTTCTCGAGTTGCGGCGGGGACCTGGGGTATGTTCTCGACTTACGGCGGGGATGGCCCTTCAAAACACGAGTTTCTTCAGTGACGTCAGGACTCCTGTCTAGTAACGAGGGACACCTCAGGAATCTCTTCGAGGCTTGGCAGGGCAAAAGGGACGCTTCTCGAGGTGAGGCAGGGCACCCAAGGACCCTTCCCAGTAGCCACAGGGATTTTGGGATTCCTATCAGTATTCAAGAGGAGTCAGGCATCGTCACCTTTTGAAGCAATGAACTCCGCTTGCTTCTCCAGGTGTCAGCGGGATGTGAGGATTCCGTCAAAATGAGGCAGGGACCTAGAGCTTTCTCTAAGGTCTCCACCTGGGATTCAGACATCCCTTCATGTTGTGAGATGAAAGACGAGCCTGTATTAGTCCACTGCAAGGAAATCTGGCCTCCTTTCAAGTTAGGGCTTCTCGCTGTATATTCCCCTTGAGGCAGCAAACTCGGGGTCCCTCCCACATACCTATTGCTGAGAGAATCCTCCTCCTGAGGTGCTTCTGGAAAGTTGGCATACGTCTTGATCCTAAGCCAGGGAATCAGCTCTCATCTCGAGATGATTTGGGGTACACGGAGCATTCCTCGAGTTGCTGTGCTGAAGTTCGTGTTCCTCTAGACTTGCGAAAGTGTTCTCTGGGCATCTCTGGAGTTGCCTGAAGGAAGTCGAGCCACGGGTCTTGTTGAATGGGGAACGGGGAATGGCTCTGGAGTCAATGCAGGGGAATCGGGCCTCATCTCGAGTTGATTTGGGGCACATGGAGCAGCTTTGCGTTGCTGGGGTGACCTCAGGGTCCGTCTAGACTGGTGCAGTGTTCTTGGGGACTGTCTCGAGATCCATTAAGCAAGTCGAAGCTCCTGACTTGTTTGAATGGGATCACGGAATAGCTCTGCATGCACTGCAGGGGAATGGGGCCTCATCTCGCCTCTAGGGGGAAGTCTCATGGTTTTTCTCGAGTTGCGGCGGGGACCTGGGGTATGTTCTCGACTTACGGCGGGGATGGCCCTTCAAAACACGAGTTTCTCCAGTGACGTCAGGACTCCTGCCTAGTAACGAGGGACACCTCAGGAATCTCTTCGAGGCTTGGCATGGCAAAAGGAACGCTTCTCGAGGTGCGGCAGGGCACCCAAGGCCCCTTTCCAGTAGCCACAGGGATTTTGGGATTCCTATCAGTATTCAAGAGGAGTCAGGCATCGTCACCTTTTGAAGCAATGAATTCCGCGTGCCTCTCGAGGTGTCAGCGGGATTTGAGGATTCCGTCAAAATGAGGCAGGGACCTAGGGCTTCCTCTAAGGTCTCCACAGGGGATTCAGACATCCCTTCATGTTGTGAGATGAAATACGAGCCTGTATTCAAGCCACTGCAAGGAAATCCGGCCTCCTTTCAAGTTAGGGCTTCTCGCTGTATATTCCCCTTGAGGCAACAAACTCGGGGTCCCTCCCACATACCTATTGCTGAGAGAAGCCTCCTCCAGAGGTGCTTCTGGAAATTTGGCATACGTCTTGAGCCTAAGCCAGGGAATCAGCTCGCATCTCGAAATGATTTGGGGTACACAGAGCATTCCTTGAATTGCTGTGCTGAAGTTGGTGGTCCTCTATACTTGGGACAGTGTTCTCGGGGCATCTCTGGAGTTGCCTGAAGGAAGTCGAGACACCAGTCTTGTTGAATGGGGAACGGGGAATGGCTCTGTAGTCAATGCAGGGGAATCGGGCCTCATCTCGAGTTGATTTGGGGCACATGGAGCTGCTTTGCGTTGCTGGGGTGAGCTCAGGGTCCGTCTAGACTGGTGACAGTGTTCTTGGGGACTGTCTCGAGATCCATTAAGCAAGTCGAAGCTCCTGACTTGTTTGAATGGGATCACGGAATAGCTCTGCATGCACTGCAGGGGAATGGGGCCTCATCTCGCCTCTTGGGGGAAGTCTCACGGTTTTTCTCGAGTTGCGGCAGGGACCTGGGGTATGTTCTCGACTTACGGCGGGGATGGCCCTTCAAAACACGAGTTTCTTCAGTGACGTCAGGACTCCTGTCTAGTAACGAGGGACACCTCAGGGATCTCTTCGAGGCTTGGCAGGGCAAAAGGGACGCTTCTCGAGGTGAGGCAGGGCACCCAAGGACCCTTTCCAGTAGCCACAGGGATTTTGGGATTCCTATCAGTATTCAAGAGGAGTCAGGCATGGTCACCTTTTGAAGCAATGAACTCCGCTTGCTTCTCCAGGTGTCAGCGGGATGTGAGGATTCCGTCAAAATGACGCAGGGACCTAGAGCTTTCTCTAAGGTCTCCACAGGGGATTCAGACATCCCTTCATGTTGTGAGATGAAAGACGAGCCTGTATTAGTCCACTGCAAGGAAATCCGGCCTCCTTTCAAGTTAGGGCTTCTCGCTGTATATTCCCCTTGAGGCAGCAAATTCGGGGTCCCTCCCACATACCTATTGCTGAGAGAAGCCTCCTCCTGAGGTGCTTCTGGAAAGTTGGCATACGTCTTGAGCCTAAGCCAGGGAATCAGCTCTCATCTCGAGACGATTTGGGGTACACAGAGCATTCCTCGAGTTGCTGTGCTGAAGTTGGTGTTCCTCTAGACTTGGGACAGTGTTCTCGGGGCATCTCTGGAGTTGCCTGAAGGAAGGCGATCCACCGGTCGTGTTGAACGGGGAACGGGGAATGGCTCTGGAGTCAATGCAGGGGAATCGGGCCTCATCTCGATTTGCCTTGGGGCACATGGAGCTGCTTTGCGTTGCTGGGGTGACCTCAGGGTCCGTCTAGACTGGTGACAGTGTTCTTGGGGACTGTCTCGAGATCCATTAAGCAGGTCGAAGCTCCTGACTTGTTTGAATGGGATCACGGAATAGCTCTGCATGCACTGCAGGGGAATGGGGCCTCATCTCGCCTCTAGGGGGAAGTCTCATGGTTTTTCTCGAGTTGCGGCGGGGACCTGGGGTATGTTCTCGACTTACGGCGGGGATGGCCCTTCAAAACACGAGTTTCTTCAGTGACGTCAGGACTCCTGTCTAGTAACGAGGGACACCTCAGCAATCTCTTCGAGGCTTGGCAGGGCAAAAGGGACGCTTCTCGAGGTGAGGCAGGGCACCCAAGGACCCTTTCCAGTAGGCACAGTGATTTTGGGATTCCTATAAGTATTCAAGAGGTGTCAGGCATCGTCACCATTTCAAGCAATGAACTCTGCGTGCCTCTCGAGGTGTCAGGGGGATGTGAGGTATTCCGTCAAAATGAGGCAGGGACCTATGGCTTCCTCTAAGGTCTCCACAGGGGATTCAGACATCCCTTCATGTTGTCAGATCAAAGACGAGCCTGTATTCAAGCCACTGCAAGGAAATCTGGCCTCTGTTCACATTAGGGCTTCTCCCTGTGTATTCCCCTTGTGGCAGAAAACTCGGGGTCCCTCCCACATACCTATTGCTGAGAGAAGCCTCCTCCTGAGGTGCTTCTGGAAAGTTGGCATACGTCTTGAGCCTAAGCCAGGGAATCAGCTCGCATCTCGAGATGATTTGGGGTACACGGAGCATTCCTCGAGTTGCTGTGCTGAAGTTGGTGTTCCTCTAGACTTGGGAAAGTGTTCTCGGGGCATCTCTGGAGTTGCCTGAAGGAAGGCGAGCCTCCGTTCGTGTTGAACGGGGAACGGGGAATGGCTCTGAAGTCAATGCAGGGGAATCCGGCCTCATCTCGAGTTGATTTGGGGCTCATGGAGCTGCTTTGCGTTGCTGGGGTTACCTCAGGGTCCGTCTAGACTGGTGACAGTGTTCTTGGGGACTGTCTCGAGATCCATTAACCAAGTCGAAGCTCCTGACTTGTTTGAATGGGATCACGGAATAGCTCTGCATGCACTGCAGGGGAATGGTGCCTCATCTCGCCTCTAGGGGGAAGTCTCACGGTTTTTCTCGACTTGCGGCGGGGACCTGGGGTATGTTCTCGACTTAAGGCGGGGATGGCCCTTCAAAACACGAGTTTCTCCAGTGACGTCAGGACTCCTGCCTAGTAACGAGGGACACCTCAGGAATCTCTTCGAGGCTTGGCAGGGCAAAAGGGACGCTTCTCGAGGTGAGGCAGGGCACCCAAGGACCCTTTCCAGTAGTCACAGGGATTTTGGGATTCCTATCAGTATTCAAGAGGAGTCAGGCATCGTCACCTTTTGAAGCAATGAACTCCGAGTGCCTCTCGAGGTGTCAACGGGATGTGAGGATTGCGTCAAAATGAGGCAGGGACCTAGGGCTTCCTCTAAGGTCTCCACAGGGGATTCAGACATCCCTTCATGTTGTGAGATGAAAGACGAGCCTGTATTCAAGCCACTGCAAGGAAATCCGTCCTCCTTTCAAGTTAGGGCTTTTCGCTGTATATTCCCCTTGAGGCAACAAACTCGGGGTCCCTCCCACATACCTATTGCTGAGAGAAGCCTCCTCCTGAGGTGCTTCTGGAAAGTTGGCATACGTCTTGAGCCTAAGCCAGGGAATCAGCTCCCATCTTGAGACGATTTGGGGTACACAGAGCATTCCTCGAGTTGCTGTGCTGAAGTTGGTGGTCCTCTAGACTTGGGACAGTGTTCTCGGGGCATCTGGAGTTGCCTGAAGGAAGTCGAGCCACCGGTCGTGTTGAATGGGGAACAGGGAATGGCTCTGGAGTCAATGCAGGGGAATCCGGCCTCATCTCGAGTTGATTTGGGGCACATGGAGCTGCTTTGCATTGCTGGGTGACCTCAGGGTCCGTCTAGACTGGTGACAGTGTTCTTGGGGATTGTCTCGAGATCCATTAAGTAAGTCGAAGCTCCTGACTTGTTTGAATGGGATCACGGAATAGCTCTGCATGCACTGCAGGGGAATGGGGCCTCATCTCGCCTCTAGGGGGAAGTCTCATGGTTTTTCTCGAGTTGCGGCGGGGACCTGGGGTATGTTCTCGACTTACGGCGGGGATGGCCCTTCAAAACACGAGTTTCTTCAGTGACGTCAGGACTCCTGTCTAGTAATGAGGGACACCTCAGCAATCTCTTCGAGGCTTGGCAGGGCAAAAGGGACGCCTCTCGAGGTGAGCCAGGGCACCCAAGGACCCTTTCCAGTAGCCACAGTTATTTTGGGATTCCTATACGTATTCAAGAGGAGTCAGGCATCGTCACCTTTTCAAGCAATGAATCTGCGTGCCTCTCGAGGTGTCAGGGGGATGTGAGGTATTCCGTCACAATGAGGCAGGGACCTAGGGCTTCCTCTAAGGACTCCACAGGGGATTCAGACATCCCTTCATGTTGTCAGATCAAAGACGAGCCTGTATTCAAGCCACTGCAAGGAAATCTGGCCTCCTTTCAAGTTAGGGCTTCTCGCTGTATATGCCCCTTGAGGCAGCAAACTCGGAGTCCTGCCCACATACCTATTGCAGAGAAGCCTCCTCCTGAGGTGCTTCTGGAAAGTTGGCATACGTCTTGAGCCTAAGCCAGGGAATCAGCTCTCATCTCGAGACGATTTGGGGTACACAGAGCATTCCTCGAGTTGCTGTGCTGAAGTTGGTGTTCCTCTAGACTTGGGACAGTGTTCTCGGGGCATCTCTGGAGTTGCCTGAAGGAAGGCGAGCCACCGGTCGTGTTGAACGGCTAACGGGGAATGGCTCTGGAGTCAATGCAGGGGAATCTGGCCTCATCTCGAGTTGATTTGGGGCACATGGAGCTGCTTTGCGTTGCTGGGGTGACCTCAGGGTCCGTCTAGACTGGTGACAGTGTTCTTGGGGACTGTCTCGAGATCCATTAAGCAAGTCGAAGCTCCTGACTTATTTGAATGGGATCACGGAATAGCTCTGCATGCACTGCAGGGGAATGGGGCCTCATCTCGCCTCTAGGGGGAAGTCTCACGGTTTTTCTCGAGTTGCGGCGGGGACCTGGGGTATGTTCTCGACTTACGGCGGGGATGGCCCTTCAAAACACGAGTTTCTCCAGTGACGTCAGGACTCCTGCCTAGTAACGAGGGACAGCTCAGGAATCTCTTCGAGGCTTAGCAGGGCAAAAGGGACGCTTCTCGAGGTGAGGCAGGGCACCCAAGGACCCTTTTCAGTAGCCACAGGGATTTTGGGATTCCTATCAATATTCAAGAGGAGTCAGGCATCGTCACCTTTTGAAGCAATGAACTCTGCGTGCCTCTCGAGGTGTCAGCGGGATGTGAGGATTCCGTCAAAATGAGGCAGGGACCTAGGGCTTCCTCTAAGGTCTCCACAGGGGATTCAGACTTCCTTTCATGTTGTCAGATGAAAGACGAGCCTGTATTCAAGCCACTGCAAGGAAATCCGGCCTCCTTTCAAGTTAGGGCTTCTCGCTGTATATTCCCCTTGAGGCAACAAACTCGGGGTCCCTCCCACATACCTATTGCTGAGAGAAGCCTCCTCCTGAGGTGCTTCTGGAAAGTTGGCATACGTCTTGAGCCTAAGCCAGGGAATCAGCTCTCATGTCGAGACGATTTGGGGTACACAGAGCATTCCTCGAGTTGCTGTGCTGAAGTTGGTGGTCCTCTAGACTTGGGACAGTGTTCTCGGGGCATCTCTGGAGTTGCCTGAAGGAAGGCGAGCCACCGGTCGTGTTGAACGGGGAACGGGGAATGGCTCTGGAGTCAATGCAGGGGAATCGGGCCTCATCTCGATTTGACTTGGGGCACATGGAGCTGCTTTGCGTTGCTGGGGTGACCTCAGGGTCCGTCTAGACTGGTGACAGTGTTCTTGGGGACTGTCTCGAGATCCATTAAGCAGGTCGAAGCTCCTGACTTGTTTGAATGGGATCACGGAATAGCTCTGCATGCACTGCAGGGGAATGGGGCCTCATCTCGCCTCTAGGGGGAAGTCTCATGGTTTTTCTCGAGTTGCGGCGGGGACCTGGGGTATGTTCTCGACTTACGGCGGGGATGGCCCTTCAAAACACGAGTTTCTTCAGTGACGTCAGGACTCCTGTCTAGTAATGAGGGACACCTCAGCAATCTCTTCGAGGCTTGGCAGGGCAAAAGGGACGCTTCTCGAGGTGAGGCAGTGCACCCAAGGACCCTTTCCAGTAGGCACAGGGATTTTGGGATTCCTATAAGTATTCAAGAGGAGTCAGGCATCGTCACCATTTCAAGCAATGAACTCTGCGTGCCTCTCGAGGTGTCAGAGGGATGTGAGGTATTCCGTCAAAATGAGGCAGGGACCTAGGGCTTCCTCTAAGGTCTCCACAGGGGATTCAGACATCCCTTCATGTTGTCAGATCAAAGACGAGCCTGTATTCAAGCCACTGCAAGGAAATCTGGCCTCCGTTCACATTAGGGCTTCTCCCTGTGTGTTCCCCTTGTGGCAGAAAACTCGGGGTCCCTCCCACATAACTATTGCTGAGAGAAGTCTCCTCTTGAGGTGCTTCTGGAAAGTTGGCATACGTCTTGAGCCTAAGCCAGGGAATCAGTTCTCATCTCGAGATGATTTGGGGTACACGGAGCATTCCTCGAGTTGCTGTGCTGAAGTTGGTGTTCCTCTAGACTTGGGACAGTGTGCTCGGGGCATCTCTGGAGTTGCCTGAAGGAAGGCGAGCCTCCGTTCATGTTGAACGGGGAACGGGGAATGGCTCTGGAGTCAATGCAGGGGAATCGGGCCTCATCTCGAGTTGATTTGGGGCACATGGAGCTGCTTTGCGTTGCTGGGGTGACCTCAGGGTCCGTCTAGACTGGTGACAGTGTTCTTGGGGACTGTCTCGAGATCCATTAACCAAGTCGAAGCTCCTGACTTGTTTGAATGGGATCACGGAATAGCTCTGCATGCACTGCAGGGGAATGGGGCCTCATCTCGCCTCTAGGGGGAAGTCTCACGGTTTTTCTCGAGTTGGGGCGGGGACCTGGGGTATGTTCTCGACTTACGGCGGGGATGGCCCTTCAAAACACGAGTTTCTTCAGTGACGTCAGGACTCCTGTCTAGTAATGAGGGACACCTCAGCAATCTCTTCGAGGCTTGGCAGGGCAAAAGGGACGCTTCTCGAGGTGAGGCAGGGCACCCAAGGACCCTTTCCAGTAGCCATAGGGATTTTGGGATTCCTATAAGTATTCAAGAGTAGTCAGGCATCGTCACCATTTCAAGCAATGAACTCTGCGTGCCTCTCGAGGTGTCAGGGGGATGTGAGGTATTCTGTCAAAATGAGGCAGGGAACTAGGGCTTCCTCTAAGGTCTCCACAGGGGATTCAGACATCCCTTCATGTTGTCAGATCAAAGACGAGCCTGTATTCAAGCCACTGCAAGGAAATCTGGCCTCCGTTCACATTAGGGCTTCTCCCTGTGTATTCCCCTTGAGGCAGCAAACTCGGGGTCCCTCCCACTTACCTATTGCTGAGAGAAGCCTCCTCCTGAGGTGCTTCTGGAAAGTTGGCATACGTCTTGAGCCTAAGCCAGGGAATCAGCTCTCATCTCGAGATGATTTGGGGTACACGGAGCATTCCTCGAGTTGCTGTGCTGAAGTTGGTGTTCCTCTAGACTTGGGACAGTGTTCTCGGGGCATCTCTGGAGTTGCCTGAAGGAAGGCGAGCCTCCGTTCGTGTTGAACGGGGAACGGGGAATGGCTCTGGAGTCAATGCAGGGGAATTGGGCCTCATCTCGAGTTGATTTGGGGCACATGGAGCTGCTTTGCGTTGCTGGGGTTACCTCAGGGTCCGTCTAGACTGGTGACAGTGTTCTTGGGGACTGTCTCGAGATCCATTAAGCAAGTCGAAGCTCCTGACTTGTTTGAATGGGATCACGGAATAGCAATGCATGCACTGCAGGGGAATGGGGCCTCATCTCGCCTCTAGGGGGAAGTCTCACGGTTTTTCTCGAGTTGCGGCAGGGACCTGGGGTATGTTCTCGACTTACGGCGGGGATGGCCCTTCAAAACACGAGTTTCTTCAGTGACGTCAGGACTCCTGTCTAGTAACGAGGGACACCTCAGGAATCACTTCGAGGCTTGGCAGGCAAAAGGGACGCTTCTCGAGGTGAGGCAGGGCACCCAATGACCCTTTCCAGTAGCCCCAGGGATTTTGGGATTCCTATCAGTATTCAAGAGGAGTCAGGCATGGTCACCTTTTGAAGCAATGAACTCCGCGTGCCTCTCGAGGTGTCAGCGGGATGTGAGGCATTCCGTCAAAATGAGGCAGGGACCTAGGGCTTTCTCTAAGGTCTCCACAGGGGATTCAGACATCCCTTCATGTTGTGAGATGAAAGACGAGTGTGTATTCAAGCCACTGCAAGGAAATCCGGCTTCCTTTCAAGTTAGGGCTTCTCGCTGTATATTCCCCTTGAGGCAGCAAACTCGGGGTCCCTCCCACATACCTATTGCTGAGAGAAGCCTCCTCCTGAGGTGCTTCTGGGAAGTTGGCATACGTCTTGAGCCTAAGCCAGGGAATCAGCTCTCATCTCGAGACGATTTTCGGGTACAGGGAGCATTCCTCGAGTTGCTGTGCTGAAGTTGGTGTTCCTCTAGACTTGGGACAGTGTTCTCGGGGCATCTCTGGAGTTGCCTGAAGGAAGTCGAGCCACCGGTCGTGTTGAATGGGGAACGGGGAATGGCTCTGGAGTCAATGCAGGGGAATCGGGCCGCATCTCGAGTTGATTTGGGGCACATGGAGCTGCTTTGCGTTGCTGGGGTGACCTCAGGGTCCGTCTAGACTGGTGACAGTGTTCTTGGGGACTGTCTCGAGATCCATTAAGCAAGTCGAAGCTCCTGACTTGTTTGAATGGGATCACGGAATAGCTCTGCATGCACTGCAGGGGAATGGGGCCTCATCTCACCTCTAGGGGGAAGTCTCATGGTTTTTCTCGAGTTGCGGCGGGGACCTGGGGTATGTTCTCGACTTACGGCGGGGATGGCCCTTCAAAACACGAGTTTCTTCAGTGACGTCAGGACTCCTGTCTAGTAACGAGGGACACCTCAGGAATCTCTTCGCGGCTTGGCAGGGCAAAAGGGACGCTTCTCGAGGTGAGGCAGGGCACCCAAGGACCCTTCCCAGTAGCCACAGGGATTTTGGGATTCCTATCAGTATTCAAGAGGAGTCAGGCATCGTCACCTTTTGAAGCAATGAACTCCGCTTGCTTCTCCAGGTGTCAGCGGGATGTGAGGATTCCGTCAAAATGAGGCAGGGACCTAGAGCTTTCTCTAAGGTCTCCACCTGGGATTCAGACATCCCTTCATGTTGTGAGATGAAAGACGAGCCTGTATTAGTCCACTGCAAGGAAATCTGGCCTCCTTTCAAGTTAGGGCTTCTCGCTGTATATTCCCCTTGAGGCAGCAAACTCGGGGTCCCTCCCACATACCTATTGCTGAGAGAATCCTCCTCCTGAGGTGCTTCTGGAAAGTTGGCATACGTCTTGATCCTAAGCCAGGGAATCAGCTCTCATCTCGAGATGATTTGGGGTACACGGAGCATTCCTCGAGTTGCTGTGCTGAAGTTCGTGTTCCTCTAGACTTGCGAAAGTGTTCTCTGGGCATCTCTGGAGTTGCCTGAAGGAAGTCGAGCCACGGGTCTTGTTGAATGGGGAACGGGGAATGGCTCTGGAGTCAATGCAGGGGAATCGGGCCTCATCTCGAGTTGATTTGGGGCACATGGAGCAGCTTTGCGTTGCTGGGGTGACCTCAGGGTCCGTCTAGACTGGTGCAGTGTTCTTGGGGACTGTCTCGAGATCCATTAAGCAAGTCGAAGCTCCTGACTTGTTTGAATGGGATCACGGAATAGCTCTGCATGCACTGCAGGGGAATGGGGCCTCATCTCGCCTCTAGGGGGAAGTCTCATGGTTTTTCTCGAGTTGCGGCGGGGACCTGGGGTATGTTCTCGACTTACGGCGGGGATGGCCCTTCAAAACACGAGTTTCTCCAGTGACGTCAGGACTCCTGCCTAGTAACGAGGGACACCTCAGGAATCTCTTCGAGGCTTGGCAGGGCAAAAGGAACGCTTCTCGAGGTGCGGCAGGGCACCCAAGGCCCCTTTCCAGTAGCCACAGGGATTTTGGGATTCCTATCAGTATTCAAGAGGAGTCAGGCATCGTCACCTTTTGAAGCAATGAATTCCGCGTGCCTCTCGAGGTGTCAGCGGGATTTGAGGATTCCGTCAAAATGAGGCAGGGACCTAGGGCTTCCTCTAAGGTCTCCACAGGGGATTCAGACATCCCTTCATGTTGTGAGATGAAATACGAGCCTGTATTCAAGCCACTGCAAGGAAATCCGGCCTCCTTTCAAGTTAGGGCTTCTCGCTGTATATTCCCCTTGAGGCAACAAACTCGGGGTCCCTCCCACATACCTATTGCTGAGAGAAGCCTCCTCCAGAGGTGCTTCTGGAAATTTGGCATACGTCTTGAGCCTAAGCCAGGGAATCAGCTCGCATCTCGAAATGATTTGGGGTACACAGAGCATTCCTTGAATTGCTGTGCTGAAGTTGGTGGTCCTCTATACTTGGGACAGTGTTCTCGGGGCATCTCTGGAGTTGCCTGAAGGAAGTCGAGACACCAGTCTTGTTGAATGGGGAACGGGGAATGGCTCTGTAGTCAATGCAGGGGAATCGGGCCTCATCTCGAGTTGATTTGGGGCACATGGAGCTGCTTTGCGTTGCTGGGGTGAGCTCAGGGTCCGTCTAGACTGGTGACAGTGTTCTTGGGGACTGTCTCGAGATCCATTAAGCAAGTCGAAGCTCCTGACTTGTTTGAATGGGATCACGGAATAGCTCTGCATGCACTGCAGGGGAATGGGGCCTCATCTCGCCTCTTGGGGGAAGTCTCACGGTTTTTCTCGAGTTGCGGCAGGGACCTGGGGTATGTTCTCGACTTACGGCGGGGATGGCCCTTCAAAACACGAGTTTCTTCAGTGACGTCAGGACTCCTGTCTAGTAACGAGGGACACCTCAGGGATCTCTTCGAGGCTTGGCAGGGCAAAAGGGACGCTTCTCGAGGTGAGGCAGGGCACCCAAGGACCCTTTCCAGTAGCCACAGGGATTTTGGGATTCCTATCAGTATTCAAGAGGAGTCAGGCATGGTCACCTTTTGAAGCAATGAACTCCGCTTGCTTCTCCAGGTGTCAGCGGGATGTGAGGATTCCGTCAAAATGACGCAGGGACCTAGAGCTTTCTCTAAGGTCTCCACAGGGGATTCAGACATCCCTTCATGTTGTGAGATGAAAGACGAGCCTGTATTAGTCCACTGCAAGGAAATCCGGCCTCCTTTCAAGTTAGGGCTTCTCGCTGTATATTCCCCTTGAGGCAGCAAATTCGGGGTCCCTCCCACATACCTATTGCTGAGAGAAGCCTCCTCCTGAGGTGCTTCTGGAAAGTTGGCATACGTCTTGAGCCTAAGCCAGGGAATCAGCTCTCATCTCGAGACGATTTGGGGTACACAGAGCATTCCTCGAGTTGCTGTGCTGAAGTTGGTGTTCCTCTAGACTTGGGACAGTGTTCTCGGGGCATCTCTGGAGTTGCCTGAAGGAAGGCGATCCACCGGTCGTGTTGAACGGGGAACGGGGAATGGCTCTGGAGTCAATGCAGGGGAATCGGGCCTCATCTCGATTTGCCTTGGGGCACATGGAGCTGCTTTGCGTTGCTGGGGTGACCTCAGGGTCCGTCTAGACTGGTGACAGTGTTCTTGGGGACTGTCTCGAGATCCATTAAGCAGGTCGAAGCTCCTGACTTGTTTGAATGGGATCACGGAATAGCTCTGCATGCACTGCAGGGGAATGGGGCCTCATCTCGCCTCTAGGGGGAAGTCTCATGGTTTTTCTCGAGTTGCGGCGGGGACCTGGGGTATGTTCTCGACTTACGGCGGGGATGGCCCTTCAAAACACGAGTTTCTTCAGTGACGTCAGGACTCCTGTCTAGTAACGAGGGACACCTCAGCAATCTCTTCGAGGCTTGGCAGGGCAAAAGGGACGCTTCTCGAGGTGAGGCAGGGCACCCAAGGACCCTTTCCAGTAGGCACAGTGATTTTGGGATTCCTATAAGTATTCAAGAGGTGTCAGGCATCGTCACCATTTCAAGCAATGAACTCTGCGTGCCTCTCGAGGTGTCAGGGGGATGTGAGGTATTCCGTCAAAATGAGGCAGGGACCTATGGCTTCCTCTAAGGTCTCCACAGGGGATTCAGACATCCCTTCATGTTGTCAGATCAAAGACGAGCCTGTATTCAAGCCACTGCAAGGAAATCTGGCCTCTGTTCACATTAGGGCTTCTCCCTGTGTATTCCCCTTGTGGCAGAAAACTCGGGGTCCCTCCCACATACCTATTGCTGAGAGAAGCCTCCTCCTGAGGTGCTTCTGGAAAGTTGGCATACGTCTTGAGCCTAAGCCAGGGAATCAGCTCGCATCTCGAGATGATTTGGGGTACACGGAGCATTCCTCGAGTTGCTGTGCTGAAGTTGGTGTTCCTCTAGACTTGGGAAAGTGTTCTCGGGGCATCTCTGGAGTTGCCTGAAGGAAGGCGAGCCTCCGTTCGTGTTGAACGGGGAACGGGGAATGGCTCTGAAGTCAATGCAGGGGAATCCGGCCTCATCTCGAGTTGATTTGGGGCTCATGGAGCTGCTTTGCGTTGCTGGGGTTACCTCAGGGTCCGTCTAGACTGGTGACAGTGTTCTTGGGGACTGTCTCGAGATCCATTAACCAAGTCGAAGCTCCTGACTTGTTTGAATGGGATCACGGAATAGCTCTGCATGCACTGCAGGGGAATGGTGCCTCATCTCGCCTCTAGGGGGAAGTCTCACGGTTTTTCTCGACTTGCGGCGGGGACCTGGGGTATGTTCTCGACTTAAGGCGGGGATGGCCCTTCAAAACACGAGTTTCTCCAGTGACGTCAGGACTCCTGCCTAGTAACGAGGGACACCTCAGGAATCTCTTCGAGGCTTGGCAGGGCAAAAGGGACGCTTCTCGAGGTGAGGCAGGGCACCCAAGGACCCTTTCCAGTAGTCACAGGGATTTTGGGATTCCTATCAGTATTCAAGAGGAGTCAGGCATCGTCACCTTTTGAAGCAATGAACTCCGAGTGCCTCTCGAGGTGTCAACGGGATGTGAGGATTGCGTCAAAATGAGGCAGGGACCTAGGGCTTCCTCTAAGGTCTCCACAGGGGATTCAGACATCCCTTCATGTTGTGAGATGAAAGACGAGCCTGTATTCAAGCCACTGCAAGGAAATCCGTCCTCCTTTCAAGTTAGGGCTTTTCGCTGTATATTCCCCTTGAGGCAACAAACTCGGGGTCCCTCCCACATACCTATTGCTGAGAGAAGCCTCCTCCTGAGGTGCTTCTGGAAAGTTGGCATACGTCTTGAGCCTAAGCCAGGGAATCAGCTCCCATCTTGAGACGATTTGGGGTACACAGAGCATTCCTCGAGTTGCTGTGCTGAAGTTGGTGGTCCTCTAGACTTGGGACAGTGTTCTCGGGGCATCTGGAGTTGCCTGAAGGAAGTCGAGCCACCGGTCGTGTTGAATGGGGAACAGGGAATGGCTCTGGAGTCAATGCAGGGGAATCCGGCCTCATCTCGAGTTGATTTGGGGCACATGGAGCTGCTTTGCATTGCTGGGTGACCTCAGGGTCCGTCTAGACTGGTGACAGTGTTCTTGGGGATTGTCTCGAGATCCATTAAGTAAGTCGAAGCTCCTGACTTGTTTGAATGGGATCACGGAATAGCTCTGCATGCACTGCAGGGGAATGGGGCCTCATCTCGCCTCTAGGGGGAAGTCTCATGGTTTTTCTCGAGTTGCGGCGGGGACCTGGGGTATGTTCTCGACTTACGGCGGGGATGGCCCTTCAAAACACGAGTTTCTTCAGTGACGTCAGGACTCCTGTCTAGTAATGAGGGACACCTCAGCAATCTCTTCGAGGCTTGGCAGGGCAAAAGGGACGCCTCTCGAGGTGAGCCAGGGCACCCAAGGACCCTTTCCAGTAGCCACAGTTATTTTGGGATTCCTATACGTATTCAAGAGGAGTCAGGCATCGTCACCTTTTCAAGCAATGAATCTGCGTGCCTCTCGAGGTGTCAGGGGGATGTGAGGTATTCCGTCACAATGAGGCAGGGACCTAGGGCTTCCTCTAAGGACTCCACAGGGGATTCAGACATCCCTTCATGTTGTCAGATCAAAGACGAGCCTGTATTCAAGCCACTGCAAGGAAATCTGGCCTCCTTTCAAGTTAGGGCTTCTCGCTGTATATGCCCCTTGAGGCAGCAAACTCGGAGTCCTGCCCACATACCTATTGCAGAGAAGCCTCCTCCTGAGGTGCTTCTGGAAAGTTGGCATACGTCTTGAGCCTAAGCCAGGGAATCAGCTCTCATCTCGAGACGATTTGGGGTACACAGAGCATTCCTCGAGTTGCTGTGCTGAAGTTGGTGTTCCTCTAGACTTGGGACAGTGTTCTCGGGGCATCTCTGGAGTTGCCTGAAGGAAGGCGAGCCACCGGTCGTGTTGAACGGCTAACGGGGAATGGCTCTGGAGTCAATGCAGGGGAATCTGGCCTCATCTCGAGTTGATTTGGGGCACATGGAGCTGCTTTGCGTTGCTGGGGTGACCTCAGGGTCCGTCTAGACTGGTGACAGTGTTCTTGGGGACTGTCTCGAGATCCATTAAGCAAGTCGAAGCTCCTGACTTATTTGAATGGGATCACGGAATAGCTCTGCATGCACTGCAGGGGAATGGGGCCTCATCTCGCCTCTAGGGGGAAGTCTCACGGTTTTTCTCGAGTTGCGGCGGGGACCTGGGGTATGTTCTCGACTTACGGCGGGGATGGCCCTTCAAAACACGAGTTTCTCCAGTGACGTCAGGACTCCTGCCTAGTAACGAGGGACAGCTCAGGAATCTCTTCGAGGCTTAGCAGGGCAAAAGGGACGCTTCTCGAGGTGAGGCAGGGCACCCAAGGACCCTTTTCAGTAGCCACAGGGATTTTGGGATTCCTATCAATATTCAAGAGGAGTCAGGCATCGTCACCTTTTGAAGCAATGAACTCTGCGTGCCTCTCGAGGTGTCAGCGGGATGTGAGGATTCCGTCAAAATGAGGCAGGGACCTAGGGCTTCCTCTAAGGTCTCCACAGGGGATTCAGACTTCCTTTCATGTTGTCAGATGAAAGACGAGCCTGTATTCAAGCCACTGCAAGGAAATCCGGCCTCCTTTCAAGTTAGGGCTTCTCGCTGTATATTCCCCTTGAGGCAACAAACTCGGGGTCCCTCCCACATACCTATTGCTGAGAGAAGCCTCCTCCTGAGGTGCTTCTGGAAAGTTGGCATACGTCTTGAGCCTAAGCCAGGGAATCAGCTCTCATGTCGAGACGATTTGGGGTACACAGAGCATTCCTCGAGTTGCTGTGCTGAAGTTGGTGGTCCTCTAGACTTGGGACAGTGTTCTCGGGGCATCTCTGGAGTTGCCTGAAGGAAGGCGAGCCACCGGTCGTGTTGAACGGGGAACGGGGAATGGCTCTGGAGTCAATGCAGGGGAATCGGGCCTCATCTCGATTTGACTTGGGGCACATGGAGCTGCTTTGCGTTGCTGGGGTGACCTCAGGGTCCGTCTAGACTGGTGACAGTGTTCTTGGGGACTGTCTCGAGATCCATTAAGCAGGTCGAAGCTCCTGACTTGTTTGAATGGGATCACGGAATAGCTCTGCATGCACTGCAGGGGAATGGGGCCTCATCTCGCCTCTAGGGGGAAGTCTCATGGTTTTTCTCGAGTTGCGGCGGGGACCTGGGGTATGTTCTCGACTTACGGCGGGGATGGCCCTTCAAAACACGAGTTTCTTCAGTGACGTCAGGACTCCTGTCTAGTAATGAGGGACACCTCAGCAATCTCTTCGAGGCTTGGCAGGGCAAAAGGGACGCTTCTCGAGGTGAGGCAGTGCACCCAAGGACCCTTTCCAGTAGGCACAGGGATTTTGGGATTCCTATAAGTATTCAAGAGGAGTCAGGCATCGTCACCATTTCAAGCAATGAACTCTGCGTGCCTCTCGAGGTGTCAGAGGGATGTGAGGTATTCCGTCAAAATGAGGCAGGGACCTAGGGCTTCCTCTAAGGTCTCCACAGGGGATTCAGACATCCCTTCATGTTGTCAGATCAAAGACGAGCCTGTATTCAAGCCACTGCAAGGAAATCTGGCCTCCGTTCACATTAGGGCTTCTCCCTGTGTGTTCCCCTTGTGGCAGAAAACTCGGGGTCCCTCCCACATAACTATTGCTGAGAGAAGTCTCCTCTTGAGGTGCTTCTGGAAAGTTGGCATACGTCTTGAGCCTAAGCCAGGGAATCAGTTCTCATCTCGAGATGATTTGGGGTACACGGAGCATTCCTCGAGTTGCTGTGCTGAAGTTGGTGTTCCTCTAGACTTGGGACAGTGTGCTCGGGGCATCTCTGGAGTTGCCTGAAGGAAGGCGAGCCTCCGTTCATGTTGAACGGGGAACGGGGAATGGCTCTGGAGTCAATGCAGGGGAATCGGGCCTCATCTCGAGTTGATTTGGGGCACATGGAGCTGCTTTGCGTTGCTGGGGTGACCTCAGGGTCCGTCTAGACTGGTGACAGTGTTCTTGGGGACTGTCTCGAGATCCATTAACCAAGTCGAAGCTCCTGACTTGTTTGAATGGGATCACGGAATAGCTCTGCATGCACTGCAGGGGAATGGGGCCTCATCTCGCCTCTAGGGGGAAGTCTCACGGTTTTTCTCGAGTTGGGGCGGGGACCTGGGGTATGTTCTCGACTTACGGCGGGGATGGCCCTTCAAAACACGAGTTTCTTCAGTGACGTCAGGACTCCTGTCTAGTAATGAGGGACACCTCAGCAATCTCTTCGAGGCTTGGCAGGGCAAAAGGGACGCTTCTCGAGGTGAGGCAGGGCACCCAAGGACCCTTTCCAGTAGCCATAGGGATTTTGGGATTCCTATAAGTATTCAAGAGTAGTCAGGCATCGTCACCATTTCAAGCAATGAACTCTGCGTGCCTCTCGAGGTGTCAGGGGGATGTGAGGTATTCTGTCAAAATGAGGCAGGGAACTAGGGCTTCCTCTAAGGTCTCCACAGGGGATTCAGACATCCCTTCATGTTGTCAGATCAAAGACGAGCCTGTATTCAAGCCACTGCAAGGAAATCTGGCCTCCGTTCACATTAGGGCTTCTCCCTGTGTATTCCCCTTGAGGCAGCAAACTCGGGGTCCCTCCCACTTACCTATTGCTGAGAGAAGCCTCCTCCTGAGGTGCTTCTGGAAAGTTGGCATACGTCTTGAGCCTAAGCCAGGGAATCAGCTCTCATCTCGAGATGATTTGGGGTACACGGAGCATTCCTCGAGTTGCTGTGCTGAAGTTGGTGTTCCTCTAGACTTGGGACAGTGTTCTCGGGGCATCTCTGGAGTTGCCTGAAGGAAGGCGAGCCTCCGTTCGTGTTGAACGGGGAACGGGGAATGGCTCTGGAGTCAATGCAGGGGAATTGGGCCTCATCTCGAGTTGATTTGGGGCACATGGAGCTGCTTTGCGTTGCTGGGGTTACCTCAGGGTCCGTCTAGACTGGTGACAGTGTTCTTGGGGACTGTCTCGAGATCCATTAAGCAAGTCGAAGCTCCTGACTTGTTTGAATGGGATCACGGAATAGCAATGCATGCACTGCAGGGGAATGGGGCCTCATCTCGCCTCTAGGGGGAAGTCTCACGGTTTTTCTCGAGTTGCGGCAGGGACCTGGGGTATGTTCTCGACTTACGGCGGGGATGGCCCTTCAAAACACGAGTTTCTTCAGTGACGTCAGGACTCCTGTCTAGTAACGAGGGACACCTCAGGAATCACTTCGAGGCTTGGCAGGCAAAAGGGACGCTTCTCGAGGTGAGGCAGGGCACCCAATGACCCTTTCCAGTAGCCCCAGGGATTTTGGGATTCCTATCAGTATTCAAGAGGAGTCAGGCATGGTCACCTTTTGAAGCAATGAACTCCGCGTGCCTCTCGAGGTGTCAGCGGGATGTGAGGCATTCCGTCAAAATGAGGCAGGGACCTAGGGCTTTCTCTAAGGTCTCCACAGGGGATTCAGACATCCCTTCATGTTGTGAGATGAAAGACGAGTGTGTATTCAAGCCACTGCAAGGAAATCCGGCTTCCTTTCAAGTTAGGGCTTCTCGCTGTATATTCCCCTTGAGGCAGCAAACTCGGGGTCCCTCCCACATACCTATTGCTGAGAGAAGCCTCCTCCTGAGGTGCTTCTGGGAAGTTGGCATACGTCTTGAGCCTAAGCCAGGGAATCAGCTCTCATCTCGAGACGATTTTCGGGTACAGGGAGCATTCCTCGAGTTGCTGTGCTGAAGTTGGTGTTCCTCTAGACTTGGGACAGTGTTCTCGGGGCATCTCTGGAGTTGCCTGAAGGAAGTCGAGCCACCGGTCGTGTTGAATGGGGAACGGGGAATGGCTCTGGAGTCAATGCAGGGGAATCGGGCCGCATCTCGAGTTGATTTGGGGCACATGGAGCTGCTTTGCGTTGCTGGGGTGACCTCAGGGTCCGTCTAGACTGGTGACAGTGTTCTTGGGGACTGTCTCGAGATCCATTAAGCAAGTCGAAGCTCCTGACTTGTTTGAATGGGATCACGGAATAGCTCTGCATGCACTGCAGGGGAATGGGGCCTCATCTCACCTCTAGGGGGAAGTCTCATGGTTTTTCTCGAGTTGCGGCGGGGACCTGGGGTATGTTCTCGACTTACGGCGGGGATGGCCCTTCAAAACACGAGTTTCTTCAGTGACGTCAGGACTCCTGTCTAGTAACGAGGGACACCTCAGGAATCTCTTCGCGGCTTGGCAGGGCAAAAGGGACGCTTCTCGAGGTGAGGCAGGGCACCCAAGGACCCTTCCCAGTAGCCACAGGGATTTTGGGATTCCTATCAGTATTCAAGAGGAGTCAGGCATCGTCACCTTTTGAAGCAATGAACTCCGCTTGCTTCTCCAGGTGTCAGCGGGATGTGAGGATTCCGTCAAAATGAGGCAGGGACCTAGAGCTTTCTCTAAGGTCTCCACCTGGGATTCAGACATCCCTTCATGTTGTGAGATGAAAGACGAGCCTGTATTAGTCCACTGCAAGGAAATCTGGCCTCCTTTCAAGTTAGGGCTTCTCGCTGTATATTCCCCTTGAGGCAGCAAACTCGGGGTCCCTCCCACATACCTATTGCTGAGAGAATCCTCCTCCTGAGGTGCTTCTGGAAAGTTGGCATACGTCTTGATCCTAAGCCAGGGAATCAGCTCTCATCTCGAGATGATTTGGGGTACACGGAGCATTCCTCGAGTTGCTGTGCTGAAGTTCGTGTTCCTCTAGACTTGCGAAAGTGTTCTCTGGGCATCTCTGGAGTTGCCTGAAGGAAGTCGAGCCACGGGTCTTGTTGAATGGGGAACGGGGAATGGCTCTGGAGTCAATGCAGGGGAATCGGGCCTCATCTCGAGTTGATTTGGGGCACATGGAGCAGCTTTGCGTTGCTGGGGTGACCTCAGGGTCCGTCTAGACTGGTGCAGTGTTCTTGGGGACTGTCTCGAGATCCATTAAGCAAGTCGAAGCTCCTGACTTGTTTGAATGGGATCACGGAATAGCTCTGCATGCACTGCAGGGGAATGGGGCCTCATCTCGCCTCTAGGGGGAAGTCTCATGGTTTTTCTCGAGTTGCGGCGGGGACCTGGGGTATGTTCTCGACTTACGGCGGGGATGGCCCTTCAAAACACGAGTTTCTCCAGTGACGTCAGGACTCCTGCCTAGTAACGAGGGACACCTCAGGAATCTCTTCGAGGCTTGGCAGGGCAAAAGGAACGCTTCTCGAGGTGCGGCAGGGCACCCAAGGCCCCTTTCCAGTAGCCACAGGGATTTTGGGATTCCTATCAGTATTCAAGAGGAGTCAGGCATCGTCACCTTTTGAAGCAATGAATTCCGCGTGCCTCTCGAGGTGTCAGCGGGATTTGAGGATTCCGTCAAAATGAGGCAGGGACCTAGGGCTTCCTCTAAGGTCTCCACAGGGGATTCAGACATCCCTTCATGTTGTGAGATGAAATACGAGCCTGTATTCAAGCCACTGCAAGGAAATCCGGCCTCCTTTCAAGTTAGGGCTTCTCGCTGTATATTCCCCTTGAGGCAACAAACTCGGGGTCCCTCCCACATACCTATTGCTGAGAGAAGCCTCCTCCAGAGGTGCTTCTGGAAATTTGGCATACGTCTTGAGCCTAAGCCAGGGAATCAGCTCGCATCTCGAAATGATTTGGGGTACACAGAGCATTCCTTGAATTGCTGTGCTGAAGTTGGTGGTCCTCTAGACTGGGGACAGTGTTCTCGGGGCATCTCTGGAGTTGCCTGAAGGAAGTCGAGACACCAGTCGTGTTGAATGGGGAACGGGGAATGGCTCTGGAGTCAATGCAGGGGAATCGGGCCTCATCTCGAGTTGATTTGGGGCACATGGAGCTGCTTTGCGTTGCTGGGGTGTGCTCAGGGTCCGTCTAGACTGGTGACAGTGTTCTTGGGGACTGTCTCGAGATCCATTAAGCAAGTCGAAGCTCCTGACTTGTTTGAATGGGATCACGGAATAGCTCTGCATGCACTGCAAGGGAATGGGGCCTCATCTCGCCTCTTGGGGGAAGTCTCACGGTTTTTCTCGAGTTGCGGCAGGGACCTGGGGTATGTTCTCGACTTACGGCGGGGATGGCCCTTCAAAACATGAGTTTCTTCAGTGACGTCAGGACTCCTGTCTAGTAACGAGGGACACCTCAGGGATCTCTTCGAGGCTTGGCAGGGCAAAAGGGACGCTTCTCGAGGTGAGGCAGGGCACCCAAGGACCCTTTCCAGTAGCCACAGGGATTTTGGGATTCCTATCAGTATTCAAGAGGAGTCAGGCATGGTCACCTTTTGAAGCAATGAACTCCGCTTGCTTCTCCAGGTGTCAGCGGGATGTGAGGATTCCGTCAAAATGACGCAGGGACCTAGAGCTTTCTCTAAGGTCTCCACAGGGGATTCAGACATCCCTTCATGTTGTGAGATGAAAGACGAGCCTGTATTAGTCCACTGCAAGGAAATCCGGCCTCCTTTCAAGTTAGGGCTTCTCGCTGTATATTCCCCATGAGGCAGCAAATTCGGGGTCCCTCCCACATACCTATTGCTGAGAGAAGCCTCCTCCTGAGGTGCTTCTGGAAAGTTGGCATACGTCTTGAGCCTAAGCCAGGGAATCAGCTCTCATCTCGAGACGATTTGGGGTACACAGAGCATTCCTCGAGTTGCTGTGCTGAAGTTGGTGTTCCTCTAGACTTGGGACAGTGTTCTCGGGGCATCTCTGGAGTTGCCTGAAGGAAGGCGATCCACCGGTCGTGTTGAACGGGGAACGGGGAATGGCTCTGGAGTCAATGCAGGGGAATCGGGCCTCATCTCGATTTGCCTTGGGGCACATGGAGCTGCTTTGCGTTGCTGGGGTGACCTCAGGGTCCGTCTAGACTGGTGACAGTGTTCTTGGGGACTGTCTCGAGATCCATTAAGCAGGTCGAAGCTCCTGACTTGTTTGAATGGGATCACGGAATAGCTCTGCATGCACTGCAGGGGAATGGGGCCTCATCTCGCCTCTAGGGGGAAGTCTCATGGTTTTTCTCGAGTTGCGGCGGGGACCTGGGGTATGTTCTCGACTTACGGCGGGGATGGCCCTTCAAAACACGAGTTTCTTCAGTGACGTCAGGACTCCTGTCTAGTAACGAGGGACACCTCAGCAATCTCTTCGAGGCTTGGCAGGGCAAAAGGGACGCTTCTCGAGGTGAGGCAGGGCACCCAAGGACACTTTCCAGTAGGCACAGGGATTTTGGGATTCCTATAAGTATTCAAGAGGTGTCAGGCATCGTCACCATTTCAAGCAATGAACTCTGCGTGCCTCTTGAGGTGTCAGGGGGATGTGAGGTATTCCGTCAAAATGAGGCAGGGACCTATGGCTTCCTCTAAGGTCTCCACAGGGGATTCAGACATCCCTTCATGTTGTCAGATCAAAGACGAGCCTGTATTCAAGCCACTGCAAGGAAATCTGGCCTCTGTTCACATTAGGGCTTCTCCCTGTGTATTCCCCTTGTGGCAGAAAACTCGGGGTCCCTCCCACATACCTATTGCTGAGAGAAGCCTCCTCCTGAGGTGCTTCTGGAAAGTTGGCATACGTCTTGAGCCTAAGCCAGGGAATCAGCTCTCATCTCGAGATGATTTGGGGTACACGGAGCATTCCTCGAGTTGCTGTGCTGAAGTTGGTGTTCCTCTAGACTTGGGACAGTGTTCTCGGGGCATCTCTGGAGTTGCCTGAAGGAAGGCGAGCCTCCGTTCGTGTTGAACGGGGAACGGGGAATGGCTCTGAAGTCAATGCAGGGGAATCCGGCCTCATCTCGAGTTGATTTGGGGCTCATGGAGCTGCTTTGCGTTGCTGGGGTTACCTCAGGGTCCGTCTAGACTGGTGACAGTGTTCTTGGGGACTGTCTCGAGATCCATTAACCAAGTCGAAGCTCCTGACTTGTTTGAATGGGATCACGGAATAGCTCTGCATGCACTGCAGGGGAATGGTGCCTCATCTCGCCTCTAGGGGGAAGTCTCACGGTTTTTCTCGACTTGCGGCGGGGACCTGGGGTATGTTCTCGACTTAAGGCGGGGATGGCCCTTCAAAACACGAGTTTCTCCAGTGACGTCAGGACTCCTGCCTAGTAACGAGGGACACCTCAGGAATCTCTTCGAGGCTTGGCAGGGCAAAAGGGACGCTTCTCGAGGTGAGGCAGGGCACCCAAGGACCCTTTCCAGTAGCCACAGGGATTTTGGGATTCCTATCAGTATTCAAGAGGAGTCAGGCATCGTCACCTTTTGTAGCAATGAACTCCGCGTGCCTCTCGAGGTGTCAGCGGGATGTGAGGCATTCCGTCAAAATGAGGCAGGGACCTAGGGCTTTCTCTAAGGTCTCCACAGGGGATTCAGACATCCCTTCATGTTGTGAGATGAAAGACAAGCCTGTAGTCAAGCTACTGCAAGGAAATCCGGCCTCCTTTCAAGTTAGGGCTTCTCGATGTATATTCCCCTTGAGGCAGCAAACTCGGGGTCCCTCCCACATACCTATTGCTGAGAAGCCTCCTCCTGAGGTGCTTCTGGAAAGTTGGCATACGTCTTGAGCCTAAGCCAGGAAATCAGCTCTCATCTCGAGATGATTTGGGGTACACGGAGCATTCCTCGAGTTGCTGTGCTGAAGTTGGTGTTCCTCTAGACTTGGGAAAGTGTTCTCTGGGCATCTCTGGAGTTGCCTGAACGAAGTCGAGCCACCTGTCTTGTTGAATGGGGAACGGGGAATGGCTCTGGAGTCAATGCAGGGGAATCGGGCCTCATCTCGAGTTGATTTGGGGCACATGGAGCAGCTTTGCGTTGCTGGGGTGACCTCAGGGTCCGTCTAGACTGGTGACAGTGTTCTTGGGGACTGTCTCGAGATCCATTAAGCAAGTCGAAGCTCCTGACTTGTTTGAATGGGATCAAGGAATAGCTCTGCATGCACTGCAGGGGAATGGGGCCTCATCTCGCCTCTAGGGGGGAGTCTCTTGGTTTTTCTCGAGTTGCGGCGGGGACCTGGGGTATGTTCTCGACTTACGGCGGGGATGGCCCTTCAAAACACGAGTTTCTTCAGTGACGTCAGGACTCCTGCTTAGTAACGAGGGACACCTCAGGAATCTCTTCGAGGCTTGGCAGGGCAAAAGGAACGCTTCTCGAGGTGAGGCAGGGCACCCAAGGACCCTTTCCAGTAGCCACAGGGATTTTGGGATTCCTATCAGTATTCAAGAGGAGTCAGGCATCGTCACCTTTTGAAGCAATGAACTCCGCGTGCCTCTCGAGGTGTCAGCGGGATGTGAGGCATTCCGTCAAAATGAGGCAGGGACCTAGGGCTTTCTCTAAGGTCTCCACAGGGGATTCAGACATCCCTTCAAGTTGTGAGGTGAAAGACAAGCCTGTATTCAATCTATTGCATGGAAATCCGGACTCCTTTCAAGTTAGGGCTTCTCGCTGTATATTCCCCTTGAGGCAGCAAACTCGGGGTCCCTCCCACATACCTATTGCTGAGAAGCCTCCTCCTGAGGTGCTTCTGGAAAGTTGGCATACGTCTTGAGCCTAAGCCAGGGAATCAGCTCTCATCTCGAGATGATTTGGGGTACACGGAGCATTCCTCGAGTTGCTGGGCTGGGTTGGTGTTCCTCTAGACTTGGGATAGTGTTCTCTGGGCATCTCTGGAGTTGCCTGAAGGAAGTCGAGCCACCGGTCTTGTTGAATGGGGAAGGGGGAATGGCTCTGGGGTCAAGGCAGGGGAATCGGGCCTCATCTCGAGTTGATTTGGTGCACATGGAGCAGCTTTGCGTTGCTGGGGTGACCTCAGGGTCCGTCTAGACTGGTGACAGTGTTCTTGGGGACTGTCTCGAGATCCATTAAGCAAGTCGAAGCTCCTGACTTGTTTGAATGGGATCACGGAATAGCTCTGCATGCACTGCAGGGGAATGGGGCCTCATCTCGCCTCTAGGGGGAAGTCTCACGGTTTTTCTCGAGTTGCGGCGGGGACCTGGGGTATGTTCTCGACTTTCGGCGGGGATGGCCCTTCAAAACACGAGTTTCTCCAGTGACGTCAGGACTCCTGCCTAGTAACGAGGGACACCTCAGGAATCTCTTCGAGGCTTGGCCGGACAAAAGGGACGCTTCTCGAGGTGAGGCAGGGCACGCAAGGACCCTTTCCAGTAGCCACAGGGATTTTGGGATTCCTATCAGTATTCAAGAGGAGTCAGGCATCGTCACCTTTTGAAGCAATGAACTCCGCGTGCCTCTCGAGGTGTCAGCGGGATGTGAGGCATTCCGTGAAAATGAGGGAGGGACCTAGGGCTTTCTCTAAGGTCTCCACAGGGGATTCAGACATCCCTTCATGTTGTCAGATCAAAGACGAGCCTGTATTCAAGCCAGTGCAAGGAAATCTGGCCTCCTTTCAAGTTAGGGCTTCTCGCTGTATATTCCCCTTGAGGCAGCAAACTCGGGGTCCCTCCCACATACCTATTGCTGAGAGAAGCCTCCTCCTGAGGTGCTTCTGGAAAGTTGGCATACGTCTTGAGCCTAAGCCAGGGAATCAGCTCTCATCTCGAGATGATTTGGGGTACACGGAGCATTCCTCGAGTTGCTGTGCTGAAGTTCGTGTTCCTCTAGACTTGCGAAAGTGTTCTCTGGGCATCTCTGGAGTTGCCTGAAGGAAGTCGAGCCACCGGTCTTGTTGAATGGGGAACGGGGAATGGCTCTGGAGTCAATGCAGGGGAATCGGGCCTCATCTCGAGTAGATTTGGGGCACATGGAGCAGCTTTGCGTTGCTGGGGTGACCTCAGGGTCCGTCTAGACTGGTGACAGTGTTCTTGGGGACTGTCTCGAGATCCATTAAGCAAGTCGAAGCTCCTGACTTGTTTGAATGGGATCACGGAATAGCTCTGCATGCACTGCAGGGGAATGGGGCCTCATCTCGCCTCTAGGGGGAAGTCTCACGGTTTTTCTCGAGTTGCGGCGGGGACCTGGGGTATGTTCTCGACTTTCGGCGGGGATGGCCCTTCAAAACACGAGTTTCTCCAGTGACGTCAGGACTCCTGCCTAGTAACGAGGGACACCTCAGGAATCTCTTCGAGGCTTGGCCGGACAAAAGGGACGCTTCTCGAGGTGAGGCAGGGCACGCAAGGACCCTTTCCAGTAGCCACAGGGATTTTGGGATTCCTATCAGTATTCAAGAGGAGTCAGGCATCGTCACCTTTTGAAGCAATGAACTCCGCGTGCCTCTTGAGGTGTCAGCGGGATGTGAGGCATTCCGTGAAAATGAGGCAGGGACCTAGGGCTTTCTCTAAGGTCTCCACAGGGGATTCAGACATCCCTTCATGTTGTCAGATCAAAGACGAGCCTGTATTCAAGCCAGTGCAAGGAAATCTGGCCTCCTTTCAAGTTAGGGCTTCTCGCTGTATATTCCCCTTGAGGCAGCAAACTCGGGGTCCCTCCCACATACCTATTGCTGAGAGAAGCCTCCTCCTGAGGTGCTTCTGGAAAGTTGGCATACGTCTTGAGCCTAAGCCAGGGAATCAGCTCTCATCTCGAGATGATTTGGGGTACACGGAGCATTCCTCGAGTTGCTGTGCTGAAGTTCGTGTTCCTCTAGACTTGCGAAAGTGTTCTCTGGGCATCTCTGGAGTTGCCTGAAGGAAGTCGAGCCACCGGTCTTGTTGAATGGGGAACGGGGAATGGCTCTGGAGTCAATGCAGGGGAATCGGGCCTCATCTCGAGTTGATTTGGGGCACATGGAGCAGCTTTGCGTTGCTGGGGTGACCTCAGGGTCCGTCTAGACTGGTGACAGTGTTCTTGGGGACTGTCTCGAGATCCATTAAGCAAGTCGAAGCTCCTGACTTGTTTGAATGGGATCACGGAATAGCTCTGCATGCACTGCAGGGGAATGGGGCCTCATCTCGCCTCTAGGGGGAAGTCTCATGGTTTTTCTCCTGTTGCGGCGGGGACCTGGGGTATGTTCTCGACTTACGGCGGGGATGGCCCTTCAAAACACGAGTTTCTTCAGTGACGTCAGGACTCCTGCCTAGTAACGAGGGACACCTCTGGAATCTCTTCGAGGCTTGGCAGGGCAAAAGGGACGCTTCTCGAGGTGAGGCAGGGCACCCAAGGACCCTTTCCAGTAGCCACAGGAATTTTGGGATTCCTATCAGTATTCAAGAGGAGTCAGGCATCTTCACCTTTTGAAGCAATGAACTCCGCGTGCCTCTCGAGGTGTCAGTGGGATGTGAGGCATTCCGTCAAAATGAGGCAGGGACCTAGAGCTTTCTCTAAGGTCTCCACAGGGGATTCAGACATCCCTTCATGTTGTCAGATCAAAGACGAGCCTGTATTCAAGCCACTGCAAGGAAATCTGGCCTCCTTTCAAGTTAGGGCTTCTCGCTGTATATTCCCCTTGAGGCAGCAAACTCGGGGTCCCTCCCACATACCTATAGCTGTGAGAAGCCTCCTCCTGAGGTGCTTCTGGGAAGTTGGCATACGTCTTGAGCCTAAGCCAGGGAATCAGCTCTCATCTCGAGATGATTTGGGGTACACGGAGCATTCCTCGAGTTGCTGTGCTGAAGTTGGTGTTCCTCTAGACTTGGGAAAGTGTTCTCTGGGCATCTCTGGAGTTGCCTGAAGGAAGTCGAGCCACCGGTCTTGTTGAATGGGGAACGGGGAATGGCTCTGGAGTCAATGCAGGGGAATCGGGCCTCATCTCGAGTAGATTTGGGGCACATGGAGCAGCTTTGCGTTGCTGGGGTGACCTCAGGGTCCGTCTAGACTGGTGACAGTGTTCTTGGGGACTGTCTCGAGATCCATTAAGCAAGTCGAAGCTCCTGACTTGTTTGAATGGGATCACGGAATAGCTCTGCATGCACTGCAGGGGAATGGGGCCTCATCTCGCCTCTAGGGGGAAGTCTCATGGTTTTTCTCGAGTTGCGGCGGGGACCTGGGGTATGTTCTCGACTTACGGCGGGGATGGCCCTTCAAAACACGAGTTTCTCCAGTGACGTCAGGACTCCTGCCTAGTAACGAGGGACACCTCAGGAATCTCTTCGAGGCTTGGCAGGGCAAAAGGAACGCTTCTCGAGGTGCGGCAGGGCACCCAAGGACCCTTTCCAGTAGCCACAGGGATTTTGGGATTCCTATCAGTATTCAAGAGGAGTCAGGCATCGTCACCTTTTGAAGCAATAAACTCTGCGTGCCTCTCGAGGTGTCAGCGGGATGTGAGGCATTCCGTCAAAATGAGGCAGGGGCCTAGGGCTTCCTCTAAGGACTCCACAGGGGATTCAGACATCCCTTCATGTTGTCAGATCAAAGACGAGCCTGTATTCAAGCCACTGCAAGGAAATCTGGCCTCCTTTCAAGTTAGGGCTTCTCGCTGTATATGCCCCTTGAGGCAGCAAACTCGGAGTCCTGCCCACATACCTATTGCTGAGAAGCCTCCTCCTGAGGTGCTTCTGGAAAGTTGGCATACGTCTTGAGCCTAAGCCAGGGAATCAGCTCTCATCTCGAGACGATTTGGGGTACACAGAGCATTCCTCGAGTTGCTGTGCTGAAGTTGGTGTTCCTCTAGACTTGGGACAGTGTTCTCGGGGCATCTCTGGAGTTGCCTGAAGGAAGGCGAGCCACCGGTCGTGTTGAACGGCTAACGGGGAATGGCTCTGGAGTCAATGCAGATGAATCGGGCCTCATCTCGAGTTGATTTGGGGCACATGGAGCTGCTTTGCGTTGCTGGGGTGACCTCAGGGTCCGTCTAGACTGGTGACAGTGTTCTTGGGGACTGTCTCGAGATACATTAAGCAAGTCGAAGCTCCTGACTTGTTTGAATGGGATCACGGAATAGCTCTGCATGCACTGCAGGGGAATGGGGCCTCATCTTGCCTCTAGGGGGAAGTCTCACGGTTTTTCTCGAGTTGCGGCGGGGACCTGGGGTATGTTCTCGACTTACGGCGGGGATGGCCCTTCAAAACACGAGTTTCTCCAGTTACGTCAGGACTCCTGCCTAGTAACGAGGGACACCTCAGGAATCTCTTCGAGGCTTGGCAGGGCAAAAGGGACGCTTCTCGAGGTGAGGAAGGGCACCCAAGGACCCTTTTCAGTAGCCACAGGGATTTTGGGATTCCTATCAATATTCAAGAGGAGTCAGGCATCGTCACCTTTTGAAGCAATGAACTCCGCGTGCCTCTTGAGGTGTCAGCGGGATGTGAGGCATTCCGTGAAAATGAGGCAGGGACCTAGGGCTTTCTCTAAGGTCTCCACAGGGGATTCAGACATCCCTTCATGTTGTCAGATCAAAGACGAGCCTGTATTCAAGCCAGTGCAAGGAAATCTGGCCTCCTTTCAAGTTAGGGCTTCTCGCTGTATATTCCCCTTGAGGCAGCAAACTCGGGGTCCCTCCCACATACCTATTGCTGAGAGAAGCCTCCTCCTGAGGTGCTTCTGGAAAGTTGGCATACGTCTTGAGCCTAAGCCAGGGAATCAGCTCTCATCTCGAGATGATTTGGGGTACACGGAGCATTCCTCGAGTTGCTGTGCTGAAGTTCGTGTTCCTCTAGACTTGCGAAAGTGTTCTCTGGGCATCTCTGGAGTTGCCTGAAGGAAGTCGAGCCACCGGTCTTGTTGAATGGGGAACGGGGAATGGCTCTGGAGTCAATGCAGGGGAATCGGGCCTCATCTCGAGTTGATTTGGGGCACATGGAGCAGCTTTGCGTTGCTGGGGTGACCTCAGGGTCCGTCTAGACTGGTGACAGTGTTCTTGGGGACTGTCTCGAGATCCATTAAGCAAGTCGAAGCTCCTGACTTGTTTGAATGGGATCACGGAATAGCTCTGCATGCACTGCAGGGGAATGGGGCCTCATCTCGCCTCTAGGGGGAAGTCTCATGGTTTTTCTCCTGTTGCGGCGGGGACCTGGGGTATGTTCTCGACTTACGGCGGGGATGGCCCTTCAAAACACGAGTTTCTTCAGTGACGTCAGGACTCCTGCCTAGTAACGAGGGACACCTCTGGAATCTCTTCGAGGCTTGGCAGGGCAAAAGGGACGCTTCTCGAGGTGAGGCAGGGCACCCAAGGACCCTTTCCAGTAGCCACAGGAATTTTGGGATTCCTATCAGTATTCAAGAGGAGTCAGGCATCTTCACCTTTTGAAGCAATGAACTCCGCGTGCCTCTCGAGGTGTCAGTGGGATGTGAGGCATTCCGTCAAAATGAGGCAGGGACCTAGAGCTTTCTCTAAGGTCTCCACAGGGGATTCAGACATCCCTTCATGTTGTCAGATCAAAGACGAGCCTGTATTCAAGCCACTGCAAGGAAATCTGGCCTCCTTTCAAGTTAGGGCTTCTCGCTGTATATTCCCCTTGAGGCAGCAAACTCGGGGTCCCTCCCACATACCTATAGCTGTGAGAAGCCTCCTCCTGAGGTGCTTCTGGGAAGTTGGCATACGTCTTGAGCCTAAGCCAGGGAATCAGCTCTCATCTCGAGATGATTTGGGGTACACGGAGCATTCCTCGAGTTGCTGTGCTGAAGTTGGTGTTCCTCTAGACTTGGGAAAGTGTTCTCTGGGCATCTCTGGAGTTGCCTGAAGGAAGTCGAGCCACCGGTCTTGTTGAATGGGGAACGGGGAATGGCTCTGGAGTCAATGCAGGGGAATCGGGCCTCATCTCGAGTAGATTTGGGGCACATGGAGCAGCTTTGCGTTGCTGGGGTGACCTCAGGGTCCGTCTAGACTGGTGACAGTGTTCTTGGGGACTGTCTCGAGATCCATTAAGCAAGTCGAAGCTCCTGACTTGTTTGAATGGGATCACGGAATAGCTCTGCATGCACTGCAGGGGAATGGGGCCTCATCTCGCCTCTAGGGGGAAGTCTCATGGTTTTTCTCGAGTTGCGGCGGGGACCTGGGGTATGTTCTCGACTTACGGCGGGGATGGCCCTTCAAAACACGAGTTTCTCCAGTGACGTCAGGACTCCTGCCTAGTAACGAGGGACACCTCAGGAATCTCTTCGAGGCTTGGCAGGGCAAAAGGAACGCTTCTCGAGGTGCGGCAGGGCACCCAAGGACCCTTTCCAGTAGCCACAGGGATTTTGGGATTCCTATCAGTATTCAAGAGGAGTCAGGCATCGTCACCTTTTGAAGCAATAAACTCTGCGTGCCTCTCGAGGTGTCAGCGGGATGTGAGGCATTCCGTCAAAATGAGGCAGGGGCCTAGGGCTTCCTCTAAGGACTCCACAGGGGATTCAGACATCCCTTCATGTTGTCAGATCAAAGACGAGCCTGTATTCAAGCCACTGCAAGGAAATCTGGCCTCCTTTCAAGTTAGGGCTTCTCGCTGTATATGCCCCTTGAGGCAGCAAACTCGGAGTCCTGCCCACATACCTATTGCTGAGAAGCCTCCTCCTGAGGTGCTTCTGGAAAGTTGGCATACGTCTTGAGCCTAAGCCAGGGAATCAGCTCTCATCTCGAGACGATTTGGGGTACACAGAGCATTCCTCGAGTTGCTGTGCTGAAGTTGGTGTTCCTCTAGACTTGGGACAGGGTTCTCGGGGCATCTCTGGAGTTGCCTGAAGGAAGGCGAGCCACCGGTCGTGTTGAACGGCTAACGGGGAATGGCTCTGGAGTCAATGCAGATGAATCGGGCCTCATCTCGAGTTGATTTGGGGCACATGGAGCTGCTTTGCGTTGCTGGGGTGACCTCAGGGTCCGTCTAGACTGGTGACAGTGTTCTTGGGGACTGTCTCGAGATACATTAAGCAAGTCGAAGCTCCTGACTTGTTTGAATGGGATCACGGAATAGCTCTGCATGCACTGCAGGGGAATGGGGCCTCATCTTGCCTCTAGGGGGAAGTCTCACGGTTTTTCTCGAGTTGCGGCGGGGACCTGGGGTATGTTCTCGACTTACGGCGGGGATGGCCCTTCAAAACACGAGTTTCTCCAGTTACGTCAGGACTCCTGCCTAGTAACGAGGGACACCTCAGGAATCTCTTCGAGGCTTGGCAGGGCAAAAGGGACGCTTCTCGAGGTGAGGAAGGGCACCCAAGGACCCTTTTCAGTAGCCACAGGGATTTTGGGATTCCTATCAATATTCAAGAGGAGTCAGGCATCGTCACCTTTTGAAGCAATGAACTCCGCGTGCCTCTCGAGGTGTCAGCGGGATGTGAGGCATTCCGTCAAAATGAGGCAGGGAGCTAGGGCTTTCTCTAAGGTCTCCACATGGGATTCAGACATCCCTTCATGCTGTCAGATCAAAGACGAGCCTGTATTCAAGCCACTGCAAGGAAATCCGGCCTCCTTTCAAGTTAGGGCTTCTCGCTGTATATTCCCCTTGAGGCAGCAAACTCGGGGTCCCTCCCACATACCTATTGCTGAGAGAAGCCTCGTCCTGAGGTGCTTCTGGAAAGTTGGCATACGTCTTGAGCCTAAGCCAGGGAATCAGCTCTCATCGCGAGATGATTTGGGGTACACGGAGCATTCCTCGAGTTGCTGTGCTGAAGTTGGTGTTCCTCTAGACTTGGGAAAGTGTTCTCTGGGCATCTCTGGAGTTGCCTGAAGGAAGTCGAGCCACCGGTCGTGTTGAATGCGGAACGGGGAATGGCTCTGGAGTCAATGCAGGGGAATCGGGCCTCATCTCGAGTTGATTTGGGGCACATGGAGCAGCTTTGGGTTGCTGGGGTGACCTCAGGGTCCGTCTAGACTGGTGACAGTGTTCTTGGGGACTGTCTCGAGATCCATTAAGCAAGTCGAAGCTCCTGACTTGTTTGAATGGGATCACGGAATAGCTCTGCATGCACTGGAGGGGAATGGGGCCTCATCTCGCCTCTAGGGGGAAGTCTCATGGTTTTTCTCGAGTTGCGGCAGGGACCTGGGGTATGTTCTCGACTTACGGCGGGGATGGCCTTTCAAAACACGAGTTTCTTCAGTGACGTCAGGACTCCTGCCTAGTAATTAGGGACACCTCAGGAATCTCTTCGAGGCTTGGCAGAGCAAAAGGGACTCTTCTCGAGGTGAGCCAGGGCACCCAAGACTCTTTCCAGTAGAAACAGGGATTTTGGGATTCCTATAAGTATTCGAGAGGAGTCAGGCATCGTCACCTTTTGAAGCAATGAACTCTGCGTGCCTCTCGAGGTGTCAGGGGGATGTGAGGTATTCCGTCAAAATGAGGCAGGGACCTAGGACTTCCTCTAAGGTCTCCACAGGGGATTCAGACATCCCTTCATGTTTTCAGATCAAAGACGAGCCTTTATTCAACCCACTGCAAGGAAATCTGGCCTCAGTCACATTAGGGCTTCTCCCTGTGTATTCCCCTTGAGGCAGCAAATTCGGGGTCCCTCCCACATACCTATTGCTGAGAGAAGCCTCCTCCTGATATGCTTCTGGAAAGTTGGCATACGTCTTGAGCCTAAGCCAGGGAAACAGCTCTCATCTCGAGATGATTTGGGGTACACGGAGCATTCCTCGATTTGCTGTGCTGAAGTTGGTGTTCCTCTAGCCTTGGGACAGTGTTCTCGGGGAATCTCTGGAGTTGCCTGAAGGAAGTCGAGCCACCGGTCGTGTTGAATGGGGAACGGGGAATGGCTCTGGAGTCAATGCATGGGAATCGGGCCTCATCTCGAGTTGATTTGGGGCACATGGAGCAGCTTTGCGTTGCTGGGGTGACCTCAGGGTCCGTCTAGACTGGTGACAGTGTTCTTGGGGACTGTCTCGAGATCCATTAAGCAAGTCGAAGCTCCTGACTTGTTTGAATGGGATCACGGAATAGCTCTGCATGCACTGCAGGGGAATGGGGCCTCATCTCGCCTCTAGGGGGAAGTCTCATGGTTTTTCTCGTGTTGCGGCGGGGACCTGGGTTATGTTCTCGACTTACGGCGGGGATGGCCCTTCAAAACACGAGTTTCTCCAGTGACGTCAGGACTCCTGCCTAGTAACGAGGGACACCTCAGGAATCTCTTCGAGGCTTGGCAGGGCAAAAGGGACGTTTCTCGAGGTGAGGCAGGGCACCCAAGGACCCTTTCCAGTAGCCACAGGGATTTTGGGATTCCTATCAGTATTCAAGAGGAGTCAGGCATCGTCACCTTTTGAAGCAATGAACTCCGCGTGCCTCTCGAGGTGTCAGCGGGATGTGAGGCATTCCGTCAAAATGAGGCAGGGACCTAGGGCTTTCTCTAAGGTCTCCACAGGGGATTCAGACATCCCTTCATGTTGTGAGATGAAAGACAAGCCTGTATTCAAGCTACTGCAAGGAAATCCGGCCTCCTTTCAAGTTAGGGCTTCTCGATGTATATTCCCCTTGAGGCAGCAAACTCGGAGTCCCTCCCACATACCTATTGCTGTGAAGCCTCCTCCTGAGGTGCTTCTGGAAAGTTGGCATACGTCTTGAGCCTAAGCAAGGGAATCAGCTCTCATCTCGAGACGATTTGGGGTACACAGAGCATTCCTCGAGTTGCTGTGCTGAAGTTGGTGTTCCTCTAGACTTGGGAAAGTGTTCTCTGGGAATCTCTGGAGTTGCCTGAAGGAAGTCGAGCCACCGGTCTTGTTGAATGGGGAACGGGGAATGGCTCTGGAGTCAATGCAGGGGAATCGGGCCTCATCTCGTGTTGATTTGGGGCACATGGAGCAGCTTTGCGTTGCTGGGGTGACCTCAGGGTCCGTCTAGACTGGTGACAGTGTTCTTGGGGACTGTCTCGAGATCCATTAAGCAAGTCGAAACTCCTGACTTGTTTGAATGGGATCACGGAATAGCTCTGCATGCACTGCAGGGGAATGGGGCCTCATCTCGCCTCTAGGGGGGAGTCTCATGGTTTTTCTCGAATTGCGGCGGGGACCTGGGGTATGTTCTCGACTTACGGCGGGGATGGCCCTTCAAAACACGAGTTTCTTCAGTGACGTCAGGACTCCTGCCTAGTAATGAGGGACACCTCAGGAATCTCTTCGAGGCTTGGCAGGGCAAAAGGGACGCTTCTCGAGGTGAGGGAGGGCACCCAAGGACCCTTTCCAGTAGCCACAGGGATTTTGGGATTCCTATCAGTATTCAAGAGGAGTCAGGCATCGTCACCTTTTGAAGCAATGAACTCCGCGTGCCTCTCGAGGTGTCAGCGGGATGTGAGGCATTCCGTCAAAATGAGGCAGGGACCTAGGGCTTTCTCTAAGGTCTCCACAGGGGATTCAGACATCCCTTCAAGTTGTGAGATGAAAGACAAGCCTGTATTCAATCTATTGCATGGAAATCCGGCCTCCTTTCAAGTTTGGGCTTCTCGCTGTATATTCCCCTTGAGGCAGCACACTCGGAGTCCCTCCCACATACCTATTGCTGAGAAGCCTCCTCCTGAGGTGCTTCTGGAAAGTTGGCATACGTCTTGAGCCTAAGCCAGGGAATCAGCTCTCATCTCGAGATGATTTGGGGTACACGGAGCATTCCTCGAGTTGCTGTGCTGAAGTTGGTGTTCCTCTAGACTTGGAAAAGTGTTCTCTGGGCATCTCTGGAGTTGCCTGAAGGAAGTCGAGCCACAGGTCTTGTTGAATGGGGAACGGGGAATGGCTCTGGAGTCAATGCAGGGGAATCGGGCCTCATCTCGAGTTGATTTGGGGCACATGGAGCAGCTTTGCGTTGCTGGGGTGACCTCAGGGTCCGTCTAGACTCGTGACAGTGTTCTTGGGGACTGTCTCGAGATCCATTAAGCAAGTCGAAGCTCCTGACTTGTTTGAATGGGATCACGGAATAGCTCTGCATGCACTGCAGGGGAATGGGGCCTCATCTCGCCTCTAGGGGGGAGTCTCATGGTTTTTCTCGAGTTGCGGCGGGGACCTGGGGTATGTTCTCGACTTACGGCCGGGATGGCCCTTCAAAACTCGAGTTTCTTCAGTGACGTCAGGACTCCTGCCTAGTAACGAGGGACACCTCAGGAATCTCTTCGAGGCTTGGCAGGGCAAAAGGGACGCTTCTCGAGGTGAGGCAGGGCACCCAAGGACCCTTTCCAGTAGCCACAGGGAATTTGGGATTCCTATCAGTATTCAAGAGGAGTCAGGCATCGTCACCTTTTGAAGCAATGAACTCCGCGTGCCTCTCGAGGTGTCAGCGGGATGTGAGGCTATCCGTCAAAATGAGGCAGGGACCTAGGGCTTTCTCTAAGGCCTCCACAGGGGATTCAGACATCCCTTCAAGTTGTGAGATGAAAGACAAGCCTGTATTCAATCTATTGCTTGGAAATCCGGACTCCATTCAAGTTAGGGCTTCTCGCTGTATGTTCCCCTTGAGGCAGCATACTCGGAGTCCCTCCCACATACCTACTGCTGAGAAGCCTCCTCCTGAGGTGCTTCTGGAAAGTTGGCATACGTCTTGAGCCTAAGCCAGGGAATCAGCTCTCATCTCGAGATGATTTGGGGTACACGGAGCATTCCTCCAGTTGCTGTGCTGAAGTTGGTGTTCCTCTAGACTTGGGACAGTGTTCTCGGGGCATCTCTGGAGTTGCCTGAAGGAAGGCGAGCCACCGGTCGTGTTGAACGGGGAACGGGGAATGGCTCTGGAGTCAATGCAGGGGAATCGGGCCTCATCTCGTGTTGATTTGGGGCACATGGAGCTGCTTTGCTTTGATGGGGTGACCTCAGGGTCCGTCTAGACTGGTGACAGTGTTCTTGGGGACTGTCTCGAGATTCATTAAGCAAGTCGAAGCTCCTGACTTGTTTGAATGGGATCACAGAATAGCTCTGCATGCACTGCAGGGGAATGGGGCCTCATCTCGCCTCTAGGGGGAAGTCTCATGGTTTTTCTCGAGTTGCGGCGGGGACCTGGGGTATGTTCTCGACTTACGGCGGGGATGGCCCTTCAAAACACGAGTTTCTTCAGTGACGTCAGGACTCCTGTCTAGTAATGAGGGACACCTCAGCAATCTCTTCGAGGCTTGGCAGGGCAAAAGGGACGCTTCTCGAGGTGAGCCAGGGCACCCAAGGACCCTTTCCAGTAGCCACAGGGATTTTGGGATTCCTATAAGCATTCAAGAGGAGTCAGGCATCGTCACCTTTTGAAGCAATGAACTCCGCGTGCCTCTCGAGATGTCAGCGGGATGTGAGGCATTCCGTCAAAATGATGCAGGGATCTAGGGCTTTCTCTAAGGTCTCCACAGGGGATTCAGACATCCCTTCATGTTGTGAGATGAAAGACAATCCTGTATTCAAGCTACTGCAAGGAAATCTGGCCTCCTTTCAAGTTAGGGCTTCTCGATGTATATTCCTCTTGAGGCAGCAAACTCGGAGTAACTCCCACATACCTATTGCTGAGAAGCCTCCTCCTGAGGTGCTTCTGGAAAGTTGGCTTACGTCTTGAGCCTAAGCCAGGGAATCAGCTCTCATCTCGAGACGATTTGCGGTACACGGAGCATTCCTCGAGTTGCTTTGCTGAAGTTGGTGTTCCTCTAGACTTGGGACAGTGTTCTCGGGGCATCTCTGGAGTTGCCTGAAGGAAGTCGAGCCACCGGTCGTGTTGAATGGGGAACAGGAATGGCTCTGGAGTCAATGCAGGGGAATCCGGCCTCATCTCGAGTTGATTTGGGGCACATGGAGCTGCTTTGCATTGCTGGGTGACCTCAGGGTCCGTCTAGACTGGTGACAGTGTTCTTGGGGACTGTCTCGAGATCCATTAAGCAAGTCGAAGCTCCTGACTTGTTTGAATGGGATCACGGAATAGCTCTGCATGTACTGCAGGGGAATGGGGCCTCATCTCGCCTCTAAGGGGAAGTCTCACGGTTTTTCTCGAGTTGCGGCGGGGACCTGGGGTATGTTCTCGACTTACGGCGGGGATGGCCCTTCAAAACACGAGTTTCTCCAGTGACATCAGGACTCCTGCCTAGTAACGAGGGACACCTCAGGAATCTCTTCGAGGCTTGGCAGGGCAAAAGGGACGCTTCTCGAGGTGAGTCAGGGCACCCAAGGACCCTTTTCAGTAGCCACAGGGATTTTGGGATTCCTATCAGTATTCAAGAGGAGTCACGCATCGTCACCTTTTGAAGCAATGAACTCCGCGTGCCTCTCGAGGTGTCAGCGGGATGTGAGGCATTCCGTGAAAATGAGGCAGGGACCTAGGGCTTTCTGTAAGGTCTCCACAGGGGATTCAGACATCCCTTCATGTTGTGAGATGAAAGACGAGCCTGTATTCAAGCCACTGCAAGGAAATCCGGCCTCCTTTCAAGTTAGGGCTTCTCGCTGTATATTCCCCTTGAGGCAGCAAACTCGGGGTCCCTCCCACATACCTATTGCTGAGAGAAGCCTCCTCCTGAGGTGCTTCTGGGAAGTTGGCATACGTCTTGAGCCTAAGCTAGGGAATCAGCTCGCATCTCGAGACGATTTGGGGTACACGGAGCATTCCTCGAGTTGCTGTGCTGAAGTTGGTGGTCCTCAAGACTTGGGACAGTGTTCCATGGGCATCTCTGGAGTTGCCTGAAAGAAGTCGAGCCACCGGTCGTGTTGAATGGGGAACAGGGAATGGCTCTGGAGTCAATGCAGGGAAATCCGGCCTCATCTCGAGTTGATTTGGGGCACATGGAGCTGCTTTGCATTGCTGGGTGACCTCAGGGTCCGTCTAGACTGGTGACAGTGTTCTTGGGGACTGTCTCGAGATCCATTAGGCAGGTCGAAGCCCCTGACTTGTTTGAATGGGATCACGGAATAGCTCTGCATGCACTGCAGGGGAATGGGGCCTCATCTCGCCTCTAGGGGGAAGTCTCATGGTTTTTCTCGAGTTGCGGCGGGGACCTGGGGTATGTTCTCGACTTACGGCGGGGATGGCCCTTCAAAACACGAGTTTCTTCAGTGACGTCAGGACTCCTGTCTAGTAACGAGGGACACCTCAGGAATCTCTTCGAGGCTTGGCAGGGCAAAAGGGACGCTTCTCGAGGTGAGGCAGGGCACCCAAGGACCCTTTCCAGTAGCCACAGGGATTTTGGGATTCCTATCAGTATTCAAGAGGAGTCAGGCATCGTCACCTTTTGAAGCAATGAACTCCGCGTGCCTCTCGAGGTGTCAGCGGGATGTGAGGCATTCCGTCAAAATGAGGCAGGGACCTAGGGCTTTCTCTAAGGTCTCCACAGGGGATTCAGACATCCCTTCATGTTGTGAGATGAAAGACGAGCCTGTATTCAAGCCACTGCAAGGAAATCCGGCCTCCTTTCAAGTTAGGGCTTCTCGCTGTATATTCCCCTTGAGGCAGCAAACTCGGGGTCCCTCCCACATACCTATTGCTGAGAGAAGCCTCCTCCTGAGGTGCTTCTGGGAAGTTGGCATACGTCTTGAGCCTAAGCCAGGGAATCAGCTCGCATCTCGAGACGATTTGGGGTACACGGAGCATTCCTCGAGTTGCTGTGCTGAAGTTGGTGTTCCTCTAGACTTGGGACAGTGTTCTCGGGGCATCTCTGGAGTTGCCTGAAGGAAGTCGAGCCACCGGTCGTGTTGAATGGGGAACGGGGAATGGCTCTGGAGTCAATGCAGGGGAATCGGGCCTCATCTCGAGTTGATTTGGGGCACATGGAGCTGCTTTGCGTTGCTGGGGTGACCTCAGGGTCCGTCTAGACTGGTGACAGTGTTCTTGGGGACTGTCTCGAGATCCATTAAGCAAGTCGAAGCTCCTGACTTGTTTGAATGGGATCACGGAATAGCTCTGCATGCACTGCAGGGGAATGGGGCCTCATCTCGCCTCTAGGGGGAAGTCTCATGGTTTTTCTCGAGTTGCGGCGGGGACCTGGGGTATGTTCTCGACTTACGGCGGGGATGGCCCTTCAAAACACGAGTTTCTTCAGTGACGTCAGGACTCCTGTCTAGTAACGAGGGACACCTCAGGAATCTCTTCGAGGCTTGGCAGGGCAAAAGGGATGCTTCTCGAGGTGAGGCAGGGCACCCAAGGACCCTTTCCAGTAGCCACAGGGATTTTGGGATTCCTATCAGTATTCAAGAGGAGTCAGGCATCGTCACCTTTTGAAGCAATGAACTCCGCGTGCCTCTCGAGGTGTCAGCGGGATGTGAGGCATTCCGTCAAAATGAGGCAGGGACCTAGGGCTTTCTCTAAGGTCTCCACAGGGGATTCAGACATCCCTTCATGTTGTGAGATGAAAGACGAGCCTGTATTCAAGCCACTGCAAGGAAATCCGGCCTCCTTTCAAGTTAGGGCTTCTCGCTGTATATTCCCCTTGAGGCAGCAAACTCGGGGTCCCTCCCACATACCTATTGCTCAGAGAAGCCTCCTCCTGAGGTGCTTCTGGGAAGTTGGCATACGTCTTGAGCCTAAGCCAGGGAATCAGCTCGCATCTCGAGACGATTTGGGGTACACGGAGCATTCCTCGAGTTGCTGTGCTGAAGTTGGTGTTCCTCTACACTTGGGACAGTGTTCTCGGGGCATCTCTGGAGTTGCCTGAAGGAAGTCGAGCCACCGGTCGTGTTGAACGGGGACAGGGGAATGGCTCTGGAGTCAATGCAGGGGAATCGGGCCTCATCTCGAGTTGATTTGGGGCACATGGAGCTGCTTTGCGTTGCTGGGGTGACCTCAGGGTCCGTCTAGACTGGTGACAGTGTTCTTGGGGACTGTCTCGAGATCCATTAAGCAAGTCGAAGCTCCTGACTTGTTTGAATGGGATCACGGAATAGCTCTGCATGCACTGCAGGGGAATGGGGCCTCATCTCGCCTCTAGGTTGAAGTCTCAAGGTTTTTCTCGAGTTGCGGCGGGGACCAGGGGTATGTTCTCGACTTACGGCGGGGATGGCCCTTCAAAACACGAGTTTCTTCAGTGACGTCAGGACTCCTGTCTAGTAACGAGGGACACCTCAGGAATCTCTTCGAGGCTTGGCAGGGCAAAAAGGACGCTTCTCGAGGTGAGGCAGGGCACCCAAGGACCCTTTCCAGTAGCCACAGGGATTTTGGGATTCCTATCAGTATTCAAGAGGAGTCAGGCATTGTCACCTTTTGAAGCAATGAACTCCGCGTGCCTCTCGAGGTGTCTCCGCGATGAGAGGCATTCCGTCAAAATGAGGCACGGCCTAGGGCTTTCTCTAAAGTCTCCACAGGGGTTTCAGACATCCCTTCATGTTGTGAGATGAAAGACGAGCCTGGATTCAAGCCACTGCAAGGAAATCCGGCCTCCTTTCAAGTTAGGGCTTCTCACTGTATATTCCCCTTGAGGCAGCAAACTCGGGGTCCCTCCCACATACCTATTGCTGAGAGAAGCCTCCTCCTGAGGTGCTTCTGGGAAGTTGGCATACGTCTTGAGCCTAAGCCAGGGAATCAGCTCTCATCTCGAAATGATTTGGGGTACACAGAGCATTCCTCGAATTGCTGTGCTGAAGTTGGTGTTCCTCTAGACTTGGGACAGTGTTCTCGGGGCATCTCTGGAGTTGCCTGAAGGAAGTCGAGACACCGGTCGTGTTGAATGGGGAACGGGGAATGGCTCTGGAGTCAATGCAGGGGAATCGGGCCTCATCTCGAGTTGATTTGGGGCACATGGAGCTGCTTTGCGTTGCTGGGGTGAGCTCAGGGTCCGTCTAGACTGGTGACAGTGTTCTTGGGGACTGTCTCGAGATCCATTAAGCAAGTCGAAGCTCCTGACTTGTTTGAATGGGATCACGGAATAGCTCTGCATGCACTGCAGGGGAATGGGGCCTCATCTCGCCTCTAGGGGGAAGTCTCACGGTTTTTCTCGAGTTGCGGCGATGACCTGGGGTATGTTCTCGACTTACGGCGGGGATGGCCCTTCAAAACACGAGATTCTTCAGTGACGTCAGGACTCCTGCCTAGTAACGAGGGACACCTCAGGAATCTCTTCGAGGCTTGGCAGGGCAAAAGGGACGCTTCTCGAGGTGAGCCAGGGCACCCAAGGACCCTTTCCAGTAGCCATAGGGATTTTGGGATTCCTATCAGTATTCCAGAGGAGTCAGGCACCGTCACCTTTTGAAGCAATGAACTGTGCGTGCCTCTCTAGGTGTCAGCGGGATGTGAGGCATTCCGTCAAAATGAGGCAGGGACCTAGGGCTTTCTCTAAGGTCTCCACAGGGGATTCAGACACCCCTTCATGTTGTGAGATGAAAGACGAGCCTGTATTCAAGCCACTGCAAGGAAATCCGGCCTCCTTTCAAGTTAGGGCTTCTCGCTGTATATTCCCCTTGAGGCAGCAAACTCGGGGTCCCTCCCACATACCTATTGCTGAGAGAAGCCTCCTCCTGAGGTGCTTCTGGAAAGTTGGCATACGTCTTGAGCCTAAGCCAGGGAATCAGCTCTCATCTCGAAATGATTTGGGGTACACAGAGCATTCCTCGAATTGCTGTGCTGAAGTTGGTGTTCCTCTAGACTTGGGACAGTGTTCTCGGGGCATCTCTGGAGTTGCCTGAAGGAAGTCGAGACACCGGTCGTGTTGAATGGGGAACGGGGAATGGCTCTGGAGTCAATGCAGGGGAATCGGGCCTCATCTCGAGTTGATTTGGGGCACATGGAGCTGCTTTGCGTTGCTGGGGTGACTTCAGGGTCCGTCTGGACTGGTGACAGTGTTCTTGGGGGCTGTCTCGAGATCCATTAAGCAAGTCGAAGCTCCTGACTTGTTTGAAGGGGATCACGGAATAGCTCTGCATGCACTGCAGGGGAATGGGGCCTCATCTCGCCTCTAGGGGGAAGTCTCATGGTTTTCCTCGAGTTGCGGCGGGGACCTGGGGTATGTTCTCAACTTACGGCGGGGATGGCCCTTCAAAACACGAGTTTCTTCAGTGACGTCAGGACTCCTGTCTAGTAACGAGGGACACCTCAGGAATCTCTTCGAGGCTTGGCAGGGCAAAAGGGACGCTTCTCGAGGTGAGGCAGGGCACCCAAGGACCCTTTCCAGTAGCCACAGGGATTTTCGGATTCCTATCAGTATTCAAGAGGAGTCAGGCATCGTCACCTTTTGAAGCAATGAACTCCGCGTGCCTCTCGAGGTGTCAGTGGGATGTGAGGCATTCCGTCAAAATGAGGCAGGGACCTAGGGCTTTCTCTAAGGTCTCCATAGGGGATTCAGACATCCCTTCATGTTGTGGGATGAAAGACGAGCCTGTATTCAAGCCACTGCAAGGAAATCCGGCCTCCTTTCAAGTTAGGGCTTCTCGCTGTATATTCCCCTTGAGGCAGCAAACTCAGGGTCCCTCCCACATACCTATTGCTGAGAGAAGCCTCCTCCTGAGGTGCTTCTGGGAAGTTGGCATACGTCTTGAGCCTAAGCCAGGGAATCAGCTCGCATCTCGAGACGATTTGGGGTACACGGAGCATTCCTCGAGTTGCTGTGCTGAAGTTGGTGTTCCTCTAGACTTGGGACAGTGTTCTCGGGGCATCTCTGGAGTTGCCTGAAGGAAGTCGAGCCACCGGTCTTGTTGAACGGGGAACGGGGAATGGCTCTGGAGTCAATGCAGGGGAATCGGGCCTCATCTCGAGTTGATTTGGGGCACATGGAGCTGCTTTGCGTTGCTGGGGTGACCTCAGGGTCCGTCTAGACTGGTGACAGTGTTCTTGGGGACTGTCTCGAGATCCATTAAGCAAGTCGAAGCTCCTGACTTGTTTGAATGGGATCAATGAATAGCTCTGCATGCACTGCAGGGGAATGGGGCCTCATCTCGCCTCTAGGGGGAAGTCTCACGGTTTTTCTCGAGTTGCGGCGGGGACCTGGGGTATGTTCTCGACTTACGGCGGGGATGGCCCTTCAAAACACGAGTTTCTCCAGTGACGTCAGGACTCCTGCCTAGTAACGAGGGACACCTCAGGAATCTCTTCGAGGCTTGGCAGGGCAAAAGGGACGCTTCTCGAGGTGAGTCAGGGCACCCAAGGACCCTTTTCAGTAGCCACAGGGATTTTGGGATTCCTATCAGTATTCAAGAGGAGTCACGCATCGTCACCTTTTGAAGCAATGAACTCCGCGTGCCTCTCGAGGTGTCAGCGGGATGTGAGGCATTCCGTCAAAATGAGGCAGGGACCTAGGGCTTTCTCTAAGGTCTCCACAGGGGATTCAGACATCCCTTCATGTTGTGAGATGAAAGACAAGCCTGTATTCAAGCTACTGCAAGGAAATCCGGCCTCCTTTCAAGTTAGGGCTTCTCGATGTATATTCCCCTTGAGGCAGCAAACTCGGAGTCCCTCCCACATACCTATTGCTGTGAAGCCTCCTCCTGAGGTGCTTCTGGAAAGTTGGCATACGTCTTGAGCCTAAGCCAGGGAATCAGCTCTCATCTCGAGACGATTTGGGGTACACAGAGCATTCCTCGAGTTGCTGTGCTGAAGTTGGTGTTCCTCTAGACTTGGGAAAGTGTTCTCTGGGAATCTCTGGAGTTGCCTGAAGGAAGTCGAGCCACCGGTCTTGTTGAATGGGGAACGGGGAATGGCTCTGGAGTCAATGCAGGGGAATCGGGCCTCATCTCGAGTTGATTTGGGGCACATGGAGCAGCTTTGCGTTGCTGGGGTGACCTCAGGGTCCGTCTAGACTGGTGACAGTGTTCTTGGGGACTGTGTCGAGATCCATTAAGCAAGTCGAAGCTCCTGACTTGTTTGAATGGGATCACGGAATAGCTCTGCATGCACTGCAGGGGAATGGGGCCTCATCTCGCCTCTAGGGGGGAGTCTCATGGTTTTTCTCGAGTTGCGGCGGGGACCTGGGGTATGTTCTCGACTTACGGCGGGGATGGCCCTTCAAAACACGAGTTTCTTCAGTGACGTCAGGACTCCTGCCTAGTAATGAGGGACACCTCAGGAATCTCTTCGAGGCTTGGCAGGGCAAAAGGGACGCTTCTCGAGGTGAGGGAGGGCACCCAAGGACCCTTTCCAGTAGCCACAGGGATTTTGGGATTCCTATCAGTATACAAGAGGAGTCAGGCATCGTCACCTTTTGAAGCAATGAACTCCGCGTGCCTCTCGAGGTGTCAGCGGGATGTGAGGCATTCCGTCAAAATGAGGCAGGGACCTAGGGCTTTCTCTAAGGTCTCCACAGGGGATTCAGACATCCCTTCAAGTTGTGAGATGAAAGACAAGCCTGTATTCAATCTATTGCATGGAAATCCGGCCTCCTTTCAAGTTAGGGCTTCTCGCTGTATATTCCCCTTGAGGCAGCAAACTCGGAGTCCCTCCCACATACCTATTGCTGAGAAGCCTCCTCCTGAGTTGCTTCTGGAAAGTTGGCATACGTCTTGAGCCTAAGCCAGGGAATCAGCTCTCATCTCGAGACAATTTGGGGTACACGGAGCATTCCTCGAGTTGCTGTGCTGAAGTTGGTGTTCCTCTAGACTTGGGAAAGTGTTCTCTGGGCATCTCTGGAGTTGCCTGAAGGAAGTCGAGCCACCGGTCTTGTTGAATGGGGAACGGGGAATGGCTCTGGAGTCAATGCAGGGGAATCGGGCCTCATCTCGAGTTGATTTGGAGCACATGGAGCAGCTTTGCGTTGCTGGGGTGACCTCAGGGTCCGTCTAGACTCGTGACAGTGTTCTTGGGGACTGTCTCGAGATCCATTAAGCAAGTCGAAGCTCCTGACTTGTTTGAATGGGATCACGGAATAGCTCTGCATGCACTGCAGGGGAATGGGGCCTCATCTCGCCTCTAGGGGGAAGTCTCATGGTTTTTCTCGAGTTGCGGCGGGGACCTGGGGTATGTTCTCGACTTACGGCGGGGATGGCCGTTCAAAACACGAGTTTCTTCAGTGACGTCAGGACTCCTGTCTAGTAATGAGGGACACCTCAGCAATCTCTTCGAGGCTTGGCAGGGCAAAAGGGACGCCTCTCGAGGTGAGCCAGGGCACCCAAGGACCCTTTCCAGTAGCCACAGTTACTTTGGGATTCCTATACGTATTCAAGAGGAGTCAGGCATCGTCACCTTTTCAAGCAATGAACTCTGCGTGCCTCTCGAGGTGTCAGGGGGATGTGAGGTATTCCGTCACAATGAGGCAGGGACCTAGGGCTTCCTCTAAGGACTCCACAGGGGATTCAGACATCCCTTCATGTTGTCAGATCAAAGACGAGCCTGTATTCAAGCCACTGCAAGGAAATCTGGCCTCCTTTCAAGTTAGGGCTTCTCGCTGTATATGCCCCTTGAGGCAGCAAACTCGGAGTCCTGCCCACATACCTATTGCAGAGAAGCCTCCTCCTGAGGTGCTTCTGGAAAGTTGGCATACGTCTTGAGCCTAAGCCAGGGAATCAGCTCTCATCTCGAGACGATTTGGGGTACACAGAGCATTCCTCGAGTTGCTGTGCTGAAGTTGGTGTTCCTCTAGACTTGGGACAGTGTTCTCGGGGCATCTCTGGAGTTGCCTGAAGGAAGGCGAGCCACCGGTCGTGTTGAACGGCTAACGGGGAATGGCTCTGGAGTCAATGCAGGGGAATCTGGCCTCATCTCGAGTTGATTTGGGGCACATGGAGCTGCTTTGCGTTGCTGGGGTGACCTCAGGGTCCGTCTAGACTGGTGACAGTGTTCTTGGGGACTGTCTCGAGATCCATTAAGCAAGTCGAAGCTCCTGACTTGTTTGAATGGGATCACGGAATAGCTCTGCATGCACTGCAGGGGAATGGGGCCTCATCTCGCCTCTAGGGGGAAGTCTCACGGTTTTTCTCGAGTTGCGGCAGGGACCTGGGGTATGTTCTCGACTTACGGCGGGGATGGCCCTTCAAAACACGAGTTTCTCCAGTGACGTCAGGACTCCTGCCTAGTAACGAGGGACACCTCAGGAATCTCTTCGGGCCTTAGCAGGGCAAAAGGGACGCTTCTCGAGGTGAGGCAGGGCACCCAAGGACCCTTTTCAGTAGCCACAGGGATTTTGTAATTCCTATCAATATTCAAGAGGAGTCAGGCATCGTCACCTTTTGAAGCAATGAACTCCGCGTGCCTCTCGAGGTGTCAGCGGGATGTGAGGCATTCCGTCAAAATGAGGCAGGGAGCTAGGGCTTTCTCTAAGGTCTCCACATGGGATTCAGACATCCCTTCATGCTGTCAGATCAAAGACGAGCCTGTATTCAAGCCACTGCAAGGAAATCCGGCCTCCTTTCAAGTTATGGCTTCTCGCTGTATATTCCCCTTGAGGCAGCAAACTCGGAGTCCCTCCCACATACCTATTGCTGTGAAGCCTCCTCCTGAGGTGCTTCTGGAAAGTTGGCATACGTCTTGAGCCTAAGCCAGGGAATCAGCTCTCATCTCGAGACGATTTGGGGTACACAGAGCATTCCTCGAGTTGCTGTGCTGAAGTTGGTGTTCCTCTAGACTTGGGACAGTGTTCTCGGGGCATCTCTGGAGTTGCCTGAAGGAAGTCGAGCCACCGGTCGTGTTGAATGGGGAACAGGAATGGCTCTGGAGTCAATGCAGGGGAATCCGGCCTCATCTCGAGTTGATTTGGGGCACATGGAGCTGCTTTGCATTGCTGGGTGACCTCAGGGTCCGTCTAGACTGGTGACAGTGTTCTTGGGGACTGTCTCGAGATCCATTAAGCAAGTCGAAGCTCCTGACTTGTTTGAATGGGATCACGGAATAGCTCTGCATGTACTGCAGGGGAATGGGGCCTCATCTCGCCTCTAAGGGGAAGTCTCACGGTTTTTCTCGAGTTGCGGCGGGGACCTGGGGTATGTTCTCGACTTACGGCGGGGATGGCCCTTCAAAACACGAGTTTCTCCAGTGACGTCAGGACTCCTGCCTAGTAACGAGGGACACCTCAGGAATCTCTTCGAGGCTTGGCAGGGCAAAAGGGACGCTTCTCGAGGTGAGTCAGGGCACCCAAGGACCCTTTTCAGTAGCCACAGGGATTTTGGGATTCCTATCAGTATTCAAGAGGAGTCACGCATCGTCACCTTTTGAAGCAATGAACTCCGCGTGCCTCTCGAGGTGTCAGCGGGATGTGAGGCATTCCGTCAAAATGAGGCAGGGACCTAGGGCTTTCTCTAAGGTCTCCACAGGGGATTCAGACATCCCTTCATGTTGTGAGATGAAAGACAAGCCTGTATTCAAGCTACTGCAAGGAAATCCGGCCTCCTTTCAAGTTAGGGCTTCTCGATGTATATTCCCCTTGAGGCAGCAAACTCGGAGTCCCTCCCACATACCTATTGCTGTGAAGCCTCCTCCTGAGGTGCTTCTGGAAAGTTGGCATACGTCTTGAGCCTAAGCCAGGGAATCAGCTCTCATCTCGAGACGATTTGGGGTACACAGAGCATTCCTCGAGTTGCTGTGCTGAAGTTGGTGTTCCTCTAGACTTGGGAAAGT